AAAAGTCCCGTGACTAACGATAGACGTCGAATTTAGATCCCCATGGTCGCCCCCTTCTTCGGCACCCTCTTCGGAGGCTTCCTGTACGACGTCTTCCTCTACACGGGCGAGAGCCCCATCAACAGCCCCTACTTTGGCCTCAAGCGCCTCTTCCAGCCCCGTCGTGAAGTCTGGTCCAACACGTATAACAGCAAGGTATAAACATGCTGCTTCTTGCGTTGTGTCGTTTGACACTCAACTCGAGTGCGACTACGTCCCTGGGTCTTGAGAAAGAGAAACCCGGTATGAAGTGTCACCAGAGATTCATGAGAATGAGACAGTAAGGGAAAAGATGAAAGAGAAGATCGGGAGCAATGATACCATGAGAGAAACAGAGGATGAGAGAGAGAGGGACAATCCAGGCATTTGGGCTCCCATTGGGAGTGAGAGGTCCCTTCACCGCTCGTCGGAACAAAACGAAAAAAACGAACAAAAACCTCACGGTCGAAAGAAAAAAGCGACGTTGATGAATTGGCTTTTTGTTTTTGCTTGCTTGGATGTCGAGAGTCAAGTGTCAGTTTCTTGTTGGACAAGCGAAACTATTCCGCTGGGTTGAATGGGCGCGGGCGTGTTTGGAGGCGGAATGAACGGTGTCGATCTTTTTCTGCGGTGTTGATGTGGGTTGAGTTGAGGCTTGTCGCTGCTATCGGGTTCGCTCGCAGCATGAAGTATGAGAGAGAGGAAAGAATTGATCAATCACAATACCATTTCAAGTTCAAACAAATGTATGCTGTTGCAAGACGTGAGAAGAGAAGAGATCAAAAGCCATTCACGTCAAAAACAAAACCACGGACGAGGCGAGACGAGATGAGGCGCGCGCCCGACTACGGATGTTGCAGTCAATTAGTACTGTCAGGCGTCAACGAGGACCCTGAATCGCCCTGTTTTTGCAAGCCCTGCGATTTTGGTTCGCTGAAAGATTGTCACGACGCCCCGAGGTGCGGGCCATGTCTGGCGCCCTGGGAATTCTTCCGTCGTGTCGGCGATTTTAGCCAGGAAAATAATTACGGGGTCCCCCAACCTGCCCCAACAGATTGGGGAAGGAAAGCAGAAGCCACCCACTGGGCTGGGCCTGGAGAAAGACAGCGAGCCATGCTGCCGGAATGGCTTTCCAGATGCAATGACAGGGCAAGGGGCTTGAGGTTCTGGAATGGTCTTGCAGCTGGAACTTGTCCAGAGGTCCAATAGTGTGGCAATTGCATGGGGGCCGCAGATGACGGCCTCCACGACTCACGAATGAAGGCCTTGAGATTGTTCTCCGGTAGCATTGATTGCGCATGCAAATCCAGTTTGAGTGCATCGTGGCTTGCGGGGCCCCGTCCGTCTGTAGCCGATGATGGCTGCTTCGGACTCCTGCTCACCCAGCCAGCTTAACCTGCGCGTATGATTGCTCGAGTTGGCAGTAGACGGTGGATCTGGCAGCAGACGGACGAGGGGGTTCGCGAAGACTTGGGCCTATAGCTCCGATGGCTTCGCTCGGAGGCATGGCTGCACGATTCGGAGGCGCGTCCGGCGGTTGACGGTCACCGACGAGTCTTCCCGCGCCAAGCTGTTGGCATTGGAGATCGGACGGACTGGCCAGGTGTCAAGCTTCGTGGAGAAGTGGTGGGTGTTGCGCAATCGATGTAAGAAAAACGGGCAGAGTTGGCGCTAGCTTGTCCGCCTGAACTCCTCTCTGTCCAAGCAGGTGCGGGAGAGGACGCGGATTGGACGGGTGGCGACGAAGGTGATATCGAAGCCACTTCAGACGCATCCCACGAACACGTCCTGGTTCGATGAGGGCATTGTCGCGGGTGACCAGAGAGTTTGGGTGGAATCAGGGCAGTGTTCCATGCCACGCTGTCCGAGTTGCTGTCAGTGTCTGTTCTGCGTGTTAGTCAACGATGTCCCGACTGTGTATAGCAACCTCGAATCGACAATGGTCGACGTCCAGGAATCTGGGGGTTCCCCAAGGTTCGCGGGGTCTGACTCGATGGACCAGCGTGCCAGCGGTCTTAGTCAGAGTGCAACGAATCGACGAAGGCTGCACATCGCAAAGATTAGGTTGCGTATTTGGAGTAGGTTTGGGGTGCCCGCGGGGTAGCATGGCGCTGTCAGACAGACTAGTGCCCAGCAGCCAACGAAATGGTGGCATGCTGGCAGCTCGTCATGGGCCGTGGACCTGGCATTGGTGCCGATTACTCAGATTGATAGGTCTCGGGGATGAGAAGCAATCAGCAGCCGTGGGGCGCAGCAATGTCCGAGTTTCGAAACATTGCTTGAATGTGCAGTGAACGGTAGTTCTGAGTACACGGCTGAGTGCTGTCTTGCGTGTAAGTCGATGGGCGAGGGTGATGGCGTGTATTTCGAGTGTCGAGCAGCTGCAGCGAAACCCAGGCAAACCGGGAAGCCTGGGACACGAAGCATCATTCGCCATCCCAATGATTGCATCGTGATCATTTGCAAGGCCGGCGGTGGGCTCTTTGGGGCCGTTTCCACCGTGGCCAGCTTATGTTCCTTCGTCCACTTTTCCACGCGTTGCACAGCGCAGCGGCCCGGGATGTTCGGCGACGGTCGAGGTACTTTGCCGCGTAGATGGAGTCGGGGTGCGGTAAAAAGTGGCGGCGACGGACGGCGGGTGTGCGTGCTGACGGCTGCTGAATGTGCGTTGTGGTGTGGTGTGGCAGGCGTTGCACACAGCGATGTTCCCTACCATCCAGCACCTGATGGGGGAAGTTGGCCGTGTGTACGTACAGGTACTGTACACCGTCGAAGTAGCGCTACTCGTGCCCGGATCTCGGCCGATGGAAGTGGGCAAGGTGCGGGAATAGCTGGGTCATGGGAAACGACTCGGTAGGCTGAAGCAGGTTCTGGCGTACTTGGCGACATGTCGTTCGTGTTGGATGGTATGGACGGCGAAAGAAGCCATGGCTTTGGGACGCCCAAGATGACGGATGGTTCGAGCCTTTTTTGCCGTCCATCTCGGGAGCCAAAAACGGTCCGCATTAGGAGGCATGCCGCTCTTCTTAAGACGAACTTCGGCGTTTGTGTAATCGGGCCTGAAGTTCTGGACGGCGACGGGACCCAGAGTAATCAGGCCTGGGACGGCCTCAGTCTCGCGAGGGATAAGACGAAGGGTGCCAAATGGCGTGGCGCTGAGTGGGCAAACATCCCACGATGGAGACGAGAGAGGAGACGCAGATTTGGGCGGCCCGAATTGAAGATTGTGCAAGCGTGGCTGCTTGGCCGCATAGGCGTGTGTAAGATCCAGCAGGCAGGTCGATTTCTGCGCGTGGTGAGGGAGGGACGGGAAGAGAATACCGAGGGGTAGCGAGTTGGAGAAGGGGGTGGCTGAAGTGAGGAGTAGTTGGACGGAGTCGATTGAGTGGTTGCAATCGGAGTAGAGAGGGGGCAGAGGTGGAGGAGGAGAAGGAAAGGGTCGAGACAGGGGACGGGATCCTAATGGAACCGGGCCCCCACTTCCACCTTCCCCATCGCAGTGTGGGCTCGGAGGGTTTCGCCGATCATTGCGAGACGGACCCACTCTTTCTTTTCTGCAGCAATTTTTCTGTGTTCTTTCTTTTCTTTAGCCTCTGACTCGGCAGGCAGGACCGAAACGACCGAGACAGGGATGTTCGTTTCAAGAGTGCCGACTCATCACCGAAGACACCCAATCTCGGGGCTCAAACACCGAGGTGCATGACGGCCCCTGGATGACATTTGAGGCTCTGACTGGAAACACCACACGGATGGGATGGCACCGCAACGCTTGCAACGCCTGCCAATGCCAACGCCCATCACCCCGGGGCCCCGACACATTTCGTGCCTTTCCCCATTTTCATTTCCACTTCTCCATCTCCATGGACGAACAAGCGGGTCGCTGCCTTGCCTCTTCCATGGTCGTGGTCCGCCGCCGAAGAGTCAGTCACCCACTGGGCCACTGATGGGTGAAGTCACTCTTTGTTCGGTCTGAGCTCGGTGCCAGTGCCACGTTTATACCACCCATGATGTCAGACCCGTCAAGTACCAGTCTGGAGCTCGAGTAAGGTCCGCAGAGGAGAGAGAGAGCTATCTGCTGCTGGTGTAATGACGGCCTCAGCATTGGCAATGCAATGACAGTGTGCAATGCCACCACTACCACCACCACCACCACCAGCAAGACGGTGCGTCGCAGTGACTCGGGAATGCGATGTGAGGCAGGGTCAGCAGGAGCACGGACGAGGCCTTGACTGACAGACCAACGACCACAGATTCGACCGGCCTGACACCACGTGGGGGTAGCTGGAGGTGGTGAATGCGAGTGACCCCGAGTGCTGCTATTTGCGTAAGGAAGGACGGACTGAGACGAGTACCTACCTAGCCAAAGGTAGCCAAAAGTGACCACCCTTGAGCTCCCGTCCGGATTCCCACATAGAGCAACGACGCGATCTCCGATTGATCCCCCCCTCCCCTCCATCCGCCGGCCCTTCCCACTTAACCTCTTGTTTTTTTCTTCCCTCATTCTCTGTGCATGCATCTGTTTGCCCTGCCCAGACCAACGGAAAATTCTTAGTAGCGCCGAACGGAACCATTCCTGGTCCTCCTCGGGGTGTCATTCCACGAATCGAAGCCCAAAGTTGCGGGTGAGGCGGCCCAGCCCGAACCTCTCCTCTACCTAGACCGATCTACGCTACCTATACCTATGCCTATACATCCTCATTCACCTTGCTGGTCCTGACCCTCTTAAGCTGAGCCCGTGGCGCCTTTTCCCTTTCCCTATTATTTCCTCTTCCCTTCCCTTCTCAACCAGGAACACCACCTGTCGCATCCCAAGCAACAAACACAACATCACCAACGTAGAGAAGACGCCGCGACTCCCACCTGTCACTGGGAAAGTCGCCCTTCTCCAACCGCCGCCCTCTCGGTCCTTCTGGACACTTCGGCCCAACACTCCCCCGAGAGCATACGAAGTCAAAAGAAAGACGTTACAAAACCTTGGGAGCATGGCTTCGCGCTTCTCCCGCCTGGCGAAGCCCATCGCCGCCGCCACCGTTGTCGCAACCGGTGGTGTCGTCGGCTTCGCGGCCTTCTCCAACCGCACCTCACACACCGTCGACAAGCCCCTCGTCGAGCTCAAGCGCGACGCCCAGGGCCGCATCGTTCCGCCGTCTTTCCCCTCCGTCAAGGACCGCGAGGCCCAGCTCGCCGACCTGCGCGCCCACGCCTCCGACTCCGCCGAGTATGACCTGCTCGTCATCGGCGGCGGCGCTACCGGCACCGGCATCGCCCTGGACGCTGTCACCCGCGGCCTCAAGGTCGCCCTCGTCGAGCGCGACGACTGGTCCGCCGGCACCTCTTCCAAGAGCACCAAGCTCGTCCACGGCGGCGTCCGCTACCTCGAGAAGGCCATCCTGAACCTCGACTACGCCCAGTGGCAGCTCGTCAAGGAGGCTCTCCACGAGCGCAAGACCTTCCTCACCGTCGCCCCCCACCTGTCCTCGTCTCTGCCCATCGTCCTCCCCGTCCAGGATTGGTACTGGGCCCCCTACGCCTGGGTCGGCACCAAGATGTACGACCTGCTCGCCGGTTCCCAGGGCCTCGAGAGCTCCTACTTCATGTCCAAGTCCAAGGCCCTCGAGGCCTTCCCCCTGCTCCGTAAGGAAGGCCTCTTTGGCGCCCTCGCCTACTACGACGGCCAGCACAACGACTCCCGCATGAACGTCTCCCTCGCCCTCACCGCAGCCCTGTACGGCGCCACCGTCGCCAACCACGTCGAAGTCACCTCTCTGGAAAAGAACGCCAACGGCAAGATCTGCGGCGCAAAGGTCCGCGATGTTCTGAACCCCGCCTCCGAGTCCTTCACCGTCCGCGCCAAGGGCGTCATCAACGCCACCGGTCCCTTCGCCGACGCCATCGAGCGCATGGACAACCCCAACCACAAGTCCATCGTCGCTCCCGCTTCTGGCGCCCACATCATGCTCCCTGGAAACATCTGCCCCAACGGTATCGGTCTGCTGCAAACCTCGTCCGACGGTCGCGTCATCTTCGTTCTCCCCTGGCAGGGTGCCACCCTCGCCGGAACCACTGATACCGCATGTGCCGTCGAGAAGGAGCCCATCGCGCAAGACAAGGACATCGATTTTATCCTGTCCGAGGTCAACAAGATGATCACTCCCGAGTCTGCTCTGTCCCGTTCTGATGTTATGGCTGCCTGGTCTGGTAAGTTGCGTCCTGAAACCTACGCATCTCACCAAACACCACTAACACACCACAGGAATCCGCCCCCTGGTCAAAGACCCTAAGGCCAAGAACACCGAATCCCTCGTTCGCTCCCACCTCGTCACCGTCTCCGACTCCGGCCTCCTCACCTGCGCCGGCGGCAAGTGGACTACCTACCGCCAAATGGCCCAGGACGCCGTCGACGAAGCCATCTCCGCCTTCAACCTCAAGCCCCAGTCCGGCCTGGTCCTCCCCGACATCTCCGGCGCCGGCCTGCCCGGCCTCACCACTACCGGCTCCTGCATCACCACCCGCGTGCCCCTCCTCGGCGCCCACGGCTTCTCCACCCAGCTCACCGGCCACCTCATCTCGCACTTCTCCCTCGACCCGGACGTCGCGCACCACCTCGCCACCAACTACGGCGACCGCGCCTGGTCCGTCGCCGCCGTCTCCGCCGCCCGCATCCTCCCCGAGTTCCCCTTCGTCGAGGGCGAGATCCGCCACGGCGTCCGCGCCGAGCAGGCCATGACCGCCACCGACCTCATCTCCCGCCGCACCCGCCTCGCCTTCCTCGACGCTGAGTCCGCCCTCCGCGCCCTGCCCCGCGTCATCGACGTCATGGCCGAGGAGCTCGCCTGGTCTGACGCCCGCAAGGCCGCCGAGTGGTCCGAGACCGTCCGCTTCCTGCAGTCCATGGGCCTGTCCCAGGACAAGCTCGGCGTCACCCGCGACGACATGCTGAAGAGCAGCGGCGGGGGCGGTGCCAAGGCCCTCCCTGCTCCTTCCAAGCCCCAGGCCGCTGCTGCCTGTTCCGGCGGCATCAAGGTCGGCCTAGGCGAGATCCAGGCCGGCGGTGCGCTGGCGAGGAACGCTACCTCCCAGGCATAAGCATGAGAGCGTATGCGTGTAGTGTGTGTATGTATGGATGGAGTGTATCTGAAGCATTCGCAGACGGTGCGGCTAGAACGGCCCCGAGCTGCGTGTGTGCTTGCTTTTGCTTTTGAACTTTTCTGGATCCCGGGATACCTAGATAGACGGGTATGGCGTCTTGGTGGGCATTTGGAGAGCACGTGTACGATTTCCCAATTATTCCTTTTCCTTTTTATTGTTTGATGTATGCATGAGCATGGCGGCGGCAGCACTAGAAAGCCTTCCCTCGAATATGAGCGATAGACTTGCGTGCGTGAGTTAGCATAGATGGCTTTGGCCACGGAATACCAAGACATGATCACATATGCCAATATCATTCCTTCATCGTCATCATATATGTGTTTTTGTGTTGTGCATGTTTGTACATTGCGCCTTAAAGACAAGAGCGTACCCATGTCTATCGATATAATTCATCTAGAATCTCCGCATACCTTCCGGCGCCTTAATTTTACTCTGCTCTCCAGCACATCTACTCTACTTCTTGGCCAATCCTCCTCATTAAAGCCACATCCTCACTTGCCCTCCTTCGGCAACACCCTCCACTGATCCGCAACCTTCAGCCCAAACCCCTCCGCGATATCGCAACCGCCCCGACCCCACTTCATCTCGAAGATCTTGCGCCCCGCGCCGACGAGCACCTCGAACGCCTCCGCGAAGCCTTCCGCGTTGTAGTAGTACGGCTCGCCCTCGCCGCCGCGCTGGCTCTTCTGCCACGAGTTGCGGTTGTGGTCGTTGCCGCCCCTGTACTTGTAGTTCGTCATTTCCAGCACGACGGCCACGACGGAGCGGAAGTACTCCCGCGCGCCGGCCTCTGCTTCGAGGTCGTCGGCCTGCGGCTTGGAGGCCGCGTTGTCGCGGGAGGCGGCTTTCATCTGCTCCTCTGCCTTTTTCTTCTTCTCCCCTTCTTCCTTCTTCTTCTTCTCTTCTTCGGCCTTCTTCTTTTCCTCTGCAGCCTTCTTGGCCTTTGCCTCTTGTTCCTTCTTCACGTCCGCGGGGTTCGGCGGGTTCGGGTCCACCCACTCGGCCTTCGCCCCCGGCACGCGGAACAGCACGCCCAGATCCCGCAGGTGCGTCGACACGTCGTTGACGATGCCCACGCGGCGGTGCTTCATCGTCCACCCGTCCATCGTCAGCCGCGCGTTCATGTCGCAGTCGGTCGCGTAGTAGGGGATCAGGGAGTCCCACCCGCCGATGGCGTCCATGGCTGCGCGGTTGACGAGCGTGAGGTGGTCGTATTGGTACCACCGGAACGCCCACTTCTCTTTGCGTTCTAGCGTCGTGTTGAGGTCGCGCAGGCAGTTCTCGTAGATGGTGCGGTACCCCTTCTCGCCCGCCGCGGGCGGGTTCATGACCTCCTCGCGCTCGGCGTCCGAGTAGAACTCCCAGGGGCGGTCGCCGGGCCGGTGGGTGTCGTCGCGCCCGTCCTCGGCGGAGAAGACGACGACATCCTGGTGGGAGTAGAAGTAGTACGGCCAGTTATTCGCGTGCGCCGTGTGGAGGAACATGTTTTGCATCTGCGAGAAGGAGAGCAGCGCGGGCGCCTGGACGACGTTCACCCCCAGTCGGGAGAGCGTTGTGTGGTTGAGGTAGAAGGGGTTCTGCAGCGAGAGCTTGTTTCTTGCGTTGGCGATCTGCACGCCCGTGTTCTCGAGGACGTGGATGGAGGAGGGCGGCCAGCCGGCGGCGATGTAGCTCGCGACGCATTGGAGGAGAATGGGCCACTGGCGAGTGAAGCCGATGAAGAGCGGCGGCATGGCCTCGAGGCCGTATTCCTTGTGGACATCCTTTCGGGGCCGGTTGTGCGCGGGGACGGGCGGCGGCGGGGAGGCGGTGTTGGCGAGGAGGGGGAAGGGGTCGATTACGGGCGGCGGGGTGTACGTCGGCGCGGGCTTATAGCGCGGCGTCTCGGCTGGTTTTGAGGATTTGCTGCCATCGCCGGAGGAGGATCTGAAGAGGGAGTCGGTGGTGGTGATGCTCTCGCGAAAGCGGACGAGGACGAGGACGAGGGCGAAGAGGAAGACGGCGGGGAGGATGTTCCGGAGGCGGGAGTTGAGGGCGATCATTGTCGCGGGTTTTCGGGGGGCTGATTTGCTGGGTTGGAATCCTTCAGCGCATGGGAAGGAGCAGGAGATCTTCGTCGGCGCTGGGTCGACGGCGCTGTGGAGGGGGAGGCATTGCGGCCGGAGAGGTTGCCACGAGGTGAGGCAGCGGGAGGTGTTGTCTCTTTTGTTGGTCCGTTCGAGGCGGCGTGCCGTGTGTCGTATCGTGTCGTGTCACACAGCGGGAGATAGGTAACGTCTTACGCCTCCCCGAATGTGGGATGGGATCATGCAGCTTCCCTGTTGCTGGCCCGGGTGGGTGGGTGGTGGAAAGGGTGGAAACGCACGCGAAAATGCGGCTCGTCGACATGGGAGTTTGCGCCAGGCTGAGGCAGCTGTTCGGGAAACTTTTACAGGAGGGGCTTAGCGCGCTTTCGGGGCCGGCTGACGGCACGCCCAGCTTGTTAGGCGTCCCGCTTCTCGGGCGACCAATTGAGCAGCCGCAAAGCTTGACGATCGGAGCACGGCAGCGGTGCTGGACCGGGGTGTGCCTGCGTCCGGCCTGGGAGCCCGTTTGATGCAGGGGCAGGGGATTTGGGTTGCGTACGCAAGCTTTTATTTCATGGATGAACGTCATAATTTGACACATTCTAGTACAGGTTGGACGTGAGGCGTTTTGTGTCCTCCAAAATATTCATTGCTGAAGTCGCAGAGGATGAACAAGGTTGGCTGGTTAAGCTCGAGCTGGTTTCACGGCGCAAGCTGCGTTACGTTGTCGTCGCACGCGCCCGGGATGTCGACTTTGTGTATCTATTATCAGTGCAGTCATGGAGAAATAACAAACTATCTCTTTTTCCTGTGCTAAAGCGACTACTTTTCCTAATCAGGCACTTGCTTTGATAAGGACGATAACAAGGGATGACGACGATAATAGTGATAATAATAGTAACGACCATAGCGATTACAACGGTAACGATGATAGCAAGCACACAGGAGAAGTAGTCGCCCAGGCTAGCATACGGATAATAGGCGGTCTCAACAATAAACCGGAGTTTTTGTCCGCAGTCTCGAGAGGCAATTAAATGAACGTAGTGAGAGCCTCCAAGAAGACTGAGTAATCAATTTAGACTTTGTGCGCCACAAAGAAGAATTTAATGTCTCTCAAGGAACTCAGAAGACATGTGCTCAAGAAGCTCTGCCGGGCGATTACTCCGCACTGGTTCAAGTAAATCATCTCCATTCACCTCTTTGGTCATTCATCTCAGAAGCTCAGAACCTAGTCCGACATCTGCAAGCAACACACGGCTGAAATTACTGATCATGGACAAGCAACTAAACGACATCTTGACAGTCCACGACGGCAATCGAGGCGATGAAATGCCGGAGCCTAGGAGCAAGCCAAGACCCAATGGCATCCTCGGCGTTGTCTACGACATTGGCCGAAGTCGATTGCCGTAAGAAGCCTTTACACGGTGAATTGAAGCCTGACGTAGATCGTTGACAGGGGACAGCATCATCTTTATTTTCAAAACACTAGCTTTGCTCGATGCCATTTTACAAAATTCAAGGTCGAAGACGAAGTTCTTATCAAATTGCTGGTTCTCGAGGGCTTGTTAGGGGCATGGATGGTCGCTATGGCTTATGCGGGGGTATTCAGCGATTTTACGAAGGGCATGTCTAGTCTCCAGAAAAAGCAGCTGTTTATGGGCGTGTGAGGAGCAAGATGGAGAGATGAGCGAACTCAGAGATAGCGGTGGTCATGCTGCTGATACTGGGTTCTCAGAACTGTCCTCGACTGGAAAAGGCTCCAAGGCACCGGGAGTCCCAAGATAAATAATTATGACGTTTGGAAAGCAGTCGCCTGATATTTCAGTGTGAAGCTTGAAGTCTGTCATTATGTTGCAAGGTTGTTCATGCCAAGGGATGTGGTGGAGATTTAGAACAGAGACTGCATTCTTGAGGCTCACTTCTATTCGGCTTTTCTCGACATCCTCGGCGCTTTTAGGCCTTGCTAAAATCTTTTCGTCCCTCACTGAAGGTCATTCTATGGTTGAAGTAGGAGACCATCTCTCTGTTACCTATGCTTAGCAAGAACTTTGATGTTTGCATTTTACTCAGCAAAGGTGGCCAGCTGACCTCCCAGGCAAAAGCAACTTAGCTACTCTCTAACTCCTCAAGTTCCACACGATCCATGAGAGACTGGACTTGCTCAAACGTAGCCTGTCGTTGATCAGCTAACATTCAAGGGATCAGAGACAAAGCACTGGACTGGAGTCAACGTCTGATTTGGACACATCCCGGGGCGTTACGAGGTGACAGGCTGGGCAACCCTGCACATTCTCTCTCACGTCTTCTCTCTAGTATTCTTTCGTACTTCCGAGGCATGCTAACACGAAAAAAGCCTTGAGTAGTGATCTTACATTCTTTGCAAGGTTGCAAATGAACCCCAAACGAAAATAGAGTCTTAGGTTCAAATCCACCGACAAAGACCTTTACCTAAACCACATTCCAAGATGCAATAAATCTGTTGTGAATCGCACCAAAAAAGAAAAGAAAAAACATTTAATGGGATACCATAAGATCGCTTTCTCTATTTTGGAGAACCCATTGCAGTAGCTTTTCCCTCCGTATTCCGGTACATTCAGTCATCTTCCGGGTATGCTCCTGGAAGGTGGAGAGGCGGATTCTCGGTTAGCTCCCAGAAGTCTCCCACAAACTCCTCGACATCAGCGTCCCAGATCAGTTCCCAATCTTGAGGGCGAGAGCCAAAAGTAAACGACATCAGTCGTGGACCATACAACCACTTACGGTCTCCCGGCAGTATCATACTCAGCTTCCACCAGCGCGTGCAGCTTCTATGGCTAGATTCATAGATCGCTAGCTGGTGCCTTCCATATTCTGACAAGTCATGACCTGAGGCATGGACGTCCTCAAGCCAAGATATCATGGTCCGAGTTAATTGACGCTTTTTCAAGCGTATATTACTAGTTGATTCGTGTCGCAAGCCCGGATGATCAATCCTGTTTTGCAGGCCGTCTAAAAAAAGACTTGATGCAGATGAGGCTGAGCTCTCTGATGGTTGCCACACTAGCTCATCCATCGAGATATCCGTCAGAAGCCATACTGCGAGCTCTTTCCAATCTCTAAAGTCTGTCACGTCAGCCTCTCTGTCCGACCATCTGTTACTGTCTGGACCGAGTCGTCTAGATGCGAGGTAGAAATATTCGCTAGTGAAGTTGGCAAGTCTTGCCGCCCATGTACCTTTCAGTATGCTTTCTCTGAAAAACTGTGGGCTGACGTTTTTGTTGCGACAGAGTCTGAGAAAAAGCTGAGGGTTCGTCTGTTCCCAGAATAGGGTTCGAAACAGTTCAAAAATCGAAACCTCGCCGTTGACAGCATTTCTCTCCCCAACAAAAAGTGTTAGTAGTCCAGGAACTGTCCAAACGTAGTGGCAGACATAAACAAGGCCTAGAGCCTGGACATTTTCAAGGCTGAACAACTTGTCGCTGAGAGTTCCCAGAAGCCCAAGTTCAGCTACAAACTTGAACCAGTGCAAAACGCCATCGTCTTGATGGCGATCCGCTTGAATCCAAGTGTATTCAATAGTTTCCAGCAGTCCCGACCCTTCGATGTGAAAGCCCATAGTTACGAGGCTTCTGGCAACACTAAAGTTGCTTTCTCGCAAGGCAATCTGTATGTTCATTTGATCATCAGCTTCCAAGTGTGATTTGCATCGCGGTACCACTGCTCAACTAAGGAGCAACATACATCCAAGAGAGAATGACCAAATTCGTTGCGATCTAGTATGGACGCTCGACCACTAGTCAAATGCTCTGCGACTTCAGGCCACGAGCCTTGTCTGACAAGGTCGAAAATTCGATCGCCTTTCGGACGGGTAGTCCAAGGTCTGATTGACGCGTTCCACCCCATTGGGCTACTGTATGCTTCAAAGTCCCAGGCTCTTCCAGACAGGCACCATGGGAGTTCAACCCGCACTTGAAGAACTTCTCTACGTCAGGAACAAATTCTTTTCATTGGAAACGTACGCACTGACCTTGTGCTGTCGGTTTTCCGGGATGCTTTGAAATCTGGTAGGTGTAACCGCCCAACAAGCGTCGCTGGCGCCACGCGATCGGCTTTGGCTTCTGCCTCCTCTGACGTCTTCCTCCTTGGACTAGGTCGTTGAAGTTTGATTTCTCAACTAGGTCTTCCACCATGCGGCCGTCGGAATTGTTTGGGTCTTCTCCAAGCCGATCGGGCTGGACATTGTTTACGGTTTGTAGCAGCAGATGAGACTGAACCAAGGACCTAAATAGCACTATTAACATCGTGAATACACCTAGCACTTTCTTGAACTCACAAAAGCTGACCAATTTTGTCGTCCGTATTTCTGTGGAGGCTAATAGATTGCAAATGCAAGGCTTGTGACTCCCTCTGTGAGTGCAAGTTATGCACATTGAAGAAAAACGAAAGTGTCCGGGAGATGCTGTCTAATTCTGATCGATATCGTTGGATCAGGGTCTTACTCAACATTGCCTTCAGCTTCATCAAGTTCCTCTTCCCCCTTTTCGCTGTCACAATCCGTTGATTCAAATCCGCAGCCAATAGGTGAAGCTTTCCAGACACCTCCTTGTAGTTATGCATGAGTAGTAGAGCCGTATCGGTAGATGGGTTTTGAGCCTGATTGATGAAGACTGCCTCGGCCTCTTCCAGCATCGGTTTCAAATGCGTGAGATCATTCATCAGTCGATTGATCTCTTCAGGGACATCTTGTGCCTCATCCCAAAGCTTTTTTGTCGTGAGTACGCTTTTCGCGAAGATTTCTGCCAAGGCGACTGCACTCGACACGGCGCCGAGCACCTCCATGTTGATTGAATTGAGTTATTTCCTGGCCTCTCGTGGCACGATCCAATGGGTGGAAGGGGTGATGCCGGAGCCTAGAGTCTGGGAATATTATCATGTCTCACAAGAAAGAAAATCAGGAGCGGCTTTCTCCGGGAAACAAGGGAGTTCAGAATCTTTAAAATGCTGCCTAATGCCAAGGGCACAACTTGTGTTGGTCCATCTGCCATCTGAGCCACCTCACGTGTGCAGGATCTGCCCAATCATTTCGCCCTTTATTACCCACCAGGGCGCTTAGCATCTTATTCCTGCAAGCTGAGATGGGTTCTCTCTGGGTTTGAAAGCTGTGGTTCTGCTTCGCGAAAAGCCGTTATAAACAGGCGAACCAATCAGGAAACATAGGGTGTATCTACGTTACCGTCAGGCGATGTAGCCCGTTCAAGTTCCATGTCGGGAATGCATGCATTTGTGATCCAGTGAGTCTGACATCCCGCATGTAGGGCCAAGGTCTCCCTTAACATGCATCTTTTAGGAAGCCAAAGGGCACATTGAACTCAGTAAATCGGAGAAGTGGTACATCCCGACGATCTTCCGCTTGGGCTTAACCGACAAAGAGCTGTGATGTCAATCATGCTATTCTTCTGGTGGGCGGACGCGGTGGGCTTTCGAATGTTAAGATAACGTCAAGTCTTTTCTGTAATCTTGATTTGGTCGATGAATATTGGAGAGCATTGATTTATCGTTGAGATTCAGCGCCTTGTTGGGATATTGCGTGGGGCAATGTATTCGCTGCTAAGATCTTCAGCGGAAAAAGTGAGTCTGATTGGACAATTATTGTACCCGTGATGTTCTCTGAGAGCTTGGCTATCCGGACGGATGCTTTTAGCTAACCAGGGCAAAGAACCACTTATTATCTATCTGGACCTGTTTATCATGGTAACATCTAGTTTCTTAGTATTCTTGTTGTCGTATCATTTTCTATGAACACTGCTACTGCTGGTGTTATCGTTATTGTGGTCGTCAACGTTATTAACATCGACCATGTCGTTGGTAAAAAATCATCACGATCCGCCCGGATAGCCAGAATGATTCCGCTCAAATGATAAGCAACGTCTCTAGTACTATCTTAGTTGTTATGGTCTGAGATCGCAGACGTTGGGGATGATAGACACTCTTCGAAAGGTTTCCGGAAGAGTGAAAACGTCCTCGTAGACGCTTCTGTAATGAATAAGATACCTCACTGTTACCATCTCCTCTTTATAATCTCATGGGTCATATACACCAAGGGGGTCACTATCAAAACGTTTATGAAGGAGAAAGTATTATTTTTACCTCGGCCTGACGCCATCGCGACTCTATGACAATTCACGTCATCTCACCTCCTTGGTATTAGCATGATCGACCGGTTCCATCCGCTGCGCTCTTCACTGAGGTGCTTGTGTGACATGTTATACCCGCTCAAGCGGTGGACTCCCATGTGACATGTAACCGCAACGCCTCTCTTCGCACTGGAACTGCCCCCGCCACCAGCTGTATCCCTCACCGGGTCACGGAACATCCCGCGCCAAGATCGCCATGGAAGCAGATCGATCACCTCAAGTACCGAGATATGCGCATTTTAGTGGCCCCTTCGATTGCCAATGTGCCAAGGCCCAACGCCTAAAACATCTACGCAAGAGGCTGGACGCGAATACCTTGAGCTCCATTTTCACTGGCAAAAGGTCTGGAGCTGAACAGCATGATGGGCGACTGAAGTTGAGATTTAGTTTAGACTGGTATTACTAGGGCGCCAACGCGAAGAGCTGAACGTCCGGCGCCCGCTTTAGCACCTCGTGGCGATATTAGCTAGTGATCTTCGAAAACTCAAGCTCTACCTTAGCGGCCGCCTCCTCCACATGAAGAGCCACCTACGCAAACGTTTCGAACAGCTAAACGCCTTGCTGTGTCCGGTGCCTTTAGCCGAAAGGTGATATGATACCCGAGTGGCTAATATGGCCGGCCTTTCTTGGCGGGTAGTAGGTAGGGGATCAATGTCTTGGTTTCGTGGGGAAGTCTGTTGATCCCACGTTCAGCTGTCATTCTTCCACAGCCACAAGACGATCATCAAGTCGCCTGGGCCTACTGTGCGAAAACAAGAGATCGTGCTTAACGGCGAGAAGTACTGGATCAACGTGCGAGACCAACCATCCTCATGTATTCTAAGAGCAGTCTAGGCCATCCCGGGCTACACCTAGTGGGAAGTGGCTTTTGGAGTAGAGGCATTATTGATTAGACGCCGTTCCGGAGCAATGAGGAAGAGCGTAGTACGGTAAAAGTACAGCCCTCTTGGGACTTTATTGCGCCGGACTTTTGCGGCATGTGCATTCTGTGTGGGATGCTCACCACGACCAGCTTCTATACAAACATAGTCTCGACAGATCAAGCCTGCTTCACTCAACACTGACTACAAAATTATTGTCTATCGACAGAATTTTGAGGGAAGATTGAACAAACCCAACCGCCCAGTATGTCTACTACTTCTATCATCACCAAGACGCCCAGCTTCGCGTACATGAACGCCACACCGGCGTTGTTTTGTGTGCCAGGCGACCCGGTTTACCCAATAATTTCCCCTGAAGGAATCGACACCATTGTACAATGGCCCCGGGGCTCACAGCTCAACTATTCGATCATACCGCGAAAAGAGAGCAAGACACCCGAGTTTGCGATCGACATTGTCAAAGAAGCTATAAACGAGTGGTTTAGTAAGCTTGGGAAAACGCTTGAATTGAGAGAGGCTCGCGCTGGCGAGCTCGCAGACATTCGCATATCATTTCGGACCGACATGCCAAGTTGGAGCTGCATCGGGGCCGTGGCAGCTGATAGTATTCCCTCACAGATGGAGCCTACGATGAACTTCAACTTTGGGGGATGGAAGAGCTCCAAGGCTGTGTACTCGCACGCCTCTATCAAGAGACTCGCTCTTCATCTTTTTGGTCACGCTCTTGGGCTGTGAGTAAAGCCTCCTGATTGAATAAAGAAATTAACAGCAGAATTGCGCAACTACGCAGTGAACTGACACAGCGTTCTAGGCCTCATGCCAAGCTGAATCAGTGGCCATTATCATGGAAGGAGGTCGAACTTGAACGGGAGTGCGATACGTTCAACGCTCAACTGCTCCGTGACGCCAAAGGATGTGACCAGCTACCGGACCCCGAGTCGATCATGCATTATGATGTCCCAGCTCGACTAGTCAACAGCACAACTGAAATACGACAAGGCAATTGTTTCATAGATCAAGAGGCTCGAAGTCTCGTGCAGTCTTTATATCCCAAGGTCTTGGAGGCTGCGTTCTTTCAATGCGATACATCCGACTTCTCGAAAGATTCCATCGCCAAACACTTCTTCCGCACATCTTGTACCGCCAACATCGTGACTGGCATTCGCAAAGTGGACATGGGTATCAATGCCAACTTTCGCCTCAAGTCCGAGGTTTCCAACGTCGACAGCGTTGGGTACACAGTCAAAATGGGAACTTGGGACGAGACATGCCTGAACGCAGCCATTTGCAACGTTCTTTCCTTCAAACCGGCGGATGAAAGAGTTCAGACTGGGAGCGCCAGATGGGACAGTCTGACTGGAGGAAACGAGCGATGGACCCGACAGACTTTTGGGAAAGCTTTCAATCAGACCCCGAATGTCGTTGTCTTCATTAGTGCATTTGACACTGAAGAGAGCAAGGTCGTGCGCATCGACGTGGCGCCTTCGGACATTGATAAGAACGGTTTTACAGTCCATCTGAAGACCTGGAATGGTTAGTCTCTCCTCTTCCCCGTTCTCTTTTTGTCTGGACAGCCCCTAAAACATCTGTATTGGTGCCGATATATTACATTTTCAATCTGAAGGCTAACTTCCGCTTCTCAGATTCCAATATCTACAACATAACGGCCTCTTGGGTTGCACACGAGCCAGATGAGTGGTCTATCCGCTCCGGCCCTCTCGACATCGCATTCGGTCAACGCCAGACAAAGGATGTGAAACTCACGAGCGATTATAACTTCCCAATGAAGGAGAAACCTGCTCAACTCTTCTATGCTTTTTCGCATATTGATGTGGAGCCCGACAGAAATCTCCAAGTAGATTTATATGCGACCTGTGACGAGAAGAGGGTGTACGCAGAGTTCAACACCTGGGATAACGAGCAAGGCTTTTTCCAGTGCAAGGGGTGTTATATTGCTCTTGCTCAGGTGTAGGGTCGTGCAGGAGGTCTTGTCGATGATTCCCTTCATAACTCTCTTTTTACTGTTTCTCCTGATATTTATCAAACTCGTGCCAGAACTCCACTGTAATGTGAATAGTTCAGGAGAGTAGATGCCACCGCAATTCGAATACGTCTTTCGGGCGGGGATTCCGCAGCAAGATAGGCGGAAGAGGATAGTTCTTGCTAACGTAGATAATATCTATCACGGCGGCTACATACCATCTTTCCCCTTCCAGGCGAAAGTTGAGGTTAGTTGATAGTTGGTGTTTTCTTGTTGACCGTATTACCCACGGGGCGTTGGTATCTGGCTCGATAAAAATGTGTGTATTGCTTGCGATTTCGTCACACCTGATGCCATTGAACCACGTCTCTGCTGAAACAACCCATCACTTGACGAAAAAGGAGGACCCTGTCACTTAATTGAAGCCCGCAAACTGGAGCAAAGTCTTTCTCATCTCTAAGCCGCATCTTACACACTATAAGCAACAAGACGATATATTGTTCAATACGTATCAAAAATTGCGAATCTCGATATTCCTTCAGCCTTGGTGGCAGTGATGAGGGGGCGGCGTTCATGGGACCATGTCGCAAGTGCACGGTGACACACATGTTCACCACTAAGAAGAGAAAGCTAGTCTTTGGTCAGTAGTCACAAATCCCGACTGTAATGACTACGGTGACGTAAAGGGCTCAAGCCATTAGGCTAGAGCTCAGGCGCGACCGATTCTCCAAATTCACTCCGCTCTTGGAAAACTTCTCCTCGTGCGGCTGCTAATCGCGACAATTGCCCTCTGGCTGCACTTAACGTGGCCGTGGGATGGATCGCCACGAGCGGTTGAACGCCTGGAACGCCAGCAAGTGCGCGTTAACTACTGTGCATGACTGAATCCGGCGTCATGGTTGTACCAAACGAATGCACTGTCTCAAGATGGCTTGCAACTTGGCTTTGCCAAGCCAAATACTTGCACCCAGATTTGCTAGCTCACAGGGTAACACTATCTGCAACGAACGAATAGTATTCCGATCATGTCACAGTAAAAGAAGGTCAAATGTCGGGTACATAGAACGTGCGGCCAAGGACAGCTTTCGTCCTTGCGCCAAGAGAGCATACACGCATCTATCTTATCTTAAACCTCCACTTCTCTAGCACGTCGAGAACATCACAAACCACTTACTCAACCACCGTTACACTTCAAAGCAACTTCTCTGAATATCCAGATTCATTATGTCACTTCAAGATATCCTCGAGCCGAATTTGCAACGTTATACAGCCCAGCTGAATGGTCGCTACGTCTGCACTCGACTCGTCACCCACAACGGCGTTACCATAGCCATAGCCTTAGGCAAGACACAGAGCAATTCATTCTTCTTCGACTACTCAATTCTTGATCTCCAGGACGGGGCCACGACCAGCAAGGGCCAGTCTACGACGGCAGCCGCCGATACTGATAAGCTCGACTCGCAGTGTTGGTCTAGCAGTGCGAAGAGGCTGCAGTTTCCGTCTGAGGTCAGGGTCGTTGGCGAAGAAGCAATTCCCGTCTATCAGATCCCAGCTGTCGATCGAAGCTACCGAAAGGTCATTCGCTCGCAAAGCCAAAAGCAGAAGCTGGACCAATGGCTCTCATCTTCCCTATGTCTGATGAACCAGAAGGTCTTTGACTTCCAAGTCCTGTCCGATGGCCGATATGTATATGTCTTCCGCCAGAGCGCATTGGCGGAGGGCGAGTGGCCAAATCAATTCATGTCAGAGAGCCATGACGGAAAGCCACCGGTTAACAACAACCTCCTTTGCGATCGATTTGCGCTCGTCGGCTCCACTCTCAGTCAGCCCTTGGAGACACGGTACCAGCGAAGCCGTCAGAAACAGATCCCGCTAAATGAGCAGGATACACTTCGTGTCAAAGACATCAATGATGAGCCGTTCTACGAACCTACGCATTCACTTCGGTTCGTTCAAGACCTTGTCGACGGTCGCTTTTGCGTTCTTCGAGCACCCACTGTGACCAATAATGTCACTAAGTGGATGATCTTCGCTTATTCTTGCAAAATGGAACAGATCGAGTGTTTAAGCACCGATGTAGCTTCCAACGGGTTGTTCGACCTCCACGGACATGTTTACTACACGTGCGACTCGCATACACATCCAACCATCAAGGTGTTCGCCAATGGCCCAGGCCCCTGCACAGCCGCAAAAGACGACGGTAGCGGAACTTGTTCGAAAGCGAGAGTTCCCATCATGCCCAAGACACCGGCGTCGAAGCGTGCCGTTGAGTTGAGCCGAGATGCAGGGCTTCGGCTGAGAGAGCCTGTCGACCTCTCGAGCCTGCTTGATGGCTTCACCTTGGAGGCTTGGGTGAAACCCGAATCCGCCGACAACGAAACGGAGGAAACGACAAAGGACTCTAGCTTCCCAGTGTTTCGTGTTTCAGACAATAGTCCGGGGACTTTCATCAATGAAGAACTTCGACTGACCATTCAGTTGGTTTGTGAGAAGAAGGCAATCGTTACATCAAAAATAGCTCTGAAGGCAGATGAATGGAACCACATTGCTGTCACCTACAACCCGACAACGTCAACCTATGGACTGGCAATCAACGGAGCGGCAGCAGGCTCCGCCATCAGCAGTATCCATCCTGGCTCGTTCTCAGGGATCGGATTGCAACCAAAGGGGCCAACAAGCTACTTCACAGCGCTCTTCGACGAAGTACGTGTTTGGAGCCGTCCGCTTCATCCATCTGCTATCAAAGATAGGATGTATAAGCGCGCCACGGGTCTAGAGCCTGATCTGGAATCGTGTTGGCACTTCGACGAAGACTCCGGCACGACCGCCTTCGACGCGACAGCCAATCGTCGTGAACTGATTGTCGTCTCTCCTGAATATAGTACACCGTCTTCCGACAGCTGGGTTCGATCAGCTGCGCCTATGGTGTCAAGCTATGGACTCTCGCGACGGATACTGCGTGTATCTGCTCCCCTGCAGATTAAAGGCGGTCTTTGCGCCACAGTCTATAACGAGCAAGTCGCCGTCTCCGAGAAGAAGACGACCGACTCGAAAGGGGGATCGAGTTCGAAGCAAAAGTCAGGCGATGGTGCGCAGCCCAAGCATATGAAGCGTGGCGCCAGAGTGCTCCTTTGCTTCATTTCTGGTACTGACGTCTCACCGCTGCGTTTGGCGGCCCTCGACTTCGGCTTGCTATCTGACGGCACTCTTGCCGACACGCCAGCTTTGATGAACCCCCCAGCGCTAACGGCCGCTTCCTCGAATTCTGCCAGCGCAAAGGTCGGCATAGTGGGATTGAATGTGCCAACAGCTCTCTTGTATGTCGGAAGCGAAGGCATGGAGATCTTTGGGGGAGTTGTTGCCCTTGATGCGGTTGGGTGTGAGCCCTCGGCGCCCTATGCTTTTGAATCTGCCACAGGAACCGTGACAGTCTATTTCAAGTCACGAGGAGCTTCCGGGGAGGGGCACTTCTCAGCCTTGAATTACAACATAGCTCGCAAGGCTGTGGCCACGGAGCTTTGTGCATCGACTCTCGGTGAAAACGAGGGCCTGCTGGCAACGAGCAAGTTTCAACACGCGAAGAACGTAGTCGTTCAGACGGATCTGTGCCCCTGGGCGCCTGAGAACTTGGCTTTCAACTTAACGCTGACGGCCAACATGGTCGATGGACAGAAGATAGTCGAGACGTGGGCAGGTAAGAACCTTTTGTGCGAATTGGGCTTCATGTTCTGCGCTAATTGGAAACGATTCAGGCGTTCCTTCAAAGTTGGAAGAGCTGTGCAGCCTGATTAACGGCACCAAACTGGCGACAACACGTACTATCGGCCATGTGGCTCAGCTGGTAGAAATTACCGTGAGTTTGCCTACTAGCCATGTTGAATTTCTCTCGGCCTTGTTCTAATATGCTCCATGAAACAGACAAACGGCTCCGCAGACATGGAGACAGCGCCAACTGAAATTGCTCTCTTGGATGTTCTCACGAACTCCGTTACCGCAGGAACATTTTTGAGTATCGGTATGCGAAGCTACTTTGTTCTCAAAGACGCACAATCTGGAGACAAGAATCTCGTGGCCGTTTTATATAACGATCAGAGACCGAGAGGGAGCCCACCTGGTAAAAGTGCAGAGGTGACGGCCAAGGGCTATCAGCATGAACTCCTGGTCACCTGCGAAGGCAAATCTGCTGGCAATTTCTCACTTGGATCCGGAATCGTGAGCATGGCCTGGTCCCCATCGGCCGTGATCAGCGGTGCGGTCGCCAAAGCATCGGAAGCAAACATCCAAGTCCCTGGAACTAGCTTCATCAGCGGTAGCAGCCAGAGCCCATATTTCGGTTCCCCACCTCGCTCGACTGCTCTCCGACTTGATGGTCGCACCAAATGCTACTCCATGCTGGAGGATACAGTGGCGACGGCTGCCTGCGCTGGCATATGTTTCGAAACTTGGATTAAGGTTGAACCGGAATCGATCAATACTATCGCAGTCGCTTACACGTCAGAGCGGTTGCCACGCGCTGAGGGGTTGGCCAAGGAACAACAGACCTTCGTGCTTGGTATCACTCAGCCGTCAGGGAGAGGTGCTGCGTTCGACGTGATTGGCAACGTCAACGGGGCGCGATTTGCAGTCAGCCGGCCCTCTGCCCTGAGGTTCGGCGAGTGGACACACTTTGCTTGCTCAAGCCAAAGTGTGTTCGCCCTCATGAGTTCGGGCAAGGGTTACGTTGACCTTGGCAAATCGGAAGAGTGGAATGTCTCCGACTTCTCGCTGGCATTCACACTTAAACTCAACAAGAAGTCTGAAGGCGATAACAGGGAGCATTGCATACTTGTGAAAGGTGACAGCAATGCAAATTCAACACCCTTGAATGTCAAGGTCTCTTCAAGCAACCGACTTCAACTCTCCTATTGGGCTATGGATGAGGATGGCTCCAATCCACAACGGTGTGTGTTCAAATCACCAAAAGCCTTCGATGCTGGCAAGGCATACAAGGTCTTTCTGTCTCGCAAGCTCGTACAAGTGTCTCAGAAAGAACCTTCGGAGCCCGGCCAACCACCGAGAAGCAAGCCCCCAAGGCCGTGTCAGCAGGTCACTATGCGTGCGTGGAATTCGAAGGGAGGGGTGGAGTTTGAGATGATTCCGAGGAGCGTACAGGCTCTTGAAAGCGATGAAGTTGCCTTCAAGCGCCAAGATGGAGGTCATCAGATTCACGGCTCTGTGCAAATGAATCAGGCACCTCTCTCTCTCGGTGGAGCGTCGTGGGCCAAAGAAAGCGGGTTACGAGGCGCAATTGGATCCATCCGACTGTACTCCTTGGCCATTAAACTTCCTGAATCGGCGTTCGAGCTGTGCGCTGCCTCTGAAAGTACGAACGGCATGATCGGCTCTTGGTCTTGCCGCGAAGGAGGAGGCGTCAGTCTTGTGGATGATCTGAATCGCAACCATGGCAAGTTCCAGGGTGAGCTGAGCTGGGTTCGCAGTCCGTATGACCCAGACTCCCAGCTCTCGTTTCACATCAATGCTTCGGAAGTCAAGCATAAGCAGCCAGAGGCGAAGGAGATGAGGTTCCTTGAGCAGGCTTCTCCCACAGGACCGCATCAATTGTCAATCGGAAACGTTTTGATGGATTACGGGAACGAGGAGTGTCGATTTCTTCGCCCCGGGCCGGGATTCTGTGGCGAATTTGACGAGCTGCGCATTTGGAATACGCCGCGAACCCGAGAGAACATCTGCGATTCAATGAACACTTCATTGACCGAGACCACAGCGGATCTTGCTGTCTATCTTCCATTCCATGATGAGAGGGCGGTTAACTCACCCGGGAATTCGCCTCAGGGGTCGCATGCTGTGCTCACAGACACTTCAGCCAACTGCTGGCATCTTACGCCGCTCTTGGGATCTGAAGCGAACGCAGTATCATCCCAAGCACCTGTTGGGCAGGATTCCCCCTGCGTAGACCACACACTGAGACCCGATATCCACCCACCTCAAGGGGCCACCATTGTTGCTGGACCTTCTGTGGCCGAGTATGGTGACATGGAGATCAGTGCGAGCGGCACAATGGAAGGCAGTTATAAACGAGCTTACGCCTACATTGACAAGCACGGCGAATGGTGTCTAGTGACAGGCTTTCGTATCGGCGCGCTGAAGACTGAATGGGTCAGTCAGGTTCAAACCTCGCCAACCCTCGTTGGCTTCATTGAAGGCGCCCCACCTGTCCCTGTTGATTCCTTCATCAGCAAAGACAAAACACCCACGTCATCTGTGAAATTTAAACAGACCACAAAATGCACCTACACATACAGCGCGAGAGCGGAAGTAAGCACTGGTGAAGAAGTGTCTTCCAAAGTGGGTGCTGGAATCGATTGGGAGGTTGAGGCAGGCATGGGCGTCGAGACAAAGATAGCCGAGGGCAGTATTGGGGTATCTAGGACGCGCGCCGTCGATGTCTCGGCCGGCATGGTCAACAACGAAGTCCACGCATCGTCGACGAACATCAACATGGAGATGGGCGTCCAGTTGACTAGTGTCTGGAAGGACGGCGACGATACCAAAAAGCAGGCAGGATTTGAGCCGTCCAACACTGGTCTTGCTCTCATTGAGAGTGAGGTCGCGGATGTTTTCGCGCTTCGTCTCCAGATGCGTGGGTCGATTGCGCCTGTCGTCGCCTACCAGATGCGACCCAATCCAGACATTCCCAAAGATCGCAACCTTGTCTCCTTTGAGATCAATCCTACCTACACCAAACAGGGTTGCCTTGACGGCCGTCGTGGTGCGACCAACGACCTGGACTACCCTGCGCTGTCCTCGGCCCCAAAGGATGCGTCATACTTCAAGCCGACGGAAGCTTACGCACTCCGGGAGCGTATTCGTCGGGCTGAGGAACAACTCCAAGGCGAATATGACCGCCAGTCGCTGCTCTATACCGATGAACTCCCTCAACGTACGCATCGAAATATTTGCAATGCATACGTGTGGACCGCAGACGGAGGAACGTTTCAAGAGACAAACTCAACCCTGGACATGGTCAAGTCCGAGGTTGGGGGGAACTTGGACACCAAAACCAGCCTAGTTGACTCGAGCGAGGAGGAGGTTTCGGTTATGAATATCAACGCAAACCGTTCCGTTGATGCTATGTTCAGCGCCCACTTCAATTTTGTGACGACGAAGGACAAGTCATCAGAGGAAGGCTTTGAGCTAGCCACAGAGCTGCCTCCATCCGTCGACATCAGGTACCAGGACAAGGGCACCGGCAAATATTTCAAGACACCTGGTGCCGTTGATGCGTATAGGTGGATGAGCTTTTGGCTTGAGCCAAGCGTGGAGGCAACGGACACTTTCTTCGAGCACGTACTGAACCATGTCTGGCTTGAGGAGTCACCGGAGCCCAATGCTCAACTGCTGCGGACTCTGCGCGAAGGACTGAAGAACGAAACCGGCAATGCACGCACGAAGGCCTGGCGCATCCTGCATCGCTGCACATATGTTAGTCGCATACCCGAGAAGATTGAATCCCGCACAAGGGACGCGATGTATACCAAGGAACAAAAGCCATCGACCCTGCTGGCCGACATTGGCAGCAATTGGCTGTTGATCCAGAAGCTGGAGCCATTTGCACGCGATGCTAATTCGCGGGGAAATCTCGCGACCACTTTGAAGCCTCACGTTCTGAGGTTCTTCCCGACCCTGATCGCCCAGAGTCGTTTGTACAATCAGGTGCTGGATATGTTGGCAGATTATGTTGGACTGTCCTGATGGTCCATTGTGTTGAGATTTTCTAGCCGGACATTGTCCACACACGCGCGCGTAATCCGTAGCTCGTGCTAAAGCATCACCGTCGTTATCGCCGTAGTCATCGCTATTGTTCGTCGTTGGTCTCTCTACTACTATACACGTCATAGGGGACACTGCCCGGCTAGCAAAACTCATTGTCTTTCCTGGAGGTCTTCGAGAACATAGATTACGGCCGACTTTTCGTCTCAGAGCATTCGCGTTGCGTCAAGGCAGGACGGTGCTGTACATAATCACAGTCCCTACTGGTAGCCTATAATCCTAATTTCACCTTTTGATGAAAGTCTTAGAAAGTCTTAAGGGGACTGAGTCTTCCCGGTCTTCATGAGGTTTCCGTGTAGCTGTCCCTAAAAAATGGGGGCAGAAATGAAGATCTAGACTCTGAATCCCAAGAACTTCCGCCAGCAATGGCTCGTCTTCGTCTAGGTATTCTGACAAAAACAGTTCAGAACGAACTTCTGGATGCCTAATGAAAGAGGAAGTATACAAGCCTCTCGGCGTAAAAGATCGTGAAGACCCATGTCAGAGCCATGTCTCCACCGAACCACGATGCATTCGAGAATGGATTTCCAACGCGGATCGTTGCCATTACATTGTATGCAAGCCACGAGAACAAGATGAGGAAACCGAATCTACTTAATGAATCAGCGGGAAAACAGTGACAGCCGGGTCTGACGTACATTCGCAGGTTTGTGAGTAGACGACAGATGAACCTCGCCATGCCAGTATGGTTCCGGCATTCATTGATACCCGGATGTGCCGAACTAAAAGCCCTAGACTCATCCTGTTCACTTGATTCTTGCTTTTTGATATCAGTCGGCGGCTGAAGGTCTGCCATGATGGCTGCCGAGTGGTGTGTAGAGTGATAAATTGGCTTTGTAGGGGAAAGGGTTCGGTTTAATTTTCTTCCTGGGCTATCAAGGGAGTTGTCAAAACCACGAAATGAACGTCCCTATTGGGTGTGGGAGGCTGATCGAGTTATTTCAACCAGCAAGGTGTACGCCTAGTTGATGGAAAGTACTCATCCTTTAGTGTCTACATCCGCCTAGAACTTCAGATGCACAAATCAGGAGACACAACATGCTTGCTGTGGGTTTATACTTGAATCTTGCTAGCCGGACAGGGTCCGCTATGACTCTCAAGGTAGCGTACTCAGTACTTCCAAAACAACAACCATAGCAAGGAAAGCAATAGGATTAGCGAAGTCATGAGGACGAGAGACCGTAACGATGGACAACGACGACAGCGACAACGACGACAGTGACAGCGTAAGCGACTACACAAGCCGAGAGATGTCCAGGGGTCCAGCAGAGTATATGGATTACACACGTTGATCTGGACACTGCGTGGATAGCCAGTTGACACTGCCCGGCTAGTATAACGCTTGGACTTTACGTTTGAATCCAACATAGTTGTTAATGAGAGTAACTAAGAATTTCCATGTGCGCCGCGAGGATAAGCTATGAATTCCCAAATATCTTTATGCAGTCTTGTATGTGATGGTCCCCAAGTTCTAGCAAATGATTTCCACCGCGGCGTGGAGAACGGAATGGCAGTCAAGATCGCCATCGGGAAGAGTGAAGTCACTGCCCCCGCAGTTGGAACCACTCCATGTCTTGATTGTGCAACCACTGTTTCTCATATCAGTAAACTAAAAATCACGAAAAAAAGGTCCGTCGTTTCTTACCGCTTATCAGCGACCTTTATAGAGCGCTTGTTGGAGACCGGGATGCAGCGACGGGCCCCGACGCCGGTGACCTCGAAGACCTGCTCGCCGTTCGTGCAGAGGTCATCGCTGAAGGAGGAGACCTTGGAATGGTCCTGGCGAGACTCAAGCTGAACAGGGTTTGCGAGAGCCAGAGAGGCAAGGGCAGCGGTCATGACCGTGGTAATAGAGAATTGCATGTTGAAGGTGTGGATGTCAGATGCTGATGGAAGGTACAGAGAACCGATCGAGATTATTATAATTGTTGAGGCTTAGAAATGAAGATGTTGATACTGATGCTGGATGAGTACAGCTTTGAAGTGGAAAACAAGCCGTCATTTTATATGTTTTTGAGACCCTCTCAAATGGTGTAACTACTGAAGCCTAGAGCTGCGGTCGTGAAGCCCCTGGGCTGAGCATCCTATGTCATGATGATTAGATGAAGCGCGAAACCTTGACCTTCTCATCGTGCCACCAAACATTACAGTATCCAGGCATACTCACAGGCCCGACTTAACAAATCGTCGATACTTGGCATGGATTTACATGCAGATCTATCAAAAGGACTTTGGCTGACGTGAGAGATGTCACTGTTTCAGGGAGACGCTGTACTTATGCGTACAACAATCTCGCTGCATTTACCTAGGTAGTCGTCGGCTTAATGATCATCTACGGAGACTCTCACCAAAGAATTTGGAGTTACAAATGTCATTAGCTCACGATACGAGCCCCCTGCATCTGTCTCCCAAATGGCGGGTAAGTGCCGTGTAGGAACCGAACTCATCATGGGACGGAATCCTTCCAAGGCAGCAGAAACAGTAGCGACAAGTAGGATGCCATTCATGGGAGTGCATTGATTGAGAGAGACGCGGGAGGGGTTGGTGTTCCTGGCAGTAGTCTCAACTAAAAGATCTGCGATGGGGGCTGATGCTTGTCTCTGCATATCCACCGTCCGATTCGCGGGCACCCGCGGGTAGGCTGAATCAAGGCGTATCGCTTTCGACAATTCGCTAGGCAGTGTTCAAGTAAACGCCTTGCTACCTTGTCCAAAACAAAGTTGCGCTATTTTGCTGCGCATGTGGTTAATAATATTTCACAAGTAATTGGTAGCTTCGCCCGAACTCTGTCGAAGTCTGGGGCTATTCTTGGCGAGGGTATGCATGATTGGACCTCTTGATGACAGGCAGCTAGGTAGCTTCCCCGTATTGCCATGGCAGAAATGCTGTCGTCATATTAGATGCAACTTAAAGGGGATTCTTTTGGCGCGCTGGCCACTTGCATAGAGGCTTGTAGAACACCATCGTGATAAGATGTCTTTTCTGGTTGAAGCTGAAGAAAGAATGCCAAGTCATGACCGTGAATAGCCGAAGTCGGGACTGGGAAAATCGGAATTAAGACCGTGATTATGTCATCATCCCGGCTTTAGTGCCCCTCACTCATTTTTACCCCGCCAAAAGAGAGAGAGCCACAGCGGCGCACCGACAAACGGGCGGCTCACCCCGCTGCAGATGCCACAGAAGTGACCGAAAATCGGGTCGCAAATGGCGTAATCCAGCACCGAATGGGGCCCAAGCACCGTCAAGCAATCAGCGTCGTGCAATTCGCTGACTTCTAACTCGAAGCTCAATTGAGGAGGGCGCAAGTTGTAGTCTGTTCAAATGCCGTCCTGTCCTGCCTCCGGTTGATTCCCTTCTTTCCATCCTTCCATGAACTCTTTCCTCCTCCCTGTCCTCCGGTCTCGCATCCCCAGCAGCGCCGCCAGAAGAGGATTCCACGCGACGGCCACGATGAGTCTTAGCAGCAAGATCAAGCCCGCGGCCAGAGTCGCCGGACGCAGACAGGATGTTTGGTGAGATAGGACCTCGATGAGGAGTCAGCAGTGACTCTTACCCTCAGAAACGTGAACCGGTGCTGACCATTGACGCTAGGTCCATCGTCAACGAGGCCGCCGCCGCCTCGCCCAAGCAGCCCATCGTCAACATGGGCCAGGGCTTCTTTGGCTACAACCCGCCCGACTTCATCCTCAATGCCGCCAAGCAGGCCCTGGACCGCGTCGAGTGCAACCAGTACAGTCCCACCAAGGGCCGCCCGCGCTTGAAGAAGGCCATCGCCGACGCCTACTCTCCCTACTGGGGCCGCAAGCTCGACCCCGAGACCGAGGTCACCATCACCACCGGCGCCAATGAGGGTAAGAGGTGTTCCGTCCCTTGAGAGATATCTCCTAGGACGAAGACTTGCTGACGATCGTTCCAGGCATGCTCAGCGCCTTCATGGCCTTCATTGAGCCTGGCGATGAGGTCATCGTCTTTGAGCCCTTTTTCGACCAGTGAGATAGCACCGAAAGCGGTGGAAGTGAGATGTAAGTGCTGACTCTGGAACAGGTACATCTCCAACATCGAGATGCCCGGCGGCAAGATCACCTACGTGCCTCTCCATCCTCCCAAGGACGGCGGCGAGAAGACCTCCTCCGCCGCCAACTGGACCATCGACTTTGACGAGCTCGAGCGCGCCATCACCCCCAAGACAAAGATGATTGTCCTCAACACACCGCGTTTGTCACCCCTGCCACGGTCATCTCAATCTGACAATGGCCACTGACTCCCAACACAGACAACCCCGTCGGCAAGGTCTTTTCCAAGGACGAGCTTCAAAAGATCGGTGACCTCTGCGTCAAGCACGAAATCATCATTCTCTCCGACGAGGTCTACGACCGTCTCTTCTACGTCCCCTTCACCCGCATCGCCACCCTCTCCCCCGAGATCGAGAGCCTGACCATCACCGTCGGCTCCGCCGGCAAGAACTTCTACGCCACTGGCTGGCGCGTCGGCTGGCTCATGGGCCCTGCCGAGCTGATCCAGCACGTCTCCGCTGCACACACCCGCATCTGCTACTCCTCCGTCTCGCCGTTGCAGGAGGCCTGCGCCGTCGGTACGTGATCCCCTCCTCTTTTTGTGGGACAATGAAGCCGCAAACAAAAAACTGACACGCTATCGCACAGGCTTCGAAGAGGCCGAGAAGCACGGCTTCTGGGACGAGACCATCAAGGACATGAAGGGCAAGATGGACCGCTTCAACGAGGTCTGGACGGAGCTCGGTATGCCCTACTCCGAGCCCGAGGGCGGCTACTTCGTGCTCGTCAACATGGCCAAGGTCAAGCTGCCCGAGGACTACCCCTTCCCCGCGCACGTCGCGAGCCGCCCGCGCGACTTCAAGCTCGCGTGGTTCCTCATCCAGGAGGTCGGCGTCGCGGCCATCCCGCCCACCGAGTTCTACACCGATTCGAACGCGCATATTGCCGAGGACTACATCCGCTTTGCGGTCTGCAAGCCTGATGACGTGCTTGAGACTGCTAAGCAGAGGCTGCGTGGGTTGAAGAAGTACATCCAGGAATAGAAGGAGCGTTGGATTTGAGCACCATGTATCATGCATGTTGGAACGATATCTGTTAAAGGAGAGTGTGAATAGATAAAATGGCTTGTTTATACATCCTTCGTTTGCGTGTGCTCTGTCAGAGAGATCGTATATATGCTTTGAGCCCGAAACATTTTACCCTCTTGGTCTACCGACGAATCTTGGGCGAGGTCGTACTCGATGTAGTAGAGCACGCATCGCCGACACCACCCAGTGCTCCCCCTTCCTGGCAGGCATTCGCCGGGTCGCAGTACGTGACGAACAGCAGCCCTGAGTCGCCCGCAGGCACGCCCGACGGGACGCACCAGAAAACGGACTGGCTCACGTGGGCGTCGTCGGCGACTTGCTTGCCCGCAGCCAACGAAGATTTAACGGCTTTTCGATTATTCGCGTCTACAGTTCTCGATTAGCTTCGACGCTGATTTTGAAGGGAGGACATGAGAATCAGACCGATTTTGAGGAGACGGGAGCCGCAGTATGTCTCGCTCGGAGTGCAGGTCACCGCGAAGGCGACGCCGGAGATGGCGGCGATGGTGGCGAGCAGGGCGACGATTCGAGCCATTTTTGGATGCGCTTTGATGAAGATAACTTGCTTTTTGATGAAGATGTCTTGACGAAGTGATTTTGGCGGTCGGAAAAAGAAAGGGAGGCGCTTCTAGGGATGTGAACATCCCTTCCAGCCAGGGCGGCCTGATGCGGGTCTCACGAGACCCTCAACAGCTAGTGGTTTGGACTGTTTTATGAGCGAAATTTGTCTTTTGGACTCAGGGCTCGAGCATGCCATTTCAATTGATGAGGCGCATCATCGGAATTACTGCTTGGTGTCCTTTTTGTTGATGCTTCGGAAGTACGATAACCATGATGGGCAGGTCCTTCCTGGGGAAGAACAACGGCATGGACGAAGGAAAGAGCCAACGATGGAATAGAAAACTCGGCAAAGTCGAATCACCATGGTGCGAAATGTGTGTAAAGCTTGATCCGATTACTTCCTGACCAGTTTCTTGACCGATCTTATCAAGCTAAGGTACCATCCGAAAATTCAGCTCTTCTCGAGAGCCATACCGTGACCAAACCATGTGTCCATCCCAAAAGAACCACGATATCACATCCCAAACGCCATCCAAATAAGCCCATCTAGCCGAGTTGCTACACCCGCTTGAAAGCCAACGCGAATACCATATGAGAAAAAGAGAAAGTCGTGATCATCGTGCAAGACAGAGAGGGAAACCCAAAGCAAGCAAGACAGATGAAGTCTAGATCTCAGCGCTGTCCTGGCCACCCTCCATCTGGACGTCCTCCTTGGCCTTAGCCTCCTCCTTCACCTCGAACTTGGACTCCTCCTGGGGAGTAGTGGTGAGCTCGTCCTCCTCCTCAGCGGCGGCGGCAGCCTCCTCCTGCTCCTTCTTGACCTTAGCAGGGGTGCGCTTCTTGGCCGGGGTGGCGCGCTTCTTCTTAGCAGGTGTCTCAGGGGAGACAGTGTCCTCGGCATCGGCGTCGCCCTGGCTGGCGGCGACGGGGGCAGCCTTCTTCTTCGCGGGGGTGCGCTTCTTCTTGACGGGGGTCTCGACGACGAGCTTCTCCTCGGTGGCGTTGGTGAGCTCGTCGGCCTCCTCGTCGTCCTCCTCGGTGGAGGGGGTGGGAGCGGCCTTCTTGCGGGGAGTGGCACGCTTGCGCTTGGCCGGGGTGGTAGCGGTGCCGTCCTCGTTGGCGACAGGGGCGGGCATGTCGGCGAAGATCTTCTTCTTGATAGCGCTCCAGGCGTTGGAGGCAGACCGGGGGTTGGTCATGCCGCAGGCCTCGGCGAGCTTGGGGTAGTCGATCTATTCACACCGTCAGTATTAAAAACACGAGGACGACGAGGGACGACGACGAGGGATGATAACGAAGGACGACGACGAAGGACGACGATGAAGGACGACGACGAAGGACGACGAGAGACCATGACGACGAGAGACGACGACAACGACGACAACGACGATAGTAAGGTAGAATATGAAACCACAGGAGAGGACGAAAAAGTGGAAGTGATCTCGATGGGCAGGGTGTGTTCTTACCTCAGGCGGGGTTTTCATGCAGTTCCATGCATTCTTGAGAATCTCGAGCTCTCTCTCGGTGAGAGCCTTCTTGGTGGCGCTGTCCGAAGAAGACATGATGACTTGTGATGAAGTACAAGGTGGGAGATTGAGTTGTTGGTGCAAAGAGTGAAGTGCAAGTGTTGATGGGATGAAGATGGGGATGAGAAGTGAGTGGTGAGAAGGTGTGTTGTTGTTTTTGTGTGAAGGTGGGTGGTGGAGGGAAGGTGGGAAAACTCTGGCAAGAGATGGACTTCGAAGAAAAGAGAAATTTCCAGGCAGAGCAATTGTGGAAGGGAAGAGCGGAGATTTCAGTTAGGGCAGGAGCGAAGATTATCGTGTGCCCTGACTGGATGTGCTTAGTAGACGATGGAAGTGAGCGGAAGAGGAAGAGTTGAAAGAAAGTCAGGAAAGAGGCCTGAGTGCTGGGCATCAAGAGAGGCTGCTACTTCCCGGACTGTGAACCTGAGGAAGGGTGATTCTCAAGTGTTGCAAAAATGTTGGGTCATGAAAATCTTTGATGCTTTCTTGATGTCTCCAGATTTGGAAAGCACTGGGAAGTCGCAGCTGCTTCTAAGCCAGTATGATCCAGACCAAGCTGTTCGCAGCTTTCTTTGTGTGAAATATCTCGATACTTCCAGCAGGTGCACCCCTATGAGACCAGGGAACGAAAAACAAAACCAAAAAAGGAGTGATCAAAAAGAGAATCAAACCCAGAGGCCCCAACGTTGGATAGTATAACTTGGTGTTGAGCTAGCATTTGGGCTACACTCGGCATATTCACTGTCACCTCTCCACCCGCCGGTTGCCAATTCTGGACACAAACCTCCCTAAGTAGGTATGGCAGGCACTCTGGGTGTCCACGTGTTAAGCCAGTACAACAGACAAGCACTGAGGCAAAGGGCAGGCAGGAGAGGTTCAGGTACCACCCTACTTTCTACCTGATGCGTAATTCTATTGCTAACATAGACATCTGCAAACCCCTCCATTTCATCATGTTGGCACCCGACGTGAAGGTGAAACCATGTCCCTTCTTTCTATCTCACTATCGTGTCCACAACTATTACAGTACGAACCAAATGAAGAGCAAGATCTATCATTTCAGATGCACATCTTGAAATCGTGGAAATCAATCCAAGTCCTGAGTATGGTGGCCCAATGGTGTTTGGTTGCGAACACCTGGGAAGGAAGGAGGCGTCGGGGGCGAGTTTACCTGCCTGATCATACTCCTTCCATGTCTCACTCACCTATCAGCAGCACAGTCTCCCTTCGATGCATTTCCAACCCAAAGAACTGGAACAAAGGAGATCGAAGCATCCAGCGAAACAAGCGGCTTCCCAGCCCATTGTCACTGGTGCCTGTCGGCCCACGATGAGAATTAATCTGAAACTGGAGAGGCTCTAATCAATCTGAACGATGGAATTTGATCACACCAATGATAAGTTGGCTCAATATGAATGTAAAAAAAGCACATGTTTGAATTATTTCGGGAACTGCATCGCGTGCTCGATCATGCCAGGTTTGGTCCCAAAGTAATAAGCAGCAGCTCCGACGAGACCCGGCACGGCAATCCACACCATTTTCCGCGCAAAAGCCTTTGCGCCCTTCTTGATAATGATCTGAAGCTTCTCGTGGTATGCCTCGTGGTCATTTACATGCGGGAAGGGCACATCAGGGATAGGCTTTCCCAGAAACTCGCACAACGGGCCCCAACCGTCCTTCAAATTGTAGTTCAACAACCTCTCGGGTGGTGTCTCCCTACGGATGGTGTCATAGTGCCTCTTGTATCCCTCGCGAGCGTTCGCCAAGATACCCTCCTTGGTGTCCGAGTTGAATTGGTACCGCAGCCAGGTGAACGTGATGTCGTCGATCTCCGCGACATACTTCGCGCGCAGCCACGAAAGCGTCCTCCAGACAGGGTTGAAAGCAACGTTGACAATACTCTCGTCGAAGCTCTTGTACCACGACTCGAATTGCCGCTCAACGAGGACGACCTTGGAGTCAGGGTACGCTCTGACCAGCTCCGGACCGAAGAAGTTGGGCGGCAGATCGCAGACGGCCCCACAGTGGCCGAGCAGCTGGTCGAACTCAGTGCGACCAAAGGGCTTCTGACCCGGCTGTGGGTTCATCTTCGCATGCATGCCCTCGGTCCACAGCGGGACCTCGCAGATGTTGGATGTCATAGAAAACCCGTGGTAAACGTCATCGTAGCCGAGAATCATAAGGGCCCGTTGCATTGCTGGGTGTCCATGTCATTAGCCTGGGCTCCAGAGTATTGGGGGCGATCTCTAAGGAGATCGCGGATACCTACATGATGTACCCGTCTTGGACATGCCAAGGGCCAGGACCTCCAATGGGACGACTCGCTTACATGTTCGGCGGTCAATGTTGAGGTCGGGCTTGAAAAGCTCCGGGTGCTTCTCTTCATCGGTCTGCATTCGAGACATGGTGGGCAAAGGCAGAAAGTCGAAGCTTTCGAGGATGGAAACTCTCGAGCTTGAAGTCCACCTAGGATCGAGGAGCGAATACTAGATATAGGCCGCATGTCAAGTAAACCGTCTTCGTGCCCTACGGTCTGGTTTTCCGTCTGGTTTGCAAAACCCACCAGGACAAGTGTCTTAGAACTTCTTGCATTGTCTTACGATTATGACCCCGGCTCCAACAGTCTCTTGCATGCCCAGCGTCACCCACCCATGAATGTTTGGATCTTCGTACCCCAGCATCCACGCCTGAGATGAACCTGGTTCTCCATATCGAAGGATCTTCCGGCCCACTCAAGCAAACATGCGGTGGAAATAAGGCAGGCCACGAAGGACCAGCGACGGTGAGGCATTGGAGACGGCCCTCTGGCCGCCCAGAGTATTGACTCTGGACCTCGCTTCCGCTTGGTCCACACTGACCGGCTCGCAGACCAACAACCGACGATCTAGGCTTACCCTCCGCCACGAATGTTGATACTGGCGAATGAAATGACGCTGTTGGTGCTCTCCTATCTGGGCAGCTGAATATGATGCCTGCATTTGCTGTGTTAGATATGTTTGCTGCACACTTGATTTACTGATTTACTAGCTACCCAGGACAGAGCCTAAGCGAGATAATGGACCCAGAATGTGGGTTTGTTTCCAATGTCTTGCCATCTTCGCACATCTTACTGGTGGCCTTTAGCAGTGTGCTGGGTGAACTGAGCAAGATTAAACGCATCCCCTGCAGACTGCGGCGCGGATCCTCCACCAACAGCGCTGGGCAATGTCTATCTTGGGAAAATGCAACCCTTGTCAGTGTCATCCGTCCTGGTGCGAGCAGATTGTCATCCAAGCCTGATAGCGAATCCGGAATACACATTGAGTGCCATCATGCCAACACCTTTGATTCCGGGAATAAGCAACCTGAGAAAGTGATCCCCTCGCCAGCGAGAATTCCAGAGCAATCTGATTGAACATTTTCCATATGTAACAACTAGGCACCAATACCGACGTCTGCTTCACGTTCATTGATAGATGCTCCCGAAGGAGCGTAAGGTTGACCGAGAGATTTGATCCAATTAGTTGGTCGTAAGCTCCATAACGAAAATTCGTTCGAAGGCCAAGATAATCTGGATGTGAAGCAGCCAGGAAATTGAAGAAGCCTCAATGCGCTGGACATGTGCAGCCAAAACGCGCATCAAATTGATCTCGCGGAAGCGTTTCCCCGCTCCCCGCGACGATGCTCCCTGTATCATATCTCATCACCAGCAACTACTTGGTTCCCCACATACTCGTATGACTGAGAAGGCTGGCCAGGATTTGGCCAAGTTCTTGTTGGTTCCTGACCAGTGGCCGCAGCCTCGGGAGAATCGTTAGCGAACGCAGAGGTAGGACAGCCGTCTAATCTGACGGAGGTAGAACGGCAAAACAGACACTTGATGTCGAAAGAAGGAATCTATCCTTGCCACCTAGACTGGTGTTCGCGTCAGTGCAAATATCATGAGGTTCATTTAGAGCCAACAAAGCCTCTGCGTATGCAAAAACGTGCTGCCTTTTCTTTTGGTTCTTCTGCTGCAGTTGGCTAGTTCTGAAAGTTCTTTTTCACTTCTACTCTACGCACCATTTCGAATCTTGGACCCAAGAGGTTGTGCAATGGCTTCCGGGGCGGAGACCGTCTACATGATAGATCCGCCGGAAGGGGAGGATCGCTTTGCTGCAGGCAGCGTGGGATCCGGCATGGTTGCTGCAGGAATCTCTACCACCATCGTCGCCTTGGTATTTGTTGTGCTGCGAATCTTCACTAGAGCGCTTATTGTGCGGCGAAGCTTGGGAATCGATGATTGTAAGTACATCGGTCATTCGATTATGTCGTGAAAGCTGACATAAACTTCATATTTGATCATTGCTTCGATGATCATGAGCCTCGGGTTCTTGGCCACTGGCCTCAAGAGTACGTCCTGTAGATCAAAAACTGTTTCATGGTTTGACAGTTGCTGATATCTTCATTTCAGTGATTGAGCTTGGTGTAGGATCCCACTTTTGGCAGGTCAAATATGCCGACTATGATCCCGGGTTTCTGATTGTAAGTTGCGATGTCTACGTTTCTGCCGACCTCCAACTCTTGTCTGGTCTCCGAGCGCTCACTATGCTAACAGAATCCCGCAGTACGGCACTTGCACGACCATGACCTACTCCCTCACTGTTGTTCTGGCAAAACTGTCACTTCTGTTTCTCTACCTACGACTATGTCCTGACCAGAGCTTCCGTATCGTTGTCATGACGTTAATCGGAATCGTAACCGCATACTCGATCGCGTATCAGTTGCTCAGCCTGTTCGGTTGCCGCCCTGTTTATGCTTCATGGGACGCGGTGGCGTTGAAGACTGCGAGCTGTGTCGATAAGGAGACAGTCTACATGGTTCTCAGTATCGCCAACATTATTATGGATATCGTTATCCTTATGCTGCCGTTGAAGATTGTCATCCCTCTTCAAATGGCGAGGCGGCAGAAAGCGTCGGTAATTCTGCTGTTCGCAACTGGAACGTTGTGAGTTCTTCCCGCAGTCGCTTGCACCAAATCCCAACTTCACAGAGGTCCTATTATTTCCGTGGATTTCTCACTTACAGACACACGGGCGGGATGTTGCAATGCCATAGACTATTGGTGTTGCACACCTCGTCCCGTCATCATCTGAACAGATAGTGAGATATCCACGCAGATAACGAAGACTTGTAACAATGACTCAGAGCAGCTGACTTGACATTACTGTAGTGTCTGTGCCGCAGCAATCAAGCGTACCATAATTCTTCCTCCTTTGATGAAGAGTCTGGACTATAGCTGGGACGTTGCCGAACAGTTCAACTGGTCCTTTGTCGAAGCCAACGCTGGCACAGTATGCGCGTCTGTGCCGGGTCTCAAGCCGTTCTTCATGCGGTACCTCCCTAGCTTCATTTCCTCGCGTATTACAGGTTCCAGCAACAGGACTGGCATAAAGTCTCTCCCTTACAACACTGTCATTGAGAACAACAAGAAGCGAAGAAATATGCAATCCGAATCTTACGAGCTCCAGTCTCAGGAAGACATATCTGAGGGAGGTTCGGGGAAGGTGGACGATGAGACAAAATTGTGGTCAGGACGTGTTCTCCGCAAGGATGCTACGAATCATCGAGAGATCGTCATACAATCAGGAGGTATGAGGGGGGGGGAGACAGAGCACTCATATTGTTGGGGCCAAATTATCGAATGAAAGGAATAGAGACACCGATTCGTCGTTTGCCAATCTCTCCGTTGCCTTCGATGGCAGGGAAATCAACGTTACACACGAGACCGAGGTTTCTTACAGCAAGTGAGCGTCTTGGTGAATTCAACAGTTTGGGCTGATGGTCCTTAGCTCTATGTTTACAGTGCAATCCCAAGCCATTCGCAAGTATTAGCTTAACCTGATGAATGTCTTGACCATATCACTAAAAGCCAAGTCGTTGCGAGCAGTGTTGTCAAACATAGACAATCAGATTGAGAGGGACGTCTCCAGACTCAACAGTTAGCAATGGATTGACCGATTACAAGAAATTCTGTGCAGCAGAATCGAGGACAAAGATCAAACGAAGCTAACACTATCACAAATGCAGACCGTCAAGCGCTCAACCTCAAATAGGTATGTAGCTTTGCCGCTTCTCCTTGCCCGGGACCTCATTCTCATTCTCCTTGGGGTTCGTATGCTCTAAGTTTCTGACGTCTCATAGGCGGCTGCTTGCCACAATGAGGAAACGCTACTGAAGCCAGTCTTTTATTCGTTGGAGCACTAGTTGGCTTAGGTAGTGGGTGCAGCTGGATTGATCCCGGGCGACCTTCAATCAGTCGCTGCTTGACGGGAGTGTTAGATGTCTCATGCTGCCAGAACTTCTGGTAGTACTCTTTCCTCTGGTAGCAAAGCTCCTCGAAAAGATGACCGACATTCAATCCCCCTCGATGGCGAAATTCATTCAACGTCTTGCTCATCACCGGCGATAGTGAGTACCGTCCCCCGAAACTAGCCGTTCTCTCAAAACCTCTAGAGCACAAGATCTCTTTGATGAACCCACAGTTTTGCGGGAGAAATGGCTTGCGAGCCTTCCGGTTCTGAACGAATGCACCAGCATGACAACAGTCAAGCACGACGAGGACATCGCATGGCAAGTCGTAGATCTCTTCAACGATGTCCTGCCAGTGGATTTTGGACTTCTCACTAGAAAAGCTATTAGCTGGTATTTTCATGGATGGCAACATGTTCAGTAGGTTAGAATAACGGAAACAAACGCCTAGACGCGAAGTCGCATTATTCACTTACCCGCACAACACGAGATCATTTCCGTCGCCTTCGATGTTGCCGTGGCCATTGTAGCAGAGGAATCAGTATGTTTGCTTGTTTCCAGCTTTCAATGACGTCTTGCACTCGCGAATCTTTCCCAGAAGTCTCGTGGCTCGGTTGTGCGAAGGAATGGTAAACTGCTCCACTTCGTAGTTGTAGGCCCTGAAGGATTCCATCGGGTCTTCCATTTCTTGCTCGACGGTATGTGGACCATGCGCCAGGCGGACGAAGCCGGGGAAATCCCAGATCATGAATACGGCGCGCACCGCCTGGTACTTCCTTTGGCAACAAGAGGCATCATGTATTGCGAGGCTGTCATCTTCGTCGCCGTCTTCATCGCCGCCTGTGTCACTGTATTCGTCCCAATCCAGATCGCTCGTTGTCTCCAGACAAGACTCGTAATCCGACAATCCAGATGAGGCATAAGAAAGGGCATCCTCAAAATCATTGTCGGGATCATAGTCGCTGTCGGATTCGCGGTCAAATTGAGACACGATGGAGTCCAGCTCGCTGGCACCTGATTCGTCATCTTTTCTGTCTTCTGAACTTGCATCGGGCTCCCAGGAATGATCGATGATGGCAGAACTGCGTGTATAGACTGCCGGACCGTGAGCGTGGTTGCTCTTCAATACCACTCGCAAATTATGTCGTGAAGGGGGATCCACGTCAACCCATGTCCCCAGTAGAAACTCTACTAGCCGGGAACAAAACTGGCCCGCAAGCTGCTGTGTTGAGCGATCGGTGTTCTCGACTTGAAGAGACCGGATGGCGTTCTGGGCTGAAGAGCGGACGAATTAGCACCTGTGATTCAAAGAAGCCAAGATCTTACCAAATCGATCAATCCAAGCATCAGAGTGAAAACACTGTCCGAGCTGTTTCAGATTCGGATGGCTCATTCTAACACTAACTTCGCTCCGTCTCCACACTGGTAACATTGGACTTTGCTGGTATCTTCCAGGAGTAATATGCCACAGCATTCCATCATCGCTGTCTGCGCAACTGGAAAGAAGAACAGCGGAGTCTAACAAAAGGTGAAGACTGGCCTTTCTGCCTTGAAGAGAGGTACACCCGTGCACGCCTCTGGTGATGTAGACAGCTCGGGGGCGAGTCCCAGAAGTGGGTGCAAGGGTAGAAATCTTGCCCATGGCGGTGAACGATGCGTGCCGGTCACCTGAAGCGAATAGGTGCAAACTCTTCCCATCCGGTCGTGGGTTGTCCCATACTGACTGCGAGTGCGACACCTGTATATATGTTACAGTAGAAGTCTTTGGAGAAAGTTCGACTTTGAGCTAGATCGGGTGAAGTTTCTTCGAATTTGTGTCTTAGTTAGTTCCCGTACATGGTTTACGAACCACCTTACATACCCATGGCAAGAGCTAGAAGGACTGGAGTCATAAAGGAAGTCTTTACCAGCTGCTTCAAGTCAAACAAGCCCCCAGTCACTTTCATTTCTTATTCTGTGGTTTTCTGATTCGCAAGATAGTAACAATGTAGCTAGCTCGCGCAAGCAAGTGAAGAAAGTATAGAGGTTTCCAAAAGATGAATAGCAACTTTCCAAGGCCTGTTAACTTGGCATACATGAGTACAATTTCCTCGGATAATTACATCGTCTCTTATCTCAAGAACTGCTGTTACTCACGATGCCTCCTCTAAATACTGGATAATAAGGCGGAGCCACCCCCTTCAACTATGCGCCAAGTTTCTGTGAAACATAAATCACTATTTCATATTTGACATTACTAGAAGCTCTACAACATCCTGAAAATTCTATTCCGCAACTCTCGTCGCAGCACACATATCATCTGTTATTCTCGGGAATGCAAGAAAGGCTCTAGGCAAGGCTATTATCGCACACGATTCCTGACCCCTGCAGACACCTCCAGCACAAGCGCCATGATGTGTTAGTGCAAGTCAACTTTCAGACCTAACTTTGCATCAATCTCTGAGGATCGCAAAGAAAGATCCGTGAATTTGAGCTGCGAGTGCTAGCAAGATTGGCCATGAGTATACTCTTTCCTTGAGAAAATCCTAGTACTTTCTTCAGGTTGCAGATTGAGGTGAAATATGAATGACTCCCATCCAATTGTTTCATTGCCCGCCACGAAGACAAAGCTGCACTTGCGGGGTTACCTTTCTTCCATAATCATGTCTTTCAGTCTTCTCATGAGTACGGGAGATGCGTGACTTCCCAGAGCGCTCTTAGTACATCTGAGTAGCTAACTGAAAATTCATGAGCTCTATAAAACGCAACAAACAGTTGGCTGACTAAGATTGGCCCAGCTCCTGAAGCCGACCGCTAAGGTATCTTGTCTAGATTGATCTTTTCAGAGGCTTCAAAATCACGGATTTCATGCTCATCATCATTTTACACATTTGATTGTTGTCTAATTCTTATGATTAACAGCAATTAAGGGACTGATGATAGCTTTCAAGCGTTGAAAACAAAGTCGCTAACTACCTACCTTATCTATTTGACGTCCACAGGTCGACTTTTGGCGTTAAAGAGATCTCGGATGATGATTGGCTACCCGATTTGCAAACTGGGCTTTCACTGAGCAGGTCTGATTCGGCAAAATTCCCTGTTGATCAGCAGCACTAAAAGGCGTAGTCGCGGTCGTCAAATGGATGGGTATCAGCCGAAAAGTGGCTTTCCTGCATGATCCGGTTGCAGATTTCGGTGAGTCTGGGGTATCTGATTGGCTCACAATTTGGGTGCGACCCTGGGATTGACCAACCAGATACCCCTGTATTGACCGAGAATGAATCTATAAAGTCAGCGATACTCCCACCACCGTCCTCGAGTGAGCTTAACAGCTTCCCATTCAATTTCGAATCTTCTGCTGCTGCGAGCAACACTATCACGCACGCGCAGTCCAAGACTTGTTTCTACCATATTTTCCGCTCTTTCTACGACAAACCCTCCTCTGCACAGCTGAGCTTCGATTCACGGGTGGCTTGCCCATGGCCATGGTCCTTACTCAGCAAGCATTGCTATCGAGCTCCATGGTGGATTCCTTCACTGCAATACTTCGACTTGCTCCGATCGAAACCTCGAAGGCGAACCAAAGCTGCGAACGAACAACCGTCCACAGTCAGGCAAGCAAGGCAACCGAATCGTCCCTCCGAGGCAGATTTTCTCAGCAGCATCACGATTCAGATTTTCCGCCGCATGCCCCTGGGAACTTGATCGCGGCAAGGCAAAGAGTGGGGTCACCTTAGTCGGGCGACGACTAAGGCACGGGAAAACTGCATGCAACCCTCAGCCATGCAGCGTACGACACGTCACTCCCATCGCACTATCACCGTTGGATGGCATCAACTCGGACAAAAGCACCTGGATTGTTAACTTGAAACCAATAGTCGATGCCGTACGACACACCAGGGCCAACACGATCGACGATTTCCTTGATCCTTCCTCATTCTTCCATTTTGTCTCCAAGCTGCGGATGTCTATGCCGCACGGAACCAATCGGACAGCGATTGAACATCCCGTCACCGCTCTCTGCTCACGCCGAGCTGAGGTCGTCGGTACCGCGCATACCGAAGGCTAGACCGATGCTGGTCGGATCTCGTCAAATTCAAGCCGCCCTCAAGATGAGGCTGCCACCAAGCCGGGTTTAACGCTACAAGTTTGTACGTTGACGGCATGGAAGCCGGAGTATTCGAAATGTCACGATGTTAGTGCATTCGTGGCACTAATTTCCATCTCAAAATGGCTGAAAAGTCTGTTGCTGCCGTTTTTCTTTTCTTCCGGGGGCGGAGGCAAATTGCCCGCTGGCGACCGTGATCCGGTGCCACATTTGCCTTTACATGGCCGGAGCGGCGATCGGTGGTCGGCCCCGGGTCGGGACCGGGAACGGCGTGCCTCGCGTTTTCATACCAGTAAAGGTTAACTAAACGGTGGCTCATTCTCATCAGTCATGAGTGTCCGGGGATTGAAGCCGGGCAACACGGTGCCATTGTTGAGAAATAAAAACGTGTTGCGGTCGCTGCATGCTACCATTGTGACATAGAGGTCTACTTGCTACCCATGTCACCCCCTTGTTGTTGTCACTAACTCCGTCGCTGGATCACCCCCCGCAGGAGGATACGCTCTCACCACCGACATTTTCAACCAATCAACATCTCTTCGTGCAATTCTGGCAAAGCGAATGTGGGATATAGTTTCGCTTTTCTCAAAATGCGGCTGCCTCTGCAGGAAATGATACGAGCCGGCAAGCATTCTTGCACTTTCAAAGTCCAGGCCGGGCGTTCTTGCGGGGTACGGAAGATCTTCCCCTCGGACCCCTCGAACTCGATGCTACCTCGAGACGCTAGACATGAGCGGTTGTACGTCAAACACTTCCCCGCTGGTAATGAGGCGCTCCAAAGTACCGAGTCTTGAGCTGTTGGCGGGCTTGGCGGACTGTGGGAGATGGATTGATAAAGTCCTTGTGGGATTCGCGAGCTGCCTGGATTTTGAACCACGACTAAGGCATGACAAGCACCGGCCCTACACCTTTCACGTTGACCTCTGAGCCAAGGTTCCTGTCGAAGTTGGAACAAGAAACGACATAATAATCTTTCCCTTCAGCCATGAGCGCTCGCTCAGGACAATCAGCGAACACTGGGTACGATTGGGCAACTCTCTTCTCCGAACCGTCCGTGGGGAAAATGAACGAGACGTTTGACTGTTTATCCGCAGCCGCGATGCGACGAAGCCACCACACCCACCTACTTCTGACTCACAAGCGACTCTAGCAAAGCGCCGACAAGTCATATTCGAGCAACAAACTATGTCTGCTGACGGCAATACGCACCGAGTCGCCTACCGAACCGGCGCCTCCGCTGCCAAGTGTCAGAGTGTGGCGATAGCACACAAGGCAATCAAAGACTTCGACAAGGACTTCAACAATAGCAGACATGCCTGAGGTGTCTCGGTCAATCCACAGCGATATCAATCTGCCGGGTTACAGTCTCAGATGTGAACACAGTCTACAACGATTGCGTCGTTTACCAAATCGAGGTATGCGATGCAAGGCGCGGTTAAAAGCCTCTGACTTCATGCATCCCTTGTCTTACTGGCGGATGACCCCAAGGTTGCATCAGCGGAGCCAGCACTTGAATCAACGAACCGTACAACGAGGCGGCCGTTTTTACATGACGCGGTGGTATGGTGGCCATCACATTGACAGTCTGTCCTATCTTGATTCAGGAGGAGGATGTACATAGCGATGTATTAGCTACAACCCATTCAATGGGCGGGCCATGGCGACTGAATTGATCCATTACTTGAATCGAGGCCTTAGCCTGAAGTGATATTGATATCAAGCTACTGAAACTATGTCGCTTGTCGCATTGTATAACTGGCGCACGCAGCACTCTTCCCCCAAGCCTTCCTTCACGGGGGAACACGTCGGGCCCCAGAATGGTTATGTCTTTATCGTCACAGGCGATAACGCGGGCGTCGGCTACGAGCTGGTGAAGCTCCTTGATACCACAGGTGCCATTGTGTACATGGCATCGCGCTTCAAAGTAAGTGTCAAGAACGTCTGCCGCGCCTGGGGCTTCATGGGACTCATTGCAGTCCTTTGAAAGCCGTGGATGACTTGGGCATCACGTCCGTCGTGACTAATAGCCCTGAGCGACCAGGTGGCTGGGCAAAGACCTGTAATAGCGGCCGGTATAAGGGGCATTCGGGTCGCCCAGCTCATCGTACAGCTCGGTTCCGACAGCAATGTGCCAGACCTTGGCGTGCTCGCGCCCGACCTCCCCCGGATTCTCGGGCTCGGGAAAGCCACGCACGAGCTTGACGCAAGGGGAAGCCAGGGCGAGCTCATCGACCATGATGAAGAACTCGTACCTGGCGCCGCGGGGCACGTAGACCATTTCCTGCGGGTCGCTCTGGCTGGGCTTGAAGGGGAGCATGCCCTCGGACTCGACCCAGGTGCGGAAACGGCGCTGCAGGTCGGCGATGGAGATGTTGTCCAGGGAGGGGTCGTCGACGAAGATGAAGTCCATGTTTTGGAGGATTTCCGGGGCGGGGGAGTCGGCGATGCGTTTGCGGAGGTTGGAGAGGACGAGGGCCTTGAACTGGTCCCATTTGGAGGTTGACTCGGGGGAATAGGTTGTGCGGTAGATGACGAAGCCCCATTTCGGATAGCCGCAGTCGCGGATGTTGGTTTCGGGTGTTGGTTCGGGGAATTCGTCGTCGTCCGCTTTAAATATGTCGGAGCCCGAGTCTGAGGGTGGTGGGGAGGACATGGCGTGAGGGTGATGGTGACGGTGGTGATGATGATGAAGAAATGTAAGGGAAAATTTAGCAGGTGACGAAGCGATGGCTTGGGTCGGTAGTCGTCGGACAATGGTGATGTTGCTTGTTCGGAGGTGCTGGTTGACAATCCTAGGCAGTGAGCGCATGCTGGCTTTGGAGGATGCATGAGAGTATTTAATTCAGTGGACTTTGGGCTGGAACACTTACATGGCAACTACAGGCTACATGTAGTCTGTTTATCAAATGCAGTAGGGTGACACTGGCGGGCCGCCAAGGGCAGCTAACGGGCAGGGGAGAAACGAGATATTACATTAGGTAGGTAATAAATACATGTAGGCCACATTACATGATATGGTATGGTGACATTCGGCTCTCCCTGGAGCTCAGCTCCGATCAATATCATTAGACCCTGCAGTGTCGCAGATGATGCCATATACAATGTACCTACCAAACTGCCTAAGGGTAGGTAGGTCAGGCAGTTGGCAAGAAGAGTGAGTGCCAGCAGAGCAGGCGCGCGATTGGGGTTAAGGTTATCAATCTACCAGTATCTGGACACCTGGCAGCACGTGGCAGGGTAAGCCACCCATCTACCTGCCCACTAAGTCATCATCATCACTTTCAGTCAAAAACAAACCTCCTTCCCAACGCGATGATTATTACTTCTCTCCAATGCATCAATCCGTCCATCCATCCATCCATCCATCCATCCATCAATCAAGAAATCTCTTTCTACACAGTAAACTGTCTACTAGCCCGGCACCAACAACAGATAAACGTCTGGTACCATCACATCCCCTCTAAACGACACGCCAGTCTCCTACGGATCACTCTCGGAGCCAGCATGCTCACTCGGCCGGGTGCGTCCAGTTGGGAATGTCATTCTCAATCTCTTGCAGATCCGCCAATACCTCGGCCCTGTGCTGCGCGTTCAGGTTGTTGCGGCTGTTGTACACCCGCCTGACCTGCCGGATACGCGCCCGCGCCCATGTACGCGCAAACTCGGTCACCATGCGAAAGTACGACGGGTAGAACTCGTTCCACTGCGCCGACAGACCGCGCGCGTCCGGCAGGTTGAGCTCGAGCTGTTGCAGCTGCGCCAGGAACAGCGCTGCCCCGTTGTCGATGCTCGTCACCACGTCGTCGTCCCGCAGGTACCCGAACAGGGCCACCAGCTCGCGGAGCGGCGCCATGAACGACATGATGTCCGTCAGCGGCGAGTCGTTGCTACGGTCCACCGCGTCCCGGAGGAACCTTCCAAACAGGTTCGACCCCATCGGCGCGTTGAATATCTCCACACGGCCCTTGACCCCGTTGATGTTGTCCTGCAAGAACGTGAACTCGGTCGGGTGCGTCGTCGACCCGAGCGCCTCGTACAGCCGCCCCACCGGCCGCCGGATATCAGGAGAGTCGGGCGTCACCCGGGGCAAATTCGCCGGTAGCCCCGCCGGGTCGCCCCATATGTTCTGCCAGAAGTTCTGGTTGCCTACCCGCCGCGCCGTCGTAAGCCTCCCCTGCGGATGAGCCTGTCCCACCGTTGTGCCGTCTTCGCGTACGTATCCCGCCGGCCGAGCCGCCCACATCCGACCGTGCTCCGCCACTGAAGCGAATCGCCCTACAATGACCAGCGGAATCGTGTGCTCTACCTGCCCTCGGTCGGGAGGAGGCGCGTCGTTGTCCAGGTCAATGTCGAGCGCCTCGATCCCCGGGTCGCCGCAATGGTCCGACTGCGTCGCCCACCGACGGAGCACCCTCACCAAACCCTCCCGGAGCCTGCGCATGAGCTGTGATGGCGGAGGGTATGCGAGCGACTCTTGGAGAATGACGATGCCGAAGGACGCCAGCCACTTGTAATCGCGCTTGTTAAGGATCTGGAACTCGCCATCCTCCTGCCGAATCACGAGCGATACCCCGGGGCCCTTCTGAGCATTAGCCGCCTCGGCCAGAGCTACACCCGTCTCGCTGTCCTCATCGCGCGGCTCAATGTGGTTGCCCCAGTCGTCGCGGTTGGTCTGCGAGCAAAAGTTGTAGTCGAGCATGCACGAGTCGACTGTGCAGGTCAACGGCTTGGGCACCTCCACCCGGACCTTGCAGCAGAGCGCCTTCTCCCGGTCCCAGCTGCAGGCGTTGTACGAGTCACCGCTGGCGTGGCTGTCGATCTGCACCTCGTACAGGGGCTTGTTGTCCTTGTCCAGGGCCTTGCAGTTGCCGTCAACGCAGTCGGGCGAGGTGCCGCGCCACCCGCACTCGTACAGTCCCGTGTCCCGGGGGCAGCAGTAACTCTGCACGACGCTGAAGGGGCATGCTCCCGTCTTGGTCGCCACCTTCGTGTGCGTCGAGGAGCACTCATTGCTCTGGATGCTACAAACCAAATCAGCCCTATTCAGATGTGAAGCCATCACAGAGGCGGGGGGAACTCACCATCCCGTCCAATAGCAGTCCTTGACGATGCTCTTGAAGTTGGGGGCTTCGCAGCAGAGCACCTTGGACCCCCGCGCGCAGTTCTTGCGCGGCCACTTGGTGTCGGCCGAGGGAGAGCCTCCCCATTTGGAAGACACAACGGCAGTCTCGCCAGTGTGGCACTGCCCGTTGCAGTCACCCCAGACGCCACCGTCGTCGGGCGTGCCTCGCCAGGTGCACGAGCTTGTCGAGTCCCGGGGACAGCAGACCGGCATGCCCTTGCTGCTGTCTTCAGAGCCCTACAACACATACAAAAGTCAGCACGTCTGCCTCGCCAGTGGTACCCCTGTCAACAGCGTCACTTACGCATCCTTGCCTGTCGACGGCAACCAGGCTCTCGCCATTGGGGCAGGCAAAGTGTCCATCCTCTCTACAGCCGTCAGATTTGTACACGTAGCAGCCCTGTCCGTTCTCCAGCTTGATGGTCTCGATCAAGTTGGAGCTGGTCATCTCCAGAGCCTCGACTTTATCGGTGTTGATGTGCGCCACCTGGTGGCCCATCAGCCCGCTCATGGCCGTGAACTTGTCGTCGTCCGTGTCGACGGCCCAGATCATCGAACCGCCAAAGCCCATCTCGTTGGCCCACTTGAGCTTGAGCTTGAACGTGTCGGCATCGTCATACGAAATCCACTGGTTCTTGTCCCAGGTGATGTACTTGACCGCCGCCTCCTTGTCGAACACCGGCTCGAGGTCCGGGAACTTCTTCAGGATGGCCTGGATCTCGTAGTACATGAGGATGCCGGCCTCATTGGAGCAAGGGCCCTTCTTGGCACCGCCGGCGAATGGGCATCCAGGCTTGGTACAGCTGGAATCCGCAAGCTCAAAGGCGCGCCCATAGAAGCCATAGCCCAGGACGACCTGCTCAGGCTTCACGCCAACACGCCAGAGGAGCTGCGTGGCGAGCTTGATCTCCGTCAGATTAGTGTGTGCCTGCGCGATGGCCCCGATAGGGTTGTCCCGGTCCCAGGTACCGTGGAGGTCGTAGCTCATCAGGTTGGTCCAGTCGGCGTACTGCAACAGCCCGGGCATGTCGAACCAGCGCAGGTACCAGAAGGACGAGGGGATGGTGAATGTCAGGCCGAGCTTGCGGGACGACCGATCAAAAGTGTTGCGCAGCGTCTTCATCAGCAAGACGAAGTTAGGGGTATCCTCATCCCTGCCACCGCGGTCTCCAGCGCCGGGGTACTCCCAGTCGATGTCGAGGCCGTCGAAGCCGTACTTATCGAGGAACCTGACCACGCCGTCGGCGAACTTTTGACGGTTCGCCTGGGTGCTGGCAATCTCGCCGAACAGCGGCTGAGTGACGGTGCCGTTGTCGGAGAAGGTCCAGCCGCCGACGGCGACGTACACCTTGAGATTAGGGTTGTACTTTTTACTGTCTACGGTCACCTGCCATAGGTCATCCTCGTGCTTCATGTCCATGGTGACCATCTCGTAGGTCTCAGGCTCGATGAAGGTGAAGGCATAGTTGAGGTGGGTAAGCTCCTTGAGGGGCAGGTCCGAGGGCGACTTCTGGTTACACTTTGACTTGTAGCTCCAGGACTCGTAGTAGCCTATGACACGTTCCATGGCGGCGTCCTTGGGCGAGCCGCCCGGGGGCTGAGGCTCTAGGATGCAGTTAGACTGGCACCCCTCGGTGCAGAATTCGGAGGTAGTGCCGCAGAAGCCGTGTTCGCTGCAGCAGGCGTTGAGCTTGCAGGTCTGCCCCGGGTTCACGGCGTACTGGCCGCACTCGGCCTTGGCGTCGCAGTTGGACTGGCAGCCCGCGCCGCAGTAGGCAGGGGCATAGCCGCAGTTGCCCGAGGCGCCGCAACAGGCGCCGTTGGAGCAGGGGCGGCCTGGGCCGCAGGTATAGGGATCGTCGTCGAGACGCACAGCGAGGCCGAAGGGGGCCTCCGCGTCCGAGACGGACAGGTTGCCAGACGGAGCAGGGAAAGCGGAAGAGGTGGTGGCCTCGATGACGGGCTGAGCAGTTGAGTTGTCTGCCCTGGGACTCAGGTGAGCTAGCTCGACAGGAGCGCTCTCATGCCTGCTTCCGATATAAAAGGCAAGAAAGAAGAGAGGAATGAGCGAAGAGAGGGTAAAGAGAGTGGAGCGGCGGTCCCTAATGGATGATGCCATGGTTTCTGGGATGGATCGTGTCCCACGATAAGTAAGAAGTGAACGAACGTCGACCTCAGGAAAGAGTGTCAAAAGGTGAGCCGTCTGGGTGAGCCTGGTTTCAACGGGCATTGGCCGCCCTGGGGATGCGTGCTCTTAAGCTCAACTATCACGAAAGAGCCACGAACGATGTCGGCCGACGGTATTGTGGCTTGCTCGTCCCGAACCGCGAACTCCCAGCATTTCAGGGTCCTTCCATTTTCAGCTCACGCAGGGAATCATCCGACATTCTCTCTGGCTCGGACTCGAAGCGAATACTACCCTGGTCTGACGGAGTCTTACTTGGCAGTAGCTCGCCCGTCATTTGAGCGATATACGGATGTCTCGTGAGAATATCGCGCGCCCTCATTTAGGGCTCATGCCTTTCCGATAGAGGAAGCTCGATGAAAACTACCAGGAAGGATCATCATAGGGTGTCGACCCTCGTTAAATTGCACAGTTGCATGTGAGCTGCTGACGGGCGAATCTTGTGATGCTGTTCCTGGGCCACACAGCCTTGGCTGCATCAAGCGTTGCATCAAGCGTCAGCCTTGGCTGCATTTAGGCATCAGCCTCGTCGGGAACATCGCGGCGATTTTGGTTAAAAGTACGGATAGAGTTAAAGTTAGACTTAATAGGGTCAGCCCGAGGGCTGCGGGATGCAGGGGCAAGGCAAGACAGAGGCCCATCCCGGATGTGACCATGACCGGCCTTGTCAGCGTTGCTTGTCAGCGTTGCACCGAGGTGCGACCCATGAAAGCTTGCCAGGATAAGCTATTGATATGGGTTATGATCACATTCAAGCCTAGATCAGTCGCTTTCGAGGCCTCGTGATAATGAGAATAGGGGGACATACTATGGGATGAGGAAAAGGTCGGCAGGTGACGAAGGGATGTGGGCGGACATGTCATGTTCCGAGCTGGACTGGAATGGGCTTGTGATGGCAGAAGGCATCATGGTTCGTTTCCTGGGCCATCTCACTTCCCTCTTTATGGCGGCGTCGCCTGATCCCAGAAATTTCTCGTCGAGAACCCTCGCACCTTCGGGGTCTCATGCTCGTTATACAGCCCATCTTTACGTTCTTTTGACTCTTTGCTGTCTCCGTCGCTCGTTTTCCCCTTTCTCCACGATGGACCTGTCTCTTCGCTCGTGGGCTCTGCCCCTTGCGATTCACTTGCTTGCTCTCATGAACTTCGTCGACGCTCAACAGTTCACCGACGTGAAGCTGGGCTACGCCCACTACCCCGGGCTCAGCGAGAGCTGCTACCAAGCTCTCAACACGACGGTCCAGTCCTGTCCCGGCTTCCTGGCCACCCATGCCGCCGCCGTCCCCCGCCTCGAGTCCCAGATGCTGGAGGCCCTCTGCACACCGACCTGCCAGTCGTCCCTGGCTGCCGCCCGCCGGACCATCGCCTCGGACTGTGGCGCCGAGACCGACGTTGTCGAGTTTGACCGGGTCGTGTATCCCGCGACCTACATGGTCGACCGCATGATCCACGCCTATGATCTATCCTGCGCCCAGGATGGAAACACGGGCGTGTACTGCGACGAGGTGTACCTCGATAACCTGGCCAACGGCACCGCCGCCGGCCCTTGCTCCGGCTGCTCCCTCGGCACCGCCAAGGTCCTCCTCAACTCGCCCTTTGGCTTCGATGCAGAGTTCGCAGCCGACTTCAAGTCCCGCACGGCCAGCTGCGGCGCCGCCGGCTATGACTTCACCACGCCTGCCGCGTACGCCGTCACCACCAAGCCCGCGCCGACGTCCACGGACGGCCCGGCGTGCGCCTCGCCTTACACCGTCCAGCCGGGCGACACGTGCGACTCCATCGCCACGGCGCGCAAGGTGTCGACCAACGCAGTCATCAGGGCCGGCATCACCGGTCCCGGCTGCAGGAACCTCGTCCCAGGCACCCAGCTCTGCCTCCCCGAGGCGTGTACCCAGTACCGCGTCAAGTGGGACGACAGCTGCGAGGACATCCTCGAGGCCGTCCCCGGTCTCCAGGCCCAGCACCTCCTGACCTGGAACCCCAACATCAGCCCCCTCTGCACCAACCTCGATGACATAGTCGGGCACCTGATCTGCGTCAGTCCCCCGGGGAGGACACTGGCCGACGCCACCGCCGTCCCCTCCGGCCCGCCGACCACGACGCAGCCGCCAGCGACGGCAGTCCCGAGGCCCTCCAATGCCAAGGCCGAGTCAAACGAGCGATGCGCGGCGTGGTACGAGATCCGCACAGGCGACTACTGCCAGATGATCTCGATCAAGAACTCGGTCGAGCTCCGCGACTTCTTCTTCCTCAACCCGTCGGTCGACGACCCCGGCTGCGGGAACCTGTGGCTCAACACGTCCTACTGCGTCCAGCCCGTCGGCGACATCAACACCTACCCCTCCTACCCCTATTCCACCTCCCCGCCCTACACCCTCACGCCGCCCGACTACGTCACCACCACGCAGCCGGCTATCGAGACCGTGGCGCCCAGCGAGACGCCTGTCGTCGAGCACCCTCTCGCCTCCGGCTCTCGCGACGAGGCGGGCGGGTGTCGCGAATTTGTCGAGCACGTCGAAGTCCCCTTGCAGAAGGACCAGAGCCAGCAGCCCGACGTGCCGCAGCTGACCAAGAACATCAACGCCTGCGATTACGTCGTCGCGGCGCAGAGGATCACGATGGAGGATTTCATCGAGTGGAACCCGAGCCTGAGAAACGTGGATCCGTGTGTTTTGCAGCCCAACCTCCGATACTGCGGAGCGTACGGCAACACGACTGGTGAGATTATTCCTAAGAGCAATGAATTCCCCCCTTTTTGTGAAACGTATGCTAACACGAGAACACGTACGGCAGCCCCTGACACTTCGGACGGCAGTTGCCTCGACGTCGAGACCCCGGAGCCTGGCACCGTCGAGGGCTGCGCCTGCTTCACCAAGATCAGCGGCTTCAACGCCGGCAAGTTCCTGTGCGCGGACATTGCCGAGGACAGGAACATCACCGTGAGCGACCTGGTCAGGTGGAACACGTGGATCGGCGAGGAATCCGACTGCGACGCGGGTCTCTACGCCGACCTCGCCGAAGACGCGGAGCGCGGCGTCTGCGTCAGGGACACGGCCGGCTCGGGCACGCCGCCCACCGATCCCGTCGAGCCCCCCGGCCCGACGCAGCCCGGGATCGTCGAGGGATGCCGGAAGTACTATGTCGCCGCGTCCGGAGATGGGTGCTGGGCCATCGCCGACGCCAACGGCATCGACCTCGCCGACTTTTACGAGTGGAATCCTGCCCTCAACGGGGACTGCTCGGGATTGTGGCCGACGTACGCCTACTGCGTCCAAGGCCCTGCGTCTCCCGGCGGGTCGGAGCCGGTCGAGCCGCCTGGGCCCACGCAGGAGGGGATCACGCCCAGCTGCAAGAAGTACCACCTCGTCCAGTCTGGGGAGGGGTGCTGGGGCATTCAGCAGGAGTACGGCATTCCCGACTACGCGACGTTTGTCGAGTGGAACCCGGCGCTTGGGTCTGATTGCCAGAACTTGTGGCCTGATTATGCCGTCTGCGTTGGTGTTTAGGCGTCCTCGTCTGCTCCAAAGGCGCGTCTGAGATTGGATTGCTAAATATCGGGGGAGGGGGAGGGGGAGGTGTTTTTGGGACAATGCTATATTGACCGCAATCACGTCCTATCACGCTCGTGAGTCACACAGCGGCCATTCTTTGAGGTCTTCCGGCCTGATGTCCATCTCTGGAGCAGATTACTCTAATATAGCCCGCTATAATTTATTTCCGCCCACCACTCCATTGGTCTACCAGCGATGTTCCAATTCTTGATTCTGTGCTGTATGTTCCTGTGCAGCGTCGGGGCGGGGCCGGCACGGTTCGTTTGCAGCTTACTGTTATACTGCCAAGCACTCATGTCATCTTTGAAAAACGTGTTTCATTTCTTTAACTTACCATGGTTTAACTCTCTTTCTATTGCTATAACGGCCTAGTTCAGATCTCCCGTCTCCATGCTGCTACTGCAACTAGAACGCCGGGGCCATACCTTCTTCTCTGACTCACACCAACCCGAATGTCAGTGGTCAGACCGCCAGGTCGGCTAGAAGACATTAAAAGGGGCCGCTAGAAGAGTCATTTTAGATCAATATATGCCTGTTGGGGACGCTTGAGAGTGTACATACTAATACTAACATTTCCTTCCGAACTCCAACGTGCGATCCAAGAGATGCTCACGCTGCCAAGTGTTGCATCACTAACCCCAGGCTTAGCGTACAGGGTCATGTGAGAGTGAGAAGAGGTTTGTTTGAACGTCTCATCCCACAACTAGCTGTTTTGGTCAGGTATATCCAGATGCTTTGAGAATTTATGAAGGATTTTCGGTGTCTGCTGACAGTCACAGGCAAGATAATCCAAATGGGTGAGATATAGGGAGGTCATGAACGGGTGGCCAGATGCCTCACATAAATCCGACCAGCACCGTTCGTCTTCTTGGATCAGGATCTTCTTGGACCCAGTCATTCATCTAGCAAACATAAATTTGAATACATACATACATGCAATGGTTTCCAGTGTAAAGTTGTATGTGTACATCTGGCGTCTGGCTGGTCCTCCAATAGACCCCGTCATGTGATGGCTGCGCCGAAGGATCAATCGGCTGACTGAACCTGTTTCACAGCACTCAGCGCAAGATTGCTCGAAACAATCAGGCCGGTTTTCGAGCAGAGGATGGCACATGTACGAACATGAACTGCCAGTTATCTCTAGACACGACCTATCCCTCTGTCAAAACCGGAACTCTGAATGCGGTAGGGATGCTGCTCTAGAAAACTCAACCGCCCTATCACAAACGAAGTCCTAACCAGCCGCTTCGAGTGAAACACCTCATGACTTTCAGTCTGTGTTTCAAAATGTTTTCAATTTAAGCAGTTTGTGCCAAAGACATACAACAAATTGTATAGATTTCCCGAAGATGAGTTTCCTCCGTTGGTTGAAGGAAAAGTTAGAAGGGGAAAAGGACTCCGTTGGTTACCGCAGCGTATCATCATTGTGAAAATCGTAATTCGCAGGGAATCAAACAACTACGCGACCCATAGGCGCTTAGCCATCCCAGACCAGCGCTACAACTAATTCAGAGGAGCTCAGGTTCACAATCCACTGAAGTTTCAATGGACAAATTAGATCAACCATAGTACGAGTGAACACACCGTTGTTCATTGATTAATGACCTCGGCTACCCACGCCTGCTGATCGTTTTAACGAGAATATGTTCAAAATATCTCCCCAGCTTTAATTAGCTTCGGGGTAGCTCTTCATTATATCATGAAACCCCTCATTCTGTATTACACCTAAAACGATAGTTAGGTAGGTAGCCATCAACCATTGCCCACATGCGATCTCACTTAGCACACGCCCGATACAGACAATCACCCTAACCCTTGCCCACATGCGATGCGATCTCACTTAGCATACTATGAAAGTATTCCCCAATATAAATTCTAGTAATTATCTTGATCTAAGGCTTTACGCCATGCAACCATGCGGTGTGACTCTCAGCAAACTTTCAGTGAGGCGGAAATGGATGCACGACGAAATCTGCATTGAAAGCATTGATGCCCATTCCTGTCTTTTCATCTTGCAATTCATCGCGATAACCATCACCAACCTGAAATTTGAGACGCACGAACCAGTACATGTGCTTTCACTTCAAGGAGACCTTACTTCTCCCTTTCTGAACTGTAGAAAGAAGAACGTGTTGAACTGCTCAGTGAATATGAGTACTCGGTCGGCACAGTCAACCCACTCGAGGTAATCCTGCTGTCTCCTCTTTCTCTAAGTCTTAAAACGACATAAGAAATAAAATATCTAACTTGTCATCCACAGGGTCAATTCGGCAAACGCAGCCCACGCACACGATTCAGTCGAATCGCAGGCGACTCTGGCAAGACGCCGTCAAGTCGAGTTCGAAACACAAAGTCTTTCTTCCGAAGGCAATATGCATCGAGTCTCCTACCAGAACGGCGATGTTCTGGCCGCCAAGGACCAGGGTATTTCGAGAGCAAAAGCTGCGATTGAGTCGTTCCTCACAAACTTCGCGGGAACTAGCACTTGACCACCTTCATGGACGATGAACAACGACTCATATAGGAGGCGACGAATCGATGCCACTGCTGGAGCTCTAGAGGAGGCATCGTCAAGAGGGATAGTTGTGTTCCGTGGGTAATGGTCTCAGCATTGTCAGGCCTGGTGTCTAGTACTGCAGCGCACGGTCTGATAGGAAAATATCGGGTGGCAGAGAAAAATGTTGGCAAGATGACATTGTTCCTAGTGGTACGACATAGATAGCTGATGAGATCGACTGCATGACACCTTGCCAACCTAATGACAAGACTATTTCTCTGATCAACCCTGAATTTACGAACACCTATCATCGTGAATCTAATAGCGTTGATAAACAAACATGAAGAATTGTATGATAGAGCTTAATCAATCCTGTTTCTTTCCTTGATTTATCGTAGCCCGTACCTGGGCCTCTATCGCATGGTAAACATGGCCCCGTAAGCTATTGAACACTCCTGGAGGTTGATGTAGAAGAGTCTGTGATTCCAATGACTCCGGCTATGTGTGGAGCTCATCAGCCAGGCCACGGTCTCGGATAGCCGGGTTCCAGCTGGAAGTTGACATTTCATTGACCATTCCAGACGCCGCCGAGCACCCTTAGGGACGTTCATCGCTTGTTTATCTGTCCCATGATCGTTGCCACCTCAGTGTTGACTCTTGCTTGGCGCTGACAGGCAATCACATAGTGATCGTCTGTTTGGTAAGCGACGTGATACATGTTGCTTTCCTGAGACGTCGGTTGGTTCGTGTATGCTGACAGTCGCTGCTGCCTTAAAGTGCTCTGGGACCCCGTGGACGTGTGCGTGTGTGATGCTAATGCGGATGTGGTGTGTCTGGAATTGCAATAGGAGTCAGTATATCGTGGCCGTGTTTGATGAATGGAATCAGTACCCGAAATGAACTGATTGCTGAGAGGACATGGTGCGCACAAAGATTCGCAGCGTTTCAATATTTCGTTCAGATTTGAACTAGAATCTTCACTTTCTCGCAAAGGAATACTCAACCAAGTACCAACAAGTCACAATAAGAATGTACCAATTCGAAATCGAAGTGATTGCCCAGTGCCGTTGCCCCAATTCAACGAAGAATGTAAGGCACTCTCGATCCCAGACCTTTCTCTCATCGCCGGCGCAGCATCCCTCGAATTGCGGACTGGTTTGCCAGGTACTGCATCTTGATCCCAACAACAACCCTGCGCTTTGATGCCCTTCAGAAGACGTCTTTTCTCCTTCGTAACCGATAAAACCTGGTCTCAAGTTCCGAAATTTAATCAATTTCAAGTGTGATCGCTGCGGATGGCGGTAGGCAGTCGCGGTAGTGCCGCCGCCTTGTCGCCTGGCGGTGTGGGGTTCCCCTTTGGGGGACTGGAGGTGCGCTTAGCTCGGATGGGCGTGCATCCAACAACAAGGCAAAGGTTTGGAAAGGAAGACACATCACTTCTGAATGACTGGTGATGATTAGCAACAGCTTCCTCCATCTCAATCGCATCATACGACGCATTGAAGGGCCATAGATATGTTGCGTGGCATGATCTCTGGGTACAGCGGGCGGGCGACGTCGAGACCACACAGGTGATGCATTGAGTGACACCGCAAGATGTCCAAGAAAGTCATCTCGTTACAGCAATACCTGAACGTGAAGCCATTGGGGTTGGTTGATAGAAAGAAGTATGAAAAGGAGGCTTCGGGCCTGGTGCCGGCCGGTCTCATGATCATCGGGCTCGGTCGGCGGCCCCGCAGGTGCCCGGTATTCCTCAAAGACAACCGGAGGTGGACCCCGGAATGGCATACCGAGTCCGACTGACCTCTATGGCTACATTCAGTAGCGTCGTGAATCTCTCTGAACACCCGTTTTACTGAGTGAAACGATCGTGAGATGCTCGCTTGGGCAACAACGTGAAATCAGGATCCGCTGGATCTGGCTTCAGTACCAAGCGTGCTCACCCCGGTGTGAAGACATCATGACAGGCATGGCTCCGTTCATCGGCGTCGGCCCGTGTGGTCGCCGGAAGGTTGCGAACCAGATAACGCCAAGGGGAGACGGGAAAGACGGCGTACTCTCATGATCTGGTTGGTGGAACCGAGCCAACGAGAATTACCGCAGCGACTGTTCAAAACGAATGGGCCGTGATGAAAGAGGAAGGTAACGTCGGAGCCCCGGTAATTCTGTCAACGGCAGCGTTTTGATGGTCAGCATGAGAGGCAACGAGTCGGTAGTGCTGGCTGCCTGAGACAATGGAGGGGGCGATGTTGGTCTCATGAGAGAACGCCTTGCTGCCTGGCGGAAGCAATGGTGCGCTGGCTCGTCTGCAAACTTGCAGGTGTCCTATCGGAGGCGAGAAATTCTGACGAATCAAGAGATAGCCTTTCTGCCCGCTCAAAGGACAGGAATTTCGACGACTCATACGTCAATTCCTTCTCACCAATCAGAAAGAAAGGGATGGGGAAACTGCCCGAACAGCTCGAATGGCTCAAACGGCTCGAACGCTCGCTTGGGGCTAAGAAGCCTGAAATTTGAAGCATCGACAGCGTGACCAACGCCCCGCAACATCGTGATTTGATTATGCTCGTTTTTGTTTGTACGCGCAGAGCGACTCTTTGCACGCGCGACGGTTTCGTGCTCTCAGATCAATTCTCGCCTTAGCATTGGACACATTGTGGTTGACGCCGGCAATTTCGACTGAGTTCATGAGGACTGGTTTGTGTCGTGTTCTGGAAGATAATTAGTACAAGGGTTCGTACGTACGGGAGATGGTCAACTTACTGATGATGGACGTTCGCAAAAGATAAAGCGTCAGAGGTCTTGCTCGGTTTGCTCTTTAGAGATGGGGTGCTGATGTGTTTATGTAGGTGCGGGCGGGAACGCCGAGAAGTGGAAAAAGTCAAGTAGAAAAAGTAGAAAAACTGGAAGAAGTGTAATAAGCCCAGATCCTGGAAGTAGAAAAAACGGCGGCTCGATGCAAGGCGACCAGAATGGTCGCCTTATTTCAAGGAGACTGTCTACTCCCAGGTTTCGAGTACATGTTTGGTAGCATGTCTGGAGTGAAATTGTACTGACTGGACGGGCAACATTAAGCGCCTGATGTGATTTGTGTAGCGGGTACTTTCTTAGGGTGGGGCAGCAGGTGCAGGGATACAAACTAGGTAGTTGGCCGCCTGGGGACCAGAAGCCTCTGCCCTCGCGAAAACCAGCGCAATGCGCGTCATCAGAAATGCATGACTCAACTGCCACATTTATGCATAGTTGAACGCGGCCAAACAGTTGCTCGGTCATCTATTTGTTTCGGGCGGCATGGACATTAGAGTGAAGGGCGAAGGGCAAATGCAACGGGTGGAGATAGCTAGCGTTGAACCCGGGTTACCTACGCAGTACACGGCTTGATGCGTGACGCCGCACGTCACTGCATTGTCTTGTGGGGGGAAGACGACACAACTCATCGTTCCTCGTAGGGGTCGGTTCACGCCACCATCTCTTTGGACCTCCATGGTTGTGGTATATCAAGTGTGTCGCTGCGACGAGCCCCTTTCCAAGCTCGACTGCACGCGATTGTTTGTAACAGTAGATGGCATTCCACCGTAGAAGCGGCTCAATGTCAGCGCATCAACAGCCGTAGCTTTATCGCCCGCAATACAGAAAGCTCCCGAGATCTCTGTAGATCGTAATATGTTTCGATCTTTGCTTCAACCTCATCAGGAGTACCCCCCGTGAACCTCCACATCGCTAAGAACAACACCAGCATTCTTATCTCCAACCAGTTCCGTCAAAGCAGCCAACAGCGCATTGGCTCCATTGTCGGTGACCTGATGATGGAAAACAATCCTTCCATTCGGGAAGACTGAAACCCGACGCCTTGCACAGTAGTCCACAAACGAAGCGGCCGGGATGTCGACGGCAGCCAGATCAAGAACGATCATGTTCGTCTGAACCGGAAGCGCCAACTTGTAACCCAATTTTTCAATCTGGGCGGCCGTTTTCTTTGTTAATGCGTGAACATTGCCCATGCGTGGAAGTGTGTAGTTCAAGGCTTCCAGCGCAGCAGCGGCCATCATTCCTGGTTGCCTAGTGCCGCCTCCAAACATCTTGCGGAACCATTTGGCACGCTCGATGAATTGCTTACTTCCAAGGATCACGCTTCCCATGGGTGCACCGATCCCCTTTGCCAGGCAGATGGACAGGCTGTCAAAGCAAGCTGCATATGCCTTGAGGTCGACGCCTTCGCCGATGACACCATCAAACAAGCGAGCGGCGTCGAGATGCATCGCCACTGGCTTCTGTCCCTCTGGTACGGGGAAAGACCGCACATATTTCGAGATGGCCTGGGCGTCTTTGAGGGGAAGAATTGTACCACTGAGTGTATTTTCCAGAGACACCACACGGGTCGGTGGGAAATGGACTGAGTACGACAACTGTTACACATACTGATCGTGTTTTTGGGGATCCGAATGCAACTCACTGTTTCCATCCGCAATCATGTTCGCTTTGACATCGTCGAGAGTCAGGTGAACTCCATTCTTGGGATGAACCGTGGTGGCAGACGCCTGAGACATGACTGGCAGGGCGCCGGACTCCCAGCAATGCACATGGGCACGGTAGTCCAGAAGAACGGTATGAGGCGGCTGAGTAAGATGGGTGCGGAGGCAGATCTGGTTGCCTTGAGTGCCAGAGATTGCCCAGAGAGCGGCTTCCTTGCCAGTCAACTCCGCCAGTCTAGCCTCGAGAGCCTTGACGGATGGATCGCCGTCAACATCGTATATGTCATCGTTCACCGTAGCCTCGAGGATAGCCTTTGATGTACTCTAGGTCAGTGGAACAACTCCATAAAATTCTACGTAGGCGCCAGAGATACGAAAGATCTGCTATACCTGCATCATGTCTGGCGTTGGAACCGTGACGACATCAGAGCGGAAGTCTCTTGATGCTTTATCAGCTGCCGCCTCCCACTTAGCCATTAGAGCAGGGGAGAACGCCATGAGCTCATCATTCTTGGTAGAAGACATGTTTGCTGGATGATACAGGAGTCAGGAGCTTAGTGTTGATTGCATAAAAAAAGTATTGTGGTTTAAGGCGCCTCTGTGCTAATCGATGGCCGGGTAGTCTTAGACAACTTTGAGTATCTGGAAGGATGCAGCCGGGCCTTTTCCTTAAATCTGACAGCATTAAGTTCAGTACTGAGGCATTTGATGGTATACCGAACGCCGAGGTTGTTGCTCCGAGTGCAGCATCGAATCTGCTCAGAATTTCTCGAGTTTGGTATCTGGTGCTGCTCGGGTTCCCCACGGGGATTACACATTGCGACGAACATCTCCACCTACCCCGCGTTTCTCATGCACACAATTGCGAATCTACCAGTAACAGCGGGTTCCATTGAGAGAAGTTGCCCGAGGCAAACTACAGTTTCCCTAGGAGCCGGTCGGAGACTTCAACGTGCGTAGCTGATTGGCTTTGATTTACATACAGCCGTAGACAGACAGACAACATGAGGCCACGGAAGTAACGGGTCGCCGAAGCAGCGGAGAGACACTAGGTTTCCGGATTTGCGGCCCCACGGCGGCGCCCGTGGACGGCGAAAGTTGTGGGCCCATCACTCCGATATTCACAATCATGTGGATTGCCTCATATCAAATCATCGCAGGTAATAGTCTGATTGAATTCGGCAGCTGTTCTGACTTCTTCATGGTGCAAATTCGAAAAAGACCGCATCAATGACTAGGACAAACGGGCTGTGATTCTAGAGCATTGCCATGAGACAGGCTTCGTCATATTAGGCACTGATGAAAACGAGTACGCGAAGAAGTGTCGTGCTGTGAGAGAGTGCGGCAGTATGCGGTCTATTAGGGAAATCTTTACGTCGCACGAAACCGACTTTAGGCTCAAGAAGCTCGACAACGACCCTTAAACGGACTTGGGAGGTTTCAAGTGCCTGCGGAACAGTCTTGGAGGGAACCACTAATGTAAAGTAATTGGAGACTCCAGAAACCTGGGTCAACACAGTGGGCAAACGGTGTAAATGCCATCCGCCGGCGCAGAGTTGGATGACCAGGGAGGTGCACTGATGCATCGGTCGTTCCCGCTTCGTCCCGAAGATCGGAGATTCGGGTCCTCCCTTTGTCCTTATTATCACGACATCCCATAATTCCACTGTGGGGACACTTAGTTCAGGAGACGATGACACGCCCTGTTCTTTTTTTTTTTTTTTTTCAAGCTGGCGATACGAGCTGTTACGTGCCAAGCACTGCGGCCGGTGGGTATCGCGGGATGCAAGGTCCTGATGCCGTGACACCGCGATGCCGGCGGCGCGGAACTTGCCAAGATCCGAAGACTGCGATCTGCGTGCGGCATTGAACACGGGTGAGACCGTCCCAGACCAGTGACAAGGGCCACAGAGAATCTATATCTGCACTTTCTGCTAGTCTTGTTGATATTCCATCATCGCTAGTTATTTCATGCTTCATCGTACAACACAAACGCCATGGGTATCAAGATCATCATCGTAGGCGGCAGTGTCGCCGGCCTTTCTCTTGCCAACATGCTTGAGAAGTTCGACATCGACTACACAATTCTCGAAGCGTATTCGCAGATTGCTCCCCAAGTCGGAGCCAGCATCGGCTTGCTTCCCAACGGCCTGCGCATTCTGGACCAATTGGGCTGCTACGAGCGACTCCGAGAGGCTGCTGGAAACTACTACCACAGAGTGGTCTTTCGCGATGCTAAGGGGAAGCCCATTTCCTCAAACTCCGGTCCGACCATCTCTGAAAGGATGGAGAAACAGTTAGTCAATTCCTTTCAGTCGTCGATGCTCAAGATACTGACAGACAAAGTGCCGGATACGCATCCTTGTGGGTGGACAGACAGATGCTGCTGCAGATTCTGTATGACAACTTGAAGCAGAAGGACAAAGTCCTCACCAACAAGCGCGTCGTCCATGTGAAAACCAGCTCTACTGGAGTTGAGGTGAAAACGGAAGATGGATCGACATATGCTGGCGACATCTTGGTCGGCGGCGACGGAGTTCACAGCAAGGTACGGCAAGAGATGTGGCGGATAGCGAGTGTCTCTGATCCAACCGCTTTTCCGCCCGAAGAGAGATCGAGTAAGTGCAGAAAGACTTTTACAACATTGCCACTAATCCAGGTCTTGCGAAGAGAGACATACTAACAAGTCCGCGCAGTCGTACAATCAAGCATGAAGTGCATCTTTGGAATCTCCAAACAACCAGCAAACTTCCCACCTGGGGCCACTCAACAGTCCTCCTTCTTCCGAGGACATCTGTACCTGGTCATATCCGCACCGGGCGGCCGAGTTTATTGGTTCCTGTTTCATGAATTATATGGGACCAAGCATGGAAAAGACATCCCGAAGTTTTCCAAGGACGACGAACTGCTCCTCGCGACTCAATATCGAGGCGACCACATCACGGAAGATATGACCTTCGGGGACCTCTACGACAACCGCATCAAGTCTACATTGGTCCCATTAGAAGAGCACGTCTTCAGGAGGTGGCATTATCAGCGAATTTTGATCATCGGAGATGCGGCAACCAAGGTACTGCGACCCATCCACAATGAGCACATGTACTTTGTCGTGGAAACACGCGCTGACAACGTCTTCCAGGTCCATCCGATTGCTGCCCAAGGAGGCAATGGCGCGATTGAAGCGGCAGCGAACCTTGTTAACGCCCTCACCCGCACCGAGATTCCATCCTCTCCAGAGCTGCAACTCGAGTTCATCGAAAAGGCGCTCGGTGAAGTGTGCGCTATTCGATATGAACGAGCCTCGAGCATGATGAAGAAGGGTCGTCGTGATGGCTCATTTCTTTGCCAACAGCCTCCGTTTTCAGGGATCCTCATTCACTACGTTTTGCCCTGGCTCGGGGACGACCTATTTTTCAAAGAGGTTCTTAAGCAGTCTCTTGCTGGCCCACGTATTGAAAAGCTCCCCGCACCGGAGAGACCTCATACGACACCCTATAATGACGAGCTGCCTCAGACTTCTGCCGGATCTTTTTGGTTCGGTTGGACGACCGGGACGCTCGCAGTAGTCACGCTTGGCATGGTCGTGCACCTCGTCCAGAGTACTGGACGGTTGGCATGGATGGCGAGGAGCCGCTGATGTGACTCCTGCACTGGATGTCCTCCCTATGACCCGGCATCTTGGAAGCTTAAAATGTTTCTTTAACTTTGGCTGATTTCATTACCTACTTATTTTGTTCTTCTTCCATCTTTGCTATTAGATCTATCAATAGCCAGTCCATCAACCAAGCTAGTTTTGCTTGTATGAGTGTATATGTGTGTTTCACTGAGCCGTCCCCGAACTAATATATGTCTAGAGCTCGGCTTGTCAATTTTCTTAATCTAGAGCATCATCTATGTAATTTTGTCTGCTGCAAGAATCCCACTCTCCATACCAGGGCGCTAATAGAGATACTACACGCGGAGGTGACTCAACCCACAAACCTATGAGCAACAAGTTCAACAAGATCCAATGCTGAATCCAATAGCCCCCCAAGTGACTCATTTCGAAAGAAGTCATACCCAGCGACGACCCTCTCTTCGCTCACGGGCCTCTGCTTTCGCCTTCTCTAAAGTCCGAAGAATACCCATGAACTTAAAAGTCTTCGGAGCTGATTCAGGTATGGGCCTTGAGTTGCGCTCAGAGACTAGATCACGACTAACTCGTACTATAACATATTCGTCGCTGATGAACTGGACCACAAGTTGACGGTCGTTCTGATACAACTGTAGTGCGTGCTTCGTTCGGCTTGGGCGTGTGGGTGAACGGAAAGGGTGAAACTGGTAGTCCGTTTTCGAATCCAGACAGATTTGACCCTCGACAGTGAGCGTATCGGTCCTAGGTTTTTTTCCGTGGGTCAAATCATCATGGCTGTCTGGATAGTAAAATCCGATGTACTTGAACGACGAAGATTCCGTCCAGAAATGTTCAACGTGTTCTGGGCAGTAAAGTCGGAATGTCTTGTAATGAAGGGACCCCATGTGCAGGGTCTCACTTTCCTTCTCAGCCTTTTTCAGAGCTTCGTATGCTGTGCGAACCTCTTCCACTTTGCGCCTCTCGTAGTCCTTCTCGTCCTCTTTTTCTTTTGCAAGCTTTCGAAGATGTTCTTTCCGATCCTCCCGTAGCTCTTTCAGCTCGTAGTACCGATCTGCGTCGGAGCCGTCATACGATCTTTCTGATGCGCTGTCATCTGAGCCAAGTACATCTTCGTCGTCCTCTGCTCGGTGCTCGCAGTCGTCATCCTCGCAGTCGCAGTCACGCTCAGCCGTCACCGCTACTTTGTTGGTGGATCCATGCTTGAAGCTCTCCAGGTCAGAAATATCTTCGTCGAAGTCCTCAGAGATGAAATCAGTGTCGGAGCCAGTGTACAGTGCATTGACTCGGTAGTACCAAGCTGGCAACGGCCGCTCTTCCAACTTTTGGGAGCTGGTCATGGTGGGTGTTGTCGTCGGATGCTGTCGACCTGAAGATGTTAGCGTTGAAAGACGATAATTTTAATTGAGTAAAGACCAAGCTACTGTAGTATCCCCTGTTAGTGCATTGCTGGAGACGGTTCTCGTACCCTCAGCGTTGTAATCCTCCCCACTGCAGTGGATCAGTCCCACGCTAATTATTCCTATGCGAAACAGCGCACATTTTCCCCATTCTTATTTTGACCGGACATGGCATGGCCATGTATCGATTGGCTTCGGCGGTGAAAACACGTGGAACACTACATGGTGTGCCCATTACTACCAAATCTTGGAGGTGATGAGCTACTGTCGGGGCCGAACCATGTCGGCAGGAAAGATGCTGAAATGGACTGTGACGTTCGTTCCCGTAAGGCGGCTCCCGTTGCCAAAGGTGCCACTGAGGGCCAGGTAAAACGGCGTCGCAGCTCTACCACACACACAATCTAACCAGGAAGGGCACAGGATGAGTGACCAAAGTCCCCCCTATGGTGGCCAACGAGGAGACACAAATTCAACCCCGCCTTATCAATTCCACCTCCGAGTTTCCCCCGCCTCTCCCCAATGACAACCAACCCTTGCTAAGGCACCGCTACCTCATCACACACCAGTTTACGAGAACAGCTTTCATTGGACACAGCAACTTTCAAAAAGGGATCAAATCCACATGTCAATGATGTGATTCGATGAGAAACAATAACACTCCGTGCCTAGAGATGGCACCCGCAGCCCCTTTTTGGGGCTTCCTAAATACTCGTGTAACCACCTCTTCTGACCCCCCACCGAAAGAGCCCTGACGAAGCCTGTCCCCTTCAAAAATTGCCCAGTCACCACAGAGTCGTATCCTCCGCATGCAAGACTTGTCTTTGAATGCATCTTGTTGGCCATCGTGATTGGCTGCCGCTTGCGATAGCTTTGCTCCTCTGCTTGCAAGTGAAAAAGGTCAGGACCGACCACTGTACTTGTCGTTGAAGATTGCCAGTTGCTCTTCCATCCTCGTGTTGTGGTGAGCTTTGGTGACATTGGCGTCGGTGCTTTGGTACGAGATGCGGTGCATGCTTCCATCGTTGTAGAGTTGCTGGCCTGTGTATTGTGTGGATCTTCGTCTTGCGAGTTCGCTGTTCGATTCGGTCGAGGAATGCTGATGAGTTGGTTTCGAGGGGGCGTTGCTAGGAACTTCAGTTTACATACCACATGCAGTTCTGAAGACTGTTTACCCATTGTAGACAGAATTGGTAGAGCTCATGATGAGTTAAAACGAATGTCTTGGTTGAAATTGTGACGACAGTTCAAAGAACAAAACAGCAAGCAACCAGCCAAGCTTGGAAGGACTAAATCTGCACTGGCACTGAGGAATTGAGTGGCTGACGACGCCTAAGATACCGGTGATAGGTTGCAAATCATACTCCTGTCCCAGCTAAGGTACACCGTGCTTTTATACCGGACAAACTTGCTCTTTGACCCCTCGTCTCCCCAGTCGAACACATTAGTTTCCCTTGACCGACTCAGTCCATCAAACAACCAAGTAATGGTTCGCCATAGACTCCTCGTTCTGAGAGCTGGCCAGTCTAACCATGTGTGTACTAGCAAGCTGTTTTTGCAACATGGGAGAACGTGCCGTGGTGTGGAGCCACGCGGTAAGTGTGCAGTCGAAGTGGGCAAGGACGTCATTTGCAAGACAATTCGTTCCGCTGGGATGATTCCGCATCGACATGGGGTTTACTGATGGCAGATTTCAGACGTAACTAGTTGTTGATGGGAAGACTTGGCATGTATTGCAATTGGCCTATGCGTGATAATGCATCAACGAAGTTAGTGTATGATGCGTTCGGGTACAGCATCCGCTGTGTCTTGCGTTATTAAGACTTGACCTGACTAAAGTCCCGTGTGGCACAATGATAACTGACATACGGATTGTGACACGGATCCGATGCGAACGATAATCAAGCCTAGATTTCAATGGCTGAATGACTGAAGAAGAGTGTCTTGCGTCCTCTTGGTTCAACTTCGCTTCCCGGGTCCGACACCGGATCCGACACCGGAGGCTATTCCGCGGCATATCCCGCAGCCATGGGTCTACAGGGCGTCCGGAACGTGGCTGTTCAACTTTGAAGCCTCTGAGGAAGCATATGTGGGAAGTTTCACCCATCAGATTGAAATAATGCGCATCGGACCGTGCCTTGATCGGAGCATCTCGCGCCGAGGCCGAACGGGTTGCTCTCGATGATAACCAATCGTATCATGATTGGAGACTGGCCAGGTCTTAATACGAAGATAAGATCAAGGCAACGAATCTGGCGCCCAACTCGGGCGGAAACGTCTTTGACCTGCCTCTAACGGGCAAAGGCGACAAGAAATTGTGGAAAAAGCACCGTGGGAAGGTTACAGTGACACAGCATGAAAGTACTTCGCATGCCCTGGTGGGTAATGTGATAGAGACAGCACTAGCTGCAGAGGGGCGGCAATGGCGAGTGAAGAGATAGTTGGAGGGTCTGGACTAGACTAGTCGCGGATTCACGTGTTGTCGTCCGACCAGTGCTGAAAACTGGTTGTCCGATATTGCGGCGACACCACTTGGATGCCGCCTCACGACTCAGATCCTTGACGCAGAACAGGCAGACACAGTATACGTGTCCCGGTTGCCTGAGCCTTTGTGTTGGTTGGCCGCTGGACGAGAAAAGGCGGCTATCGGAATGAGACTGGGAATGTTGGAGTGGCTGGTATTTAAGTAGGTGGCTTGCTGCTGTGGCTCGAGGATTGTGGCTCGCGGATGAGGCTTCGTGGCGTTATTCGGGTCGGTGTGTCTGTTCATGATGGGGGAGGTAACTTGTCGATAGAGAAGGAACTCGTCGATGAGAAGGACGGAGGGTATCTGATGGTGGAGGAAGTAAATTGTCAGTAGGAAGGACACCGTAGAGAAAACAAAAACAGAGAGAGAAGTGGGTGATGGGAAGAGCACACATATAGCGGCTGGGTGAGGGGGTAATGGGCAGGGCTTCCGTGGTTTGGATCAGGCTGGAAGCTGGTATGACCGGACGGTATTGGGCGTATGAAAATCTCAGGAAAGACATCTCAAATTGCCCGCGAAGGTATTCTTGAGGGAGGGAACAAAGGGATTAAATATGTGTATTCCTCTGTTATCCTTTCTGCGCCAATAATCAACCGACTTTCAAGCTCTTCGACTTGTGCTGGGTCAGTTGGCGTGATCAGGCTGCGCCATTCCTTGATGCTCTCGATCAATCACCGAATTTAATTGGACTTGACTTCAGGGATGTGACGTCGACATTCCGACATGGGTCCGCGAAAATTCTCATTTATGAGTCGGTGAGCGCGCAAAAACGCTGCCTGCCGCCGTTACGATGAGAATCAGGCTGTGCTTGACTTGGGGGGGTCGGCAGGTCAGTGGGGTCTATTTCTCGTCATGTTCAGTTGTGAATGGCCAAGTTCAAACGCAGGAAGGTTAATCGACGGCGCGGCATGTGTTCGATATATGTCGCAGGCGTGCAATGATGGTAGGAATACGCAAGATGAAAGGAGGTGCGCTGAATAGATCGATATCATTCTTGAATTCGGGCATGGGTGCGACAACCATCCTTGATGTGTAGCGATACGCACCAGCAGACCAGCCTTCGGGCTCGGTCTCCTGCCTTTTTCAGCATGGCAATGCCGGGGTTTTGCTAGTTGTTGTCGTTGAAAGGGCCCTCTGCAGACTATGAAGAGGGAACCAGAAGAAACATAAGGGCATCATCATCATCAACACCGACGAGGGGAACATTGACAACCCCGCGCCAGCATGCAGACAATTTCCATGCGACCAAACGGGACATTTTGCGCGTCTGGAAATCAGATGGCACATGCTGCCAATCAGCAGGGTCAGACCAAAAATCGCATATCTCGGGCCAATGGCTCATCGGTCTCAGCACGGGGATGAATCCGAAAAGGGCAAGCAGGAAGAGGGGTGCGATCAGGCTCTGGTGGCCAAGTACCATTCCAGCTACTTGATCGATAGGGCTGACTACTTCGTTGAACCTCCAAGCTCATTATTGGTATCAAGGTGTTAATAGCGGCGCAGTCGTTTGTCAGCTGTAACCACGCAATTCAGAACCTTTTGCTTTCTGATATTGATGAGTTGTCGCGAAGATTAGGCGCAATTGCTGCTAGCAATTGTGATTCCACTTTTGCAACATGAGTAGCATGAAAGACAGAACCCCAATAACTGTGGCACGAAGAATGCTTAGCACTCGCTTCAGGCGGCCCAAGCCAAGCTACCGCTGCAGAGCGCTAATAGCCGGACGCTTGCTGCAGCCTTACAACGTACCTATCAGCAACCTCCGACTCTTGCGGTTGAATTCAAATTGCTGTCGTCAAAGATCAATTTGTTGGTTTCTAATGGAAATGCTGCCCTGCGTATATATCTTGCTGTCCTAAGAAGCGGTGGTATGTTGCAAACGTACACCGTCTGGCGCCGTGGTACGGGGGCAGTGACCGATCGCACTGGGTCGCCCCATTCCGGTCACCCACGAACGCCGTGTTTTGCAGATGGAAAGCTGCCGCCAGAAGTAACTAATTCCTCTTTTTGTTTTGCATCTTACTTGACTATTTGGAGCTCCTTCAAGACGATAAGTTAGCGAGGCTGAGAGCTCAGTTCATCAACATGCAGTATCATGCCAACCTTATCAGCGCTAACACGCCTGAGACAGAGTCTCCTGCAGGGTTGCCTCTCACTACGACATCCATGAACCTAAATTGCACAAACTCTTAATAGGCGTGAACGTGAATATTGAAGTCGACTGTTTTTTGATTCATTCCTGTACAACATCTGAGGCTCAGTAGCAAAAGGTGTACAAGACCCATCGGCAAGCATGAGTCCTCAAGGGAAGGCTGTTATGCTAAATTCAGGGTAACGAGCACAAAATATGTGAGCCCAATGACTTATCCACGTGAGCTTCTTTCAGAAAAAAACAATCTCAACTCGTTGTTCTCATACCATCAATCACATATCGGTACACGTTATCTTCGTCTGACTGGTGATGGAAACCCGCCTTTTCACTCTGAAAAATTTCTCGAGCTGGTGTTGGCGGTGCTGCCACTCTTGAGTCGATTCACTGACCAACATAACCACAAGTTCCGTGCAAGGAGCAGTTGTTGACGAAATCGCGGGCTCGGTCGTGATGCTCTGTGCCATCTTCTACGATGACACACTGTAAAGACAGTAGTCAGCATCGTTTTCCCAGTGGAGACGGGTTTAGATATTCACCTTGAGATCGCCGCCATCTCGAGTGACGAGATATCCACGATTGGCGCAGCCTCTCCTTACGCCGTCATCATCCGGAACAACTTCGCCATCTTTGAGGTCTGTACAGTCACAATCTACTTCCTCGCCCGGTGCCGGAAATTGGGCCATCGCGGTAGTAGCCGCCATACTGATTATTTATTAAAACCTCTCTGCAGAGTGAAGCAGTGTTCACTTACAAAGCTACTACAACGGTAGTGAAAGACACCATTTCTGCGATTGGGACTATGACAATGTTGGTGCGAAGGGGTGGTCGAAGTCGCAATTCCGATGGTGGCGCTTATCCCAGACAATGCTGCTGTGAGGCTGTCCGTTGAGCTTTATATGTAAGCGACTTGTATGAATATTCTCAATTTTAGTCATCTAGGATGCGAGACTCCTCGTATCAACCAGTAGAAGATCGTACAAAGTTTCTCATACGCGCATATCGGCTACTCTGGCGACTCGCGCCCCTGGTTGATCGCACTCGCCCCATACTGATAAGATGCTACCCGAATTAGACTTCGGATGCCCCGACATATTATCAGTTGTCCCCACTTACGAGTGAAAGTCTCCGACCTTGAGATCGTAGGCTAGGGCGAACTTTTCATCCTGATCTGCGATAGATGCATGTTGTAGGATATTTTTAGCGAACTCCTTTCATGAGCCCGTCAAGCCCGTCAGAAAACTGGGCTCTGGGGTACCGCAATGCATAATTCGAGCCCCTTCCTGTTCAAACATCATGCGGATAGTCAGCGTCCCTGTATGAGGCTTCACGGGCGCATCTCAGAAACTGAAGCCGAGAAGAAGATATTCACTACAATAGGGGTGTTGAGTCATGCATGCGCACTTCGCCGGCGCACACTGCGAAACTGCTATCGCACGATTGTGACCCTTGATTTGTGGCCCTTAATTAATAGCCTAATTGTCCGTCTGGGAAATTATGACGAATGGACGGCAGCAATCAGTGACCACGGTCAGTCACCGGCTGTGTGAATCTAATGCAGAAAGCATGCAGCAGAGGTGTAGAGTTCGTAACAAACATAGGGCTTGTCAAAATATCTTCCGCATATGACTTGGGTGATTGTCCAGGATTCGTAAAGCCATCTTTCTTTTACGTTTCTGGGACTAGGTATTCTAAGTTTGATGGTGTTTGGGAACTATAATTAAAATAATCAGAGCTTTACCCGTCATCTAGGGGCTTTCTAACCCGGAAGGCGACAGGTACGACACAGCTTCGCTGAACAAAAAGCAGTTCTCCAGATCGCCCTTAATCACTTGGATTTATTCTCAAAAACACTTTCAAATTCTTCCAAAGCTTATGAATCTTAGTTGTTCCGAGTATTGACTCGAATCAGCTACTCAAACTGTAGAGTTGGAACCTGCGTCCTCCTAAAACCGTATTTTCTGTTCCTCAGTCTTTGTTGTCCACTGGTTCTTTAGTTTTCAATGCCCGTGTTCTCAGCCGCTAGACCATCAGCCTGGAGAGCCGGTCTATCTGATCTGCCAGCGGTAGTCTGAGACCTGTCAGCCCATCATATGCTAGTAGAGATGTCGCTGGGAGAAGCAGACATACGCCGCCGTCAACAGGCATAATTAGTCCTGTGATCCACCCTGCCTCTTTACTGGCTAGGAATAAAATGGCTACATGTTCCTTATAAGCCGATCTCATTTCGAGCAAAGCTGGATCAGCTGTCGACAAATACTCACCGTACCCAACATCCCAAGCCGTACCTTCTTTCTTCATCAAGTTCTGGTCGATCCGAGCTTGTCTTGTTTCCTCGGTCATGCCACGACCTCGGACCATAGGTGTGTAAACCATGCCCGGAGCAATGCAGTTGACACGAATATTCTCCGAGCCATGTTGAGCAGCCATGGCTCTGGTCATCTGAATGATGGCACCTTTGGTAGTAGGGTAGAGCAGACTGGGGTTACCTCCGAGCACTAAACCATGTCAGCAGTACTTCATTGAGAAAATCTGGGGGATGTCGCAATGCGATGTCTCGATCTAGAGCATAAGCCACCTAAACTTACAGCCACTGACAGAAGAGATGTTGATGATGGAACCTCGCCCTTGCTTTCTCATCTCGGGAATCGCGTAGCGCGACATCATTATCATGCTTGTTACGTTGATCCGAAAGTCTCTTTCCCATGCCTCGAGGTTGATGTTCGTGGCGTTCCCGATAGCGCCCCCCACGCCAACTGTCCATGAAGTCAGACTTGTCATTTACGATCTGCATGCTTTCAAGAAAGTTCACTTACCGTTATTGACCAGTATATGAACGGCACCAAATAGCTCAACCGTCCTGGAAACCGCATCTCTGCAAGAGGTTTCTTTGCTGACGTCCGTCTGGATGATTTCCGACGTCCCACCTTCTTCATCTATCATTCGTTTGGTCTCTCTGGCCCAGTCCTCATTCAAGTCAAGCAACGCAACCTTCGCTCCGTGCCTGGCAAGGAGGATTGCTGCAGCCCGACCGTTTCCAATTTCACCTGAAGTATGTTAGTGTGCTATAGACTAAATTGACCGCGTTGGTGACCCATGCAAACAGACCATCCATTCGTGAGCCTGCGCCTGTGACGATCGCCACATCCCCTGCGAAGTCGAAAGCTCGAGGTGGAACCATACTGGCGACCTGCGTAATCTTCAGTTGTCTTTCAGGGGAGTTTGTTTCAATCGCTGTTACATGTAAACAGCGGTAGTTCGAGATGCTCTTGCGAAGATGATCCGTGTCTAGGCGCGTACCCCAAGAGCTTTCTGATTTGCGATGCAGCCAATTGTTACAGTCCGCTTGTTTTTTCTATGGCGGAAAATGATAACCTTCATGACATCACATGGCAGCCGAGTTCGGGGATACCAAGCGGGGTATTGAAATCTCTCACCCACCTGGCAGACTTCAGACGGAGTAGAACCAGCGCCTGCACAATTTGTGGTGGCTTGCCGATTGAAGAGGTGTGCGTATTTCTCGCACTTGTTTCTTCATCCCGGTAACAGTCTATGTAGAGAGGCATTTTAAGCCATGGTCTAAATTCAGCCGTCCCGAATACGTATGTCAATTGAATAATGTCATGTTCCTCTCAAACGGTTTGCCCATTGCTTGGTACACCGTAAGCATCCCAACACATGACAACGACCAATGGTGACCAGACCTATCAGTGTTGACTCTTACGATGCAAAATCTCTTGGTTCCCCATATTCTAGACTCCCATGATTACAGAAATCTACAGAAGCGCCCAGAACGACTCGGATTATGACGTTGTGGATGGTGGACAGGACAACCAATAGTTGAACCAACTCACAATCTCAGCCAGGCTCTGCTCCTTCACCCATCCTGGAGAAGTATTAGTTAGTAAAATACGTCCTACCCTAAGGAGTAGAGGTACTTACGTTGGTACGGGTCCTTGGGATCACCGCGTAAAGCGAACCCGTGCTCAACGCCCGAAAATAGTTGATAGTGATAGATCTTCTTCTCGGACTGAAGGATATCTAACGCTCGTCTACGAGATGGGACATCGAACGTATGGTCAACCTCGGAGCAGGACATGAAGAGAGGCTCTGATAAAGCGAGATCAGCTCATAATCCTTTGCAACCAGCATTCCAGCAACGGACTTGGGGAATATTCAGGATATAGAAAAAACCTCACTTTCAAGATTGAGGAAGTGATGTTCCTTCAGAAACGCCGGATGCGCAAATGCGCCGACTGTGACTGTATTTTTCGCCAGCTCATCGCAGACGTATGGCGCGCCAAAACAGTAGCCTACGCAGGCGAACCCCGTCGTTTCCGTTCCATATCGTTGCTTAACCGCGTCCACCCATTTGGGCACAGCAACATCCGCGAAAGTTGTGTGTTTGGTTTTCCAAGCCTCGTAGTCAAAGTCAGGGTTAGAGGTGTCATTTCTGTCCTTTCGATGTTTCCAGACTGGGTCCTTCGGCAATAGTCAGCTCCATGTCATCAGTGCGTGCTTCAAGAAACGCCCTTACCCCACGGAAGTAATCGAGGCCCATTACTAGATACCCTACATCCGCAAAGGCGTCCATGACCAGCAGTCCGTTGACAAACATACCCCAGACATCGGGGAAGTAAAGCACAACATGGCCGTTTGCCTTATCGGTAGGCGGTTTTGATACGTAAGTCTCAACATCTGCGATCACTTCCCAGGACCCACGTGCTTCACCTTCGTGGATCGTGCCTTTGAGACAACACTCACCACTCGGCTTGGCGAGATACCTTGGTATCTTGTCCGTAGACATGTTGTGTCGTTTTACGGGCTGTTGTTGAATGCTAAACTGACTGTATTTCGATTCTCATTACCAGTCTAATGAGATCTCATTGTACCGTGGCTGTGACGTATTTTCTGATCAGCGGATGTTTTTCTTGCTGTCGGCAAATCGGCTCGGCTAGGTTGATGACAACGGGCGTCATTCTCCTCACTCGCTCAAATTTGTCACTCACACCACATACCTGATAACAGTGACCAGTGGAGGAATTCTATCTGCCTAGCGTGCTGACCCCCGCACTCCATGCCCTCGGGAGCGGGAAGTGGGCTCCCCGCAGTCTTCCTGGGATCTCTTCCCCGCAGAAGCAATCCATGGGGCCAGTGGCATGAGAGCAATTATGAGCTCTTTTTCAAGCATGAGGCGTGTCTCTTCATTCTGCTTACTGTCAAATCCCAAGTCGGAAGAACTCTGAGGCATTTTGCATCCAGCATTTCCGTTTGAAAAGAGACTTGATTTGGTGTCAAGACTAGCAGAAATGACAGACGCTCCTATCAAGCCACAGAGTGGCGTAGGCGATATCGACCGGGGCGTCCTCCCCTCGTCTGATCTTAAACTCCAGGAGTTAGACGCAGAGCACCAAGAGAACGCTGTCGGATATAGAGAGTACCTTGAAGCCATAGACTTGGAGGTCTCGGATAAAGAGGTTTGTCCCCGTTTCCCACAGTGGAGTTGGGTTTGAACCGGAAATGCTCCAACCTCTGACAACTCGAACGAAAGCTACGAAGACTTCGATGGAAGCTTGATCTCACTATCCTACCCGTGTTTCTTGTTACCCAAGCTCTGCAGTTCATGGATAAGACGTCCCTGAACTATGCCAACGTCTTTGGGTATCAAGCAGCACTCAGTCTCAAGGGCCAACAGTTCAACTACCTCTCAGCGAGTGAGTCCCATTTACTTTGCAGGGGCCGAGGTAGACCTCGCTAAATTGTTATCACAGTGGTATATGCCGGGTATTTCTTCGGCCAGTATCCTTGCGGCTGGCTGATTGGTAGATATCCTGCTCAAAGAGTCATGGCCATTAGCATCTTCTTCTGGGGTCTGATGGTGATTCTCATGACCCAAACTCGAACTTACTCTAGTGCCTGTACGCCAGTCCCCAATCGTTTTTTTTTAATCAAAACTAACTGACCATGATTTTAGTAGGCGTCCGATGTGCGCAGCTTTTCCCGTAGCTAGGTGTCGTGATACTGACATGCGTGGTAGTCATCATGGGAATATTTGAAGCCGCCGTTACACCGTGGGTGATTTCCAAAGAATTGAAGCAGACTGTACGCCTCTAACAACGTTCTCAGTGGGTTGACACTTATGACGGGATTCTGGTATACGCGCAAAGAGATACCCCTTCGACAGTGCATATGGTAGTATGTATCATGCCAAAGCACATCGAGCCTCATACATTCGCTGACACTATGCCTAGCTCGTCTCTTGGCTGGGGCGGTATCGTGAGTCTGCTGTATTTTCTACATAGCTGAAAACGAAATCCTAACACTAGCTAACGCTGTGTTAAGATCGGATCTTACATCTCTATGGGCGTGTCCAAGCTTCCCGCTGACCTGAAACCAGAGCGCTGGGAACTCATCTTCTTCATGGTATGTGTTTAGTATGGACAGGCCGATAGATTCGTCTGACGAAAACATCTCGGTAGCTGGGCGGAGTGACGTGCGTTTGGTCGCTGGTGATCTGGTTTCTTTTACCAGACTCGCCCTCAAACGCGTTCTTCCTGAACCACCGCGAAAGACTTGTTGCAGTCAAACGGGTCTCTGAGAACGAGACTGGCATCAAGAACAAAGCGTTCGACAAGAAACAGGCTCTCTTGGGATCTTTCGACCCAAAGACTCTGCTGCTGTTTACGTCGGTTTTTGCAGCGTCAGTAGCAACCCCCTCATGAGACAAATCCCCTACTGATAAGAGCACAGCGCTATTCCCAACGGAGTTGTCAACTCTTTTTCTACGGTTATCATCCGTGACATGGGGTTCAGCATAACACAGACAACGCAGCTCAAGTCTGTTGGAGATGCGGTTCAGATCGTCGCTCTCCTCATTGGAGGCACTGTCATCCTGAATGTGAAGGACTGTGAGTCCCTCCTACAAATAATGCAAGCCTCTTGTAACTGACGTCATGTATGGAAAATAGCGCGTCTGATTACAGCCTCGGTAGCCAATCTGCTTTGCACAATCTCGGCTGCCTGCATGGCATATCTTCCTGAGTCAAATACCTGGGGTCGACTTGTGTCATTCTGGCTGGTCAACTCACAGTCGATCGGCTTCACAGTGTCTCTGACCACCATCTCCTCCAACATTGCCGGATATACACATCGTTCTCTCGCGAGCGCCATGGTTTTGTTAGTCCACCTGAATGAAGCATTTACCGGACTAGGCTTACGTGACGTTGCAGCACGGCGTACTGCTGGGGAAACTTTGCTGGACCATTTGTAGTAAAGCAATCGGAGGCGCCGCACTTTCGAGGAGCTACGATTGGGCTCCTAGTCGGCTACGCTATCAAGTTGATCTGCCACCTAACTCTGCTCGGTATGTCGTCAGGGATCCTATAACCTATTTTACCACGGCCGCTAATTCTCATCTAGTCTACATGTACCTGGTCAATCGGCATCGTGACAAGAAGTACGGCGAGCCCAATAGGGAGAGCAGCAAGGAAGCTGGAATGAGGGACCAGACTGAGTTTGAGAACAAAGACTTCAGATATGTCCTTTGAGCGCGTCACTGTGGGAAACTCGGAGCAATCAAGAAATACGAAAAGGGTGTTCAAGACAATGTATTGAGTCCCTGAAGTCCTAGCATCGTGACTTTGAGGCCTGAGAGTTGTATGTAAAGATGGGGTTGTGCCACCAAATCATGTTTCGTGAATCCGTCTATGTGCCTCCCACTATGCCAAACGCCTCACACCGAAGGTACAGCCCGTGTGCGTATCAAAGAATGAAGAAATGGTTGAAGTATTAGGTCTGACTTGCAGCCGACTACAAGACCAGACGTCGGTAACTTGAAATAGACTGGCCCGCCCGGGGGCCGTATGCGTTTCGGCGAGCCCGACGTTGTGAAGCCCAAGGCTATTGAGCCCTAGGAGCGGCCCTCCCTTGACTGAGCCGTGATACGTGCAAGCTCTGCCTCGATTCTTGCGCGGTGCTGTGCCTGACTCTCGCTGACGCTGGTGCCTTGGTTTGCGACGCGATACATGTTGCTGTCTTGGGAAGCAGGCTGGTTCTCGTATGCGGCCAGACGCAGTCTGGCCAGTGTGCTTTGTGATTCCGCCGAAGAGTGCTTGTGTGGTGATTTGGAAGCGGTGTTGCTAGAAAGCATCAGTGAGTCACCGAACGTTGAATCGCGAAAACGCAAGTTGATGGTGGTACCCGTAGTAAGCAGACCGGTCAGATCGGGCGTCCATCATTTCAAGACAACTGAGGCACGTGTCGCAGGGCAGCTGGTCGAAAAAAAGTGAAATCTTGCGGCAAAAATGCTGTTCGTCACGGATCACGGAATGCACGACAGTGGTACTTGCAACGACGTGAAGATGTACAAGGTGAATTCCTCAGGATTCCAGTTTCTCGGAATATTTATAGGGCCATAAAGAACGATGCGAACCACCGCAAGCAAAAGCTCCATCTTAGCTTGATAACTGCTTTCTCCCCTGCACGTCGTTGGCAGCTACGATGGGCTGCCTGAATCGACATTGCGCGCATCACTCAGCAGCCTATCAAGGCCCAGAGCTGAGGGTCGAGTCTATAATTGTTCTCCAGTTGGAGCTGTGTCGTTCGCATGTCGTCGGCAGGAAAGAGGCCTTGCCTGGGTGATATGCTTGGCCTCTTCGTTATAGGTTCGGGGCCATGGCTAGCCCGGGGCGGAGTGTGTGGGGGGTGGGGAGGAGGTAGGCTATCCCTGGGCGCAGGAACATCAATGGAAGTTGCAGCTATCGAGCAGTTCAGATGTTGTTTGGAAGATATGCAGGAATCCGATAATGTAAAGGAAAAGTTGATGGCATATTTCCTACGCCAGACATTGTTGATGAGTGTAAACCCCTTCCATAAGGTAGGTGCGATGATGTGAGACCACTTGGTCCTCAAGAGAGTGTGGGTGCTTGACTCTAAAGTTTCATACCTCAAGATTCGAAGCAATGAAGACTGAAGCATCGAGAACGATGGATTTAGCAATAGATAGACAATGAGAGTAGGAAATTCCGGAGTGATTCATGTGACCTGGCTCGAACGGTCCGGCGACCGTTTTGGTGCGGCGATCGGGGCAGACCGAGGAATTGTCGGAACCAACAACACTCGACGACACCTCGCGAGTCTCGCCGTGTTCCTATGTTGATATCCTTTTGCCCCTCTGTCCTTCAGGTTCACGGCCCAAGTAAAGTGATTGCATATTTTCTTCCGGATAGAAGCCTACACGCGCAAATGCCGACCAACAAGACCATGTCAAGTCTGACTTCAGACCTGACCACGCCCCGGCGTCCGGCAGACGGCTGGAGTCCGCCTTGCGCTGCAAAGGATGACAATTGACGCTGAAGCCTTGCAGGTGCTGATGATGCCGATGTCCGCCGACCAACTTTGATCGGGCGTGAAGAAGGATAGAACCGTAGGATTGTGGTGCTCCAGCCATCATGGCCGAGAAGAAAATGGAAAAAGGCGAGCTCAACTGCGGGCTACAGGTGTTGTCGAGGTGGAGAGCCAGGCGGTGCTGAGAAATAGCGCAGTTGATGTCGCCCAATCGATGCTCCGCCAGGGGTACCGAAGGAATGCAGCGCTTGCCGCCTCCATGCAGTGAGACTGTTAGCGAGGCCTCCGCCTCCATCATTCCGCTTCACTTTTCGCCTCGAAATCTGCCTTGCGATAGCGTCGGTAGCCTGGCCGCCTAGTTTTGCCTGACTTCAGGCAGCATCGAGTCCGAAGTTCGCACGCGAGGCGTCCGGTTGCCTTGCTGTCGAGATGTTGGTTCGCAATTGGAGGACCGGGACACCTGCTGGCAGGTGCTGGCGAATGTCGCTATTGGTGCCCTGAAAAGCTTGTCGTATGTGAATGGTCCTGCTGGGAGCACCACGCAAGTGTCTTCGATCCGGTCAACTGAGAGTAGGTAGCGGAAGATGTTCATCGTAGGTGCTTGCCCAAGGGGGAGAGAACTTCGCGTATAGGTAGTAGAGAGTGGAGGTAGTGAAGGTTCGCGAATATGATCGAAAGGGTCGAGGATGTTGAAGAGGACCAAGAAGACGTTTGCGTTCAAACGCACCCAAAATATATGGATATCGAGAATGATATAAAGAAAACAGAGCCTCATGTGGTGAACCAGAAGATGGGGGACATGCAGCCCTTTTAACGTCGGCGACTCCGGTCGGCCCCCAACCTGGGGGCGGAATCCCTCGCCCCCAAGGGCGGCAAGCCGCAAGATCCTTCGTCCATTTGTGATCCTCAGACCCATACGACCGGTCGCCTTTCCGTGCCGCTCGGCTGTGCAGCAGGTGTGGCCAGGGGAACGTTCTGCAGACAGTCTTTGCTCACTATTACTCCCTGTAGTGCACAAGTAGGTTCCGGCCCCCGACGCTTCGGTGCCTCCCAGATCCCTGTTTGGGTAACATGTACACGCCACTGCCTTGGGCGCCGCCCGTCCTAGCTGCATGGAAACCAATCAAACGGTGGTGCAACCGCACATTGTTGGCACTCAGCCAGCCCCACGGAGAAGAGGCATGCCCTAATACGTGTAGTGACACACCATGTTCCACGTCACTGACTCGACTTTGCGAAATCTTGGATCAAGAAGAATGCGAACGGCGGTAAGCTGGCCCCGTTTTACAGTGGGGTCTGACACTTGCTGACAGCCACAATCACACCTCTGTAAATGGCGCCGTGTTCAACAGAGAAGCAGGTCGTAATAATGATTAAGAGAACTATTTGACAACAGCTAAATCTATACCGCCGTTCTTAGAATGAGTTCACTTGTGACACGGCCTTCCCCGTTTCGGCAAAAGAAGTGATATTGTTCATGGCTTCCCGATAAGCATTGCCCCATGCGACATCTGTCCATGATCCCATGTGTGGTTGGACCACACATTGGGTGCTGTTCCGGAAATATGGGCTATTGTGTTGGTCTTGTCAGCCTACTTTCTTTGATTTTGGAAACTGTAATCCCAATCCGTGGTTGATGTGACTCACTTAACGTTGGGCTCTCCATCAAAAACATCAAGGCCAGCGCGGGCAACCTTGCCGCTTTCCAATGCTTCGATGAACGCTGCCTCATCCACCACTGCCCCGCGGCCAGTGTTAACAAGGATGACACCATCCCTCATCTTTTTGAATTCTTCAGCACCAATCAAACCTCGTGTCTCTGGAGTGAGTGGACAGTTGATCGATACAACATCGGAAGTATTCAGCAGCGCTTCCAGGCTACCTGCGTACTCCACAGAGAGGCGGCTTTCTTCTTCGGATGAAAGCTGAGTACGGTTGTAGTACTGCACCTTCATGCCGAAAACCTGCGACTTGCGCGCGACGTGCTGGACGACAAAGAACAAGATTCAGTGCCACATTCTCACTTCGACGAGAGATTGGAGTGCCATACCTTTCCGATCTTTCCCATTCCTATGATCCCCAGCGTTCTACCCTTCGGATCCAGGAGGGGAAGCTTTGACCCACCACGCCATCCACCATTTCGGACCTCTGCTTCGAGCCTGGAGGTGTCCCTGAGAGCTCCAAGCATCAAGAATATGGCAATATCTGCCGTCGGCTCAGCGACCGCGTCAACTGTGTTGGTCACGGCAATCTTGTTCTTGTTGAACCATTCCATGTCAAATTCGCTGTACCCGGCGTTGACGGAGGCAACGATCTTGAGCTCCGGCAAGAGTGGGCCTAGCAGGCCCTCATCAAACCTCTCATAGCCGCCGTTGCCCATGCCGATCAGGACACCATCAAATGGTCCATCGGACTTCCGCGCGTCTGAAATTGCTTGAACAGTGCCTTTTCTATCGCTAGGCAAGATGATCTGTTCTATCGTTAGTACCCATTCGTGAACCCCCGTATCAGGGATCGAACTTACATGAAGGTCACAAGTAGATTGGAATTTTGACACAAAATCGTCGCCTGCATAAGAAGGAGATGCAATAGATAGGACTCTGGGCTTGCGTCCCAGAGATTGCGGTGTGGAGGCCTCCATGACTTGGGCCAAGATGGGTAGTACGAATGAGCAAAGTTCTCACTGAGCGTTTCACTTCAGTTTAGAATGATTTCAGAAATTTAGTGCTCAACGATTCCGAATTATTTGGCATGGGATATCACTGCAATTTGGAGAGCTATTCTCGATGCTTGTATCGAAATGTTGTAGGATGCCATCTGGAGGCATGCAGGTCGGCCAATCAGACAACGCGGCCCAGGCCGAGCGAAGAGGGGCATGGTTGATATCAGGTCGGGTTGGCCCGACTAAGGTAATCCTACTCCGCAACGGACTGAAAAAGGTGAGTAGGTAACAATGGAACATCCCCTCACTAGTAATGGTCTTTGGGCTTATTAGTGCATCGCCCGAGTAGCCCATGCATGATACTGTGATTTAAAGCAATCCAATCTGGGCTTCATTATGAAGTATTTGGTAGCAACTTTTCAATGAAAGACCCGAGTTTGAAATCTCCAACTTTTCTTCACACAATCTCATAACACCTACGCAAACATGGCTACATCAACCATCACAATGGTCGAGTCTACCACCCAGGCCCCTCCTCAAGAAATCGTCATGAGCGACACAAGTCCTCAGCATCCTTCAGATGACGTGCCGGATCTTATCAGCAAGCTTCACGTGATTCCAACATTCACTGATCCTCTCGCTGAACGCCAATGGGCAAAGGAACATCTCGTGGGTGCCTTCCGCATCTTTGCCAAATTCGGCTACAACGATGGTGCAGGCGGCCACATCAGCCTACGCGACCCCGTCAACCCAAAGTGTTTTTGGATCAACCCCTACGCCGTCCACTTTAAGCTTCTGAAAGTCAGCGACCTCATCTTCGTTAGCGAAGAGGGAAAGCCTCTAACCAAGACAAACCACAAAGTCAACCGAGCAGGCTTTATGATACACGCGGCGCTTCATAAGGCCAGACCAGACGTCAACGCCGCTGCGCACTGTCATTCACCCTACGGAAGGGCGTGGTCTGCGTTTGGAAAGCCTATCGAGATGCTGAACCAGGACTGTTGCATGTTCTACGATGACCTTTCAGTTTACGAGGGCTTCGGTGGCGTTGCCCTCGCACAAGATGAGGGCGAGAAAATTGCGAAGGCGTTGGGGCCCAAGCATAAGAACGTCATTCTTCAGAACCATGGGATTCTTACTTGTGGAGGGACTGTGGATGAGGCAGCTGCTTTCTTCATCGCCCTGGAGCAGGCATGTCAGGCACAACTACTGGCCGATGCTGCCGCCGCAAACGGTGTTCAGAAGCGATATGTCTCGGAAGAGGCAGCCAGATTCACAAAAGCGGGATCGGGAACACCAGAAGTCGTCTTCATGCAGTTCAAGCCTGAGTATGACTTGGTGCTGGAAGAGACAAATGGAAGCTTTCTGTCATAGTTGTGGATAGTACATTGAATTTTATTACGATGATTTGCCGTGTAAAGCAAATTCTTGCCCTATGCATTTGATGCTGGAGGCGTGATCCGTTGGCATCAAGCCCGGGCAGAGTCGAAGATTAGGAAGCAATGAGGAGTTCACAAGGAACCACGCTTGTATGCATCGCTCGTCCTAGCTGGCTGACGTATTTTTCATCGAGACAGTTAGCAAATCTTCACGAGTGACCTTCGCCCAATGATTCAATTCTTGGTATCAAAATCGCGGAGAAAGTAGTGAACTCCGGGCTCTACCTCGGGAGATACGACACAGACGGTCTTTCGGCCCAGGCCGCTTTTGCCTCGGTGGCACTCTCGATTGTCACCAGCCACTCGGATTGAGCCGTGAGTAGATTGAGCGTTCATCATAAGTATCAATCGCGTGTGAGTTTCGGCGTGTTCGGGACAAAGACCAAGTAGTATTGATAACAGACGTCCGGGACACGACTCGAGACCACTCGACTAAGTTACTCTGAATTCACATGAGCACCCAGTAATCGACAACATGGTCGAGGTCCGAAAGTACCATCTGCCGGCGACGGCACTCATGCCAAACTCACCACACCCACTTCTGCATTATCCAAGCTACTTTTCGGCCCAAAAAGGCCTAACAGCCAACAGTGTCTGTCAAACGTTTCATGATAATGGCTGGGAAGTGCAGTGGATCTATCGGTACGGCGAGACGCAGCGCTCTCATTACCACTCTGGCGTTCATGAGTGTATGGCTGTCCTCTCCGGGTCAGCTACGATCCGCTTTGGCGTTGCAGACACCTCCCTCGACATGAAGGAAAACACTTGCGGACGGGACAGAGAGACAGGAGGCGTTGAGCTGGAAGCCCATGAAGGCGATGTGTTCGTCCTACCCGCAGGCACAGCACACAAAACATTCAATACCAAGCCTGAAGCCTCGTTCACACTTTTGACCCCTGGGGATGGACATCGTATTGCGGGACCGGACATTGGCAAGGCGTTAAAGGAGACGCAAGACCGCATCACGGGGTTTACGATGATCGGTGCATATCCTAAGGGTGGGGGGTATTGGGACTCTTGCAAGGGCGGGGAGCACCATGGAGGTTATGAGAAGGTGTGGGCAGTTCCTAAGCCGGAAAGGGATCCCGTCCTAGGAAGCTCTAACGATGGACTCCAGGGTTTATGGGCATAGTAGATTGGGGGTTTGGAGCAACCAGTTTGGTATATTGTCATGGAAGGCTTTCTACTACTGCTTTCTTGAAAGAAACGTTTCTTTTATTGATCTGCTGGGTTTCCATACGAAGTAGCCAAATCTAATGAGACTCTTGTTAAAGTAGTCTCCCATGATGTGATGATGAAAGGTACGGTTACCCTTAGTCAAACAAAATCTATGATATTATCTCTGAATTCATTTCGACCGGCAAGGTAAACTTCTGAACACAGTGTACTGGAGCTACAGAATTGGAAAAGTCTTTCTGGATTGTACGCAGCAGTGTAACACATCCTTCATTGGCCTGTGGTGAGGCATGTGTTCCATCTCGCTTATGACGAGAAACCTCCACAGCCAAAATACTGTTCAAAACAGGCTATTATCAGAACACGAAAAGGGCCCATTGATTGTGCTCTCCGGGTCCGAGAACAGCTTCACCAACGTATCAACCGACGCATACATACCCGCTGTGTTGAGGAACGCGCCCATGAACACTAGTCCCCAATTCAAGCAGGACAGCGCGATCATGCGCTTGCTAGAGAACTGTTGTTTCCAATTGAGATGCAGCCAGAAAATTCCAGGTAATCCGAATGAGAACCAGGCAACCAGCAAGGCAGATGACACAGCAATGATAGAGTTGAAGACTGGAATAGCGTTCGCGAGGACGAAAACCAAGATCCAGAACCCTGTTCCCAGGAGAACCCAGATGCTCCATGACTTGACGGTGTTGGTTGTCATTTGGTGTGGGATCTTGAGCAGGTCGCGCATGGTTACCACAAAGAGGTACTTGATGCCGGCGTGACCGTAAAATAGGCCTGTGCAGAAAAGAGTCGAGAGGAGAATGCCGTAAGCCACCTTTGCTGGGAGCAAAGGAGCTGTTCCAATGGCAGGGGATGTGACATAGTCGCCGGCGAGTCCATAGATGGCACCTCCAGTGACGAGATAGATGGGGATGGCAAAGGACTGCAAAATAACCAGGGCGGAGACGTAATCCTTTGCTGGGTCTTTCATCTCAGCCATGACTGTGAAGAAGCCTTGCCTGCCACCGAAGGAGTAGCAGATGCTGAGAATAGCGGTGAATCCTTCTTGGAAAGTTGGGTTCCCCCACAACTTGATTTTGATGTCGGCTCCGGGAGGAGCGAGTTGTGGTGAGGCTACGGCCAAGGCGATAACAACTATGAAGATTGGGACAAATATGCCAAACGTCGCAGGCCCTGAGTTGTGGATGGTATTAGATACCGAATGTTGAAGATATGAAGTATCAAAACTTACATGAGAAATAAGCAACGAAATTCATTTTCCTTGGAATACACAACACATAACATATCAACGCCGCGAATCCAATAAATGACACCGTGCACATGCTGTGTCCTGTGAGTGTGTTGAGAGCGACGCTGATAGCCAAACACGCCGAGGCACAAGCAAGACTGAGGTTGATGATGAGACCGACGGCACCAATAGTCGCCAAGACCTTGCCGCCAAGAACTTGCAGCGCGTCTGGGAGGTTGTCAATGTGGCGGTACTTCTTCCAGTACAGCAGGAGAACATATGCTGTGTATGTGGATAGAGCTCCGATGCCCAGGATTGCGATGAGACCGGGAATGAGGCCGATGCGTTGGAGAACCGACGGCAAGGCAAGAATGCCGATTCCAACCTCAGTATGAATCAACACGATGCCCGTTTTCCACTTTCCCAATACGCGAAACTGTTCGCCACCAGCGGCAGCAGCAGCGCCAAAGACGCCGTTCAAAGTGGCATCTTGCTGTTCATTGGTTTGACTGTAGCCGATTTGCTCACTGGCAGTTTCGATATCCTCGTCGCATGTTGGTGCTTTCTTGACGTCGTCTTGTGTGTCTTCCAGTGCGGCCGTGATGGGCTTGACACCTGCGTGATGAGACATTGGTTTGGGTATGGCGGAGTGCGAAGAAGTGAGAGCTGGTTGGTTCGGTGAGTCGGTTGTTCGCGGAAAACACCTGCGACTTCTCACATTCTGCAACAATAGCTATATCAGAGTAAGATAAAGCGAGCTACTCTGCATCACCCAACAATCTGAAGTTGCAAACTGCCTGTTGAGGTTATCAGTCTACAGTCGGGCGGTTCCGCATTTCCGACCAACGCGGTCGATGCCCCGCCCCGGATGTGCCCCCGACGCCAAGTACTTGGCTGTCCATTGATAAGGTCGCGGTCGATCCTGCCTAATCGCTGCTGGCATTAATTGTCGTCATCTGATAGGTATGGCCCGAATAATTATGCACCTGAGTTGATAAGGCGTAATGAGGTCTTAATGCCCGCACTTTGTTTCTACTGAGGGTCGATCCGGACGGCACACTATCAGCAGTGGCATGCTAAAGTTAACGGGTTGACCCGAATCAGAAGATATCAAACGTCAAGTAGAACTCATGAAGCTATCAGATCTACTTTCTTATCATCTCCTGATGTCTTTTGCAGAAGTCTCGGACCGTCCCAACAAACCGATCCATGTCCGCTGCGGTCAGAGCCAGATTCAAGGCCATACTGCCACGCGGGTGGATCCAGTACCCTGCCTCCAACATTTCCAACCAGAAGAGCCGCTTCAGGTCCCCATCCTCTACCGTTGTCCAGTCGTCCTTGCATTGTATCTGATCCCGGGACAACCCGTTCGTGGTGGCGTGAATACAAATGAGGGTTCCAAGGCCCGTCACTGTGAACCGAGTCCCTTGGACCGCCTCTAGTAGCTGCGCACGCAGAGCCTCGCCCCTCTGGTGGAATGCGTCAGCTACCTCACGTGTGAATACCTCGGTCAGGCCAGTGTAGCCCGCATTGAGCATGAGAGTGTTGTTCTGGAAAGTGCCTGAATGGGCAAGAGATCCCTGCATTCGTGGGTCGTACACGGCCATAACGTCGCGACGCCCTCCAAAGGCGCCAAAGGGCATACCGCCGCCAAGGTACTTCCCGAACGTCTTCATATCCGGAGCTAAATCATGATCGAATGTGGAGGCTATTCCACCGCCATAGAGTCGAGATGTCATGACTTCGTCGAGTATGAAGAGTGCGTTGGCGGCGCGAGAATGCTCTCTAATCGCACGAAGGAACTCGGTGGTTGCAGGAATCGCGCCTCCAGAGCCTTGCATTCCCTCGACCAATACCGCAGCGATATCTCCTTTGTTGCTCTCAAAAGCCTCAGTCAAATGCCGAACGTCATTATATTGAGAGATGATCCAGTCTTGCTGGTCGACGTTGTTCGGCGCAGCCCCAAGAGAGAATGACAAGAGACTTCCGTGGTATCCACCCCTGAATACCACAATCTTGCGTTTGCCAGTGAATTTGCGAGCGGCGGCAATGCAGTGCAAGTTGGCCTCAGTGCCTGAATTTGAAAACCGAACACTTTCCAAGTTGAAACGAGCACATAGCAATTCCGAGTATTGCTTTTCGTAGACGTTGGTGGCTCCGAGACTTAAGCCGATGTTCGATAGGACATTTGACATGGATGCCTTGATCTTGGGCTCCGAGTGGCCGAAGAGTCCGGCGGTTAGCTCTCCCACAAAATCGCAGTATTCGTGACCGTCGAGATCAATCAGCTTAGATCCCTCTCCCCGCACCATGACGATAGGGAATGGGGAAACATGAAGAAGTGTTCTGGTATTACCACCTGGAAGACTTTCCAAGGCAGCGTTGTGGTATTCCAACGACTTAGTATTCCGAGTTTCGTATTGCTGGAGAGCTTCCGCCAACAGAGCTTGACAATTAGTCTGAGATGAGGGTGTCATGATAGGCAGTGAAGAAAACCGAGTGCGTTGAAGAGGAGGTATGAGTAATTGCGGAGCTGGCCTATATGGTAGCTATCCAGTGTTAAAAGGAGTGACCATCAAGTGGCTGTCTTTGAATCGGGCTATTTCATCCAGATCAATACTTTTCCAACGCATTCATCCATGGGATCACCTGACATCATTCCATGGGCGTGCTGTGTGGAGTCAATTCCTTGTATGAGACTTGATGTCCGGGTCGGATCGTACCGATTCTCTGCTGGCCACTCATTTTTGGTGGAGGTATTGCAAAACGGGCGGCTTTAAGGAACACATCACGCCTGGGAGCCATCAAAGAAAAACGACGATGATAAGCCATAGTCCTCGAATACTCAATCTAAGTCTGACAAGTCAAAATAATGTCTGATTGCCAGCGGAAGGCGATTATTACCAAGGAGGCTCCGGGCCCCTATCCTCCACTGTCACAAGCTATGGTTCATGGCGGCTTCGTCTTCTGCTCCGGGTCAATCGGCATGAACCCCCAAACAAACTCGATTGTCGAGGGAACCATTGCGGATAGAACTGTGAGCGAGCACTCCATGGTATCAGATGAGATTCATGCTAACAACATGTTCCAGACGCAGGCTCTCACCAACCTCGGCAAAGTCTTAGAGACGGCAGGTTCAGGCACAGACAAGATCCTGAAAGTCAACATCTACGTTACAAGCATGGAAGATGTTCCACTCATGAACGAAGCTTACATGGCCTTTTTTGCTGAGCCGCGACCAGCCAGGGCCTGTGTGTGCGTTAAGGCCTTAGCCAGGGGTACGGATGTTGAGATTGAATGCACAGGGTTTATTTGAAGACAAAACCTCTCCTAGGGCTTGTACAATAATTCAGATAGCTAAAGGACAAGAAATCACTAATATTCCACCGTGATCATGTCCATCAGAAGCTGCTCGACAGATGAGCACATGCCAATATCAGCCATGCCAGCAAAGTAATTGGAGACTTGGTCGGCCTGTAAAGACGACAACACAGGCCCGCTTGGCATACATGACGCAGTCTCCAAGTCCACCAGCATGGCTTGTGTAGCATTTGACAACGCTTCAAATGTGTCCCGATATGGCGCCACCGCATCCCATCGCTCCGACATTACGGCAAGAACTATCATGCAAGAAGTACACGTTGAAGACACGATATCTTGTCGTATGGTATTCCGTGTCTCTGGACTGTTCCACAGACAGTGGACGTAGGTCAGCCCAGCAAGGAATAGAACATGCAGCGCACCCCATGTATCATTCAATCTTTGACTCAGGTATAGCGTGCGATAAAGCTCGCAGATGGCTTGTGATGAAGATGCACAGTCCAGATACACCGATGCATCGTCGCACTCAGGCGCTGCCCACCGGCTTTGATCGTGAGATGACCGTTGACGTACAACCAAGCGCCTTCTGTGGAGAAGCAAGATCGAGTGGTAATACATGAGTTTGTACCACTCGGGGCTACCGAATGCGTTGTTTGCGGCACAGCCCTCCACAAGTTGCTCTGGGGCGGCGTCCATCCACGCGCGAAGTTCGTCTTTGAACTTTTGCGTTGAAGAGGAGTTGCGATGCGGGGCCACACTATGTGTTTCTCGATAAATGGTGCGTTGCATGCGCGCCCATATACGTCGTAAGCGAATCGTATGGAGCGCGGAAGAGACCACTGTTGCTGGCTCTAAATTTGATGTACGCGCTTGAGCTAGGAACCCAGTTGGCGTGATATTCTCGTCGTCGATGTCCAAAAAGAGAGCAACATCAATGTCTTCATCGGTAATAGACACAGGTCGTCCCAAAGTAACAGCACATGCCCTGTCAAGGTTGTAGGAGCACCAAAAGACGCGGCGTCGTACCTCCGTTTTGAGTGTGTTTGACTCGACTTTTGACCATGGAATATCTCGGTGAAGCCCCAGCTCAACACACTGGCGGACGGCTAACCCTGACAACGTCCAGATGGAAACTCCGATGGGCGACCGCAGAGAGTACATGGCACAGCAAAGCAGTGCCTGTATTGTTTCCAGACTATTGAGTTGCAAGACATGTTCGAAGAGATCTTCAGCAGCCGTATAAAGACTCTCCGGGAGGGGTGCACCGGCGAAGGGCACCGCGAGAGCACCCACTGCGGTGACCATAAACACGAAGAACGCTTTTAGAGGGTCGGGAGTAAGCCCGTTCTCGCAGGCTGTCATGACAGCACCTTCATATTCGGTGTACGTCGGCCTATGCAGAAACGGATACTGTGGGTGGACGTTGTCGAAATAGGAACTTGTTAATATCCGGGCTACTTCTCTGCCCGGCATGGGTGCTGGCACCGCACGTGGTCGACTTTGGACGAAGGAATTGGAAACACCCCCGAGTGTCATACCAGGACCTCGCACCTGCGCTCCTCTCAGACGGGCAGTAAATAGTTTCGTAAAGGAGAATGCGGAGGAGGACCCGAAGTAGTGAGGCTCTCCACCAGCAGCTCGAAGGCAAAGGAGATCTAGCACAGATGGGCCCTCGCTCAGCTCGTTCATAGTCTCGACATTGTTGTTGGCTGACTCATTCTGCAGGCTAGCACAGCTTAGAAAAGAAACGCATTCGCTATCCCATTGGGTACACACCTATCTTGAGCGTTTGCGTCGATCGATGCTACGATGGACACAGGTACTTCTTGGGGTTGCTGGGTGTGCTTGTGTGGGCGGTTGAAATCATGGTCTATGCTGTCAAAGTCTCCGTCTTCGACCGAGAGCGATGCTTCGAGACGAGCCACACGCTCCTCCAGTGCCTCGACATATCCTCGAGGATATTGTCGTTTGGTAGAGGGGTCTTCGATGATGCAGGCTGTTGATTGTGCATCAGCCAAGTTCAGACCACAAGTTAAGGGCTGTATTCACAACTCACTTCTTGAGCCTTTCACACAATTTCCACACGAAGGTGCCCGGCCGTCACACTAGACAAGCGATGTTGTGAGTTCACGACATGCGCAGAGAAGTTACCATACTACGTAGGCTCACCTTTTGCTTCTTCTGCTGGCAAGCAATGCAGGCGACTCGTGCTCGTTTGGCATGGGCCCGCACGGTGATTGACGGAGATGGAGACATATTGACTGGAGTTCTGACAGTTGCTGCGGTTGTTGAAAATGGAGATGCTCCCCAACAGGGATGATAAGAGAGCACGATGTCATTGTCCGCGGCTATCAGTCGTTCTGGCTAGTAAGATAAAGGATGCACAGTGGTGGATCAGGTGCATGCATCAGTATCTCACATCCCTGTTAGAATGACCTCCCCCGCACTTAGCCTGCGATAAGGGACTTCGGGTAAACGATGAAGCATGTCACTGGCATTTCTTCCCCGCGTTTCCTTGGGGGAAATTGCCTTGGAATGGAGTTATTGCTAACGATGGATAAATGAAGCGATCTGCAAAAACACCCAGCGCACTCAGCTCTTGATAGAAGAGGTGCTATTTGCTACTAACGCACTCTTAGCAACCATCACCGTCCCGTCTATCATCATCATCAGTTTTCCACACGGATTTGAACTTTCGCCGGCTCGACAAAATTATCTAGACCCCTACCCCTCACATCTTCGTGGTCGTTCCGGGGGAGGCTGACAGCTGGCTTGCCGATTACGGGAGGCTTATCCACCAGATCAAGATACCCAGTTGTGGATGTGTTCATCTCTTGTGCCATGATCATGCCGTTCCCCATCCACGCAAGACTATCACCCTCGTTTTCGTCATTTGACACGTACTCAAAATCCTCAAATCGGGGATGCATCAATGTGGTACGTTGGTGAACAGCAGATCCAGGCCAGTAGCCCAACATCCTGCCATTAGATGTTCTCTTGGCCCAGTTATTGCACTGGTTATTCGTTAACAGTACATACGGGGCTGACTCCAAGAGAAAGTATGCTTACCGTGAAGGCAAAAGTCGTCTTCTCAAAATACCGGTCAACTTGCTTCATAAAGGCTTTGACAGCCGAGATTCTGTTTCGAAATTGTCAATATCCACCCGATTCTTGTCTAAGCTTCAAATGCAGGCACAACTCACTTTGGAACCATGTACTTCAGGTTCTCGCGCTGCAGCTTCAGGATACATTTTATCATGTACTCGCAAGTTACCTCACTCATCTGGATCGTTGACCCCGCACCAGGAGCGCCATTAGGGCCAACAAAGAAGAAGCAGTTGGGCATTTCCGGAGGAGACATTGACATGTAAGCTCCGGGCTCTTCTTCCCACAAGTCGTCGAGCGATACTCCGCCTCTGCCAAAGATTGGGGTTTCCTTGAGCGACAATGATGTGTCGAATCCAGTAGCACAGATGATAGCATCGACCTCTCTGTAAACTCCTATATCGTCCACTATCCCAGTTTCGGTGACCTTCCTGATTCCTTGGGGAATGAAGTTCAGATTGGGCTCTGTCAGAGCTTCGAGGTATCTTGGTCCTGGGGAAACCCGGCGACAGAGAACCGGGTATGTTGGCTTCAGGGCGTCAAATATCTCTGGTCTCGTTGCCAGTCTGCGCAACATCGAGTCTTCCGTGGCTTTCGAAAAGCTTCTGTTCATGTCTGATCCAACCCAATGGACAAGCTGAAACTTATTGACGAAATTTTCAACCTGGTGCCGGTAGTTGAGGTACTCCACCGGGTACTTCTCAAATCGCTCTTGCTCTTCGGGTGGGAAAGGGACTGCTTTCAATGTTAGCAATTTACCTATGTCAAAATCAACAAATTTCCAAGACTTGCAGTTATGAATGTCAGAAGTAGCCTTTCTCGGATCAGCAGCAACATAGCCTGCTGGTGAGATCCAAGCCTGTCCCCTCACATAGTGATCCATATGCTGCACTTCGGGTAAGATGGCTGGGACAAGCTGCACGGCTGTAGCTCCGTACCCAACCACTGCAACCCGCTTTCCCTTTGGATCGAAACTTTCGTCCCAGTTGGCGCTGTGAATCAATGGTCCTCGAAACGTGTGCAATCCATCAATCTTGGGCCACATCCAATTATTAAGATTGCCTGTTGCCTTAACAAAGACATTGCAATAATCCTTAAACTCAGTGCCGTCGGTCATGTTCACTAAGGTAACCTCCCACTGAGCCTCTTCTTCAAGCCATCGGGCGGACTTGAAGACGTGGTGAAACTTTACCAATGATTTCATGCCGTACTTCTCTGCCACGCTCTGGAAGTAGCGGCCGATCTCAGGACCAGGTGAGAAGAAGTGAGACCAGTTGGGATTATTCTCGAAGGTGTACTGAAATGAGACCTACAAGTGGTTAGTGGATGCTCATGTTGGTGGCATTTGCCAAGTGACAGAACTCACGGACGGCACATCTGATGACACCAGGCGTAGCAGTCAGACTCAATGCATCAATGGGCATTCCAGAATCGCGCTTACCGCATGTAACTCCAGGATACCTGATACTGTCAGTGGTCAAATCGCTATTAGAGAGAGGAAGATCTCGCTTACCTGTTCTCAAGCCAAACGCCGCCTACCTCGGAATTCTTCTCATAGATGACCAGGTCCAAATTCGGAATTCTTTGTTTGAATCGTATCCCGCATAGAATCCCGGACATTCCTGCACCGATGCAAATCACCTTCATCCTCCGAGCAAAGTCTACGGGAACGTCCCATGACTTGTGATTGCAATTGGTGTTCATCTTGGACACGATAGGACGCAGTGGGAGGATTGACAGCCCCAAGCGCGTTGGAGTAGTGTCCAGAAGAGGCCCGTAGGTTTCAGAAGCGTATTCACCAAGTCAAAATCTCATTTTATTAGACTAGTCCTATGCTCATAAGATCCAGCTGTTTAGATGGGATGGCCCAAATTGCACACCACATGCTGACAAGTCACCTCGCCAACATTGCAGATTGAGCACCACGCAGCCAGACTCAATGGTCGATTGTAATCGGAAACTGAGAGCCGCTTTGCTATGGACACAGCGGGTCATTCCGTTTGGCGGCATGTGTTTAAAGCAACTCGGGTCGACCCGACTGGCACTGATCTGCACGCTTATCAGGGTGGGGTCGTCTGTTATGAATACTCGGGTTGACCCGACATGATGGCCTCACCTTGCCCTCAACAACTGGGAATCCGTTATTTCCGGGGCAAGCAATCTTATTGGATAGATTAAATAGTACCTACTGAGAGGTGTGCGAGGTTTGCGGCCTCCACTAAGATGATGATTGATAGTAATGGACCGCAGGTGTACGAACTTGCGCTATCCGTTCTCGATATCAACTTTTGATTGAAGCAAGGACACGATACACGATACACACGTCACAAAATTTCATCATGGCGAACACATCATCACAAGAAGTCCTCACCATCTCGGAGCTGAAGCGAGCAGCTTCCGCTAAGCTGGACAAGACCGCCCGAGGTATGAATTCAAGGAATTAACTGCTGCATGTTTTTGGAACCTGCTAACATGGACTTCAGAGTACTTCAATGAAGGGGCGATGGATATGATCACGTACGTACTGCAAACATTTTCCCTCTTGGCAAACTCAATTACTAACGCGCACGTAGTCTCAGAGATAACGAGCATGCTTTCGACAAGTACAAGATTCGTCAACGCATTCTCGTCGATGTAGCCTCAGTAGAGACGAGGATTACCATGTTGGGGTCCGAAATTGCTCTCCCGCTCGCTTTCGCACCCGCTGCTATGCACGGTCTTGCTCATCATGAAGCTGAGAAAGGCACGTCAAGAGCGGCCGCAGCCAAAAGTATCCCTATGGGACTTTCAACCTATGCGACCACCTCACTTGAGGATGTCATAGAAGAGAAGGGAGAAAGCTCGACTCCTTACATGTTTCAACTGAGCGTCACAAAAGACCGCTCGGTCCCACTGGATTTGATGAAGCGGGCAGAGAGTAAGCAATATTTTGAGCCTAGTTGATCAAGGGATTCATGTCCAACAGCTAATACCGAACAGAGGCGGGTTATAGAGCGCTCATACTGACAGTTGATGCACCTGTCCTTGGCCGGCGTCTGAACGAAACCAGGAACAAGCTGACGCTACCAGATAATCTGTGTTTGCCAAATCTGGGAGGCGTTCGTTCGCATCATAATCCTGGGCGGGATGCTAGCAATTCTTGGGAATCGATCATCCCCTGGGTCAAGTCTCACACCATGCTCGAGGTTTGGCTCAAAGGCAGTAGGTACATGTGAAACTTCTGAGCAGATACAACACTAATTGCAGCCTATCACAGTATACTGCAGCGAGGATGTGCTACTTGCTATTAAATACGGGCTCGATGGAATCATCGTTTCCAATCACGGCGGGAGACAGCTGGATGGCGCCGCTGCGACAATCGACGTGCTTCCCGAATGTGCCGAAGCTGCTAAAGGCAGAATCAAGATTGGAATCGACGGTGGCATCCGTCGTGGATCTGACATTTTCAAAGCCTTAGCTCTTGGGGCCGACTGTTGCTTTGTGGGACGGATTCCTATTTGGGGTCTTGCGGTAAGAACGCCCCTTGATGTCCAAAGGTGCGAGGAGCATATTTGACTCACAAGCAATATCACAGTACAATGGGGAAGAGGGAGTGAAGCTGGCAGTCGACATTCTGGAGCAAGAGTTGAGGACGACTATGGCCCTTGCTGGGTGCTCCTCCATCAAGGAGATTTCGCGCCATCATCTATCTATATTGGGAACAAATGGAATCTTGTCTAGACTATGACTCATGTGATAGATTATTCTGTCATGGTGTCTTGTGTCTAATCAAGCATAATATTTGTCGGCACAGTGACAAAAAGCAGGGGAACATAAACAGAGTGGACTGCACAATCTGCTTCCGAAGAATAGAGCTTGGCCTTGAGGACGTGAGTGTCATGATTTAACGTTGATTGAGAAGTCGTCAGTCAACATAGACACGAACCAGATTCTGACGTACATTTCGATCTCCCTTACATCTCGATCCTACGCACTTGAGATATGGAAAGTATAGGTTTTTTTGGAGTTCATGAGAATCCCATGAGACTGTTCCCGGCCACCGTTGCCACACTGTTGCCTTGATTGAGAATTCTGGCACCCCAACCAGTTTCCTTCCAGCCTAGATTCATGGTTCAAGCTGAATTGAAGAAGTATTCGAGCTGTGGAATTCTTTCGTGGGCGTTCGAATATGTCTGAAAACTGCCCTAGCACCAACCAGCTCATTCTTCGAAATGTCGGTCTATTTGCTGTCGGGAAGAAACTCATACATGTGAGTGCAACGTACGTCCGCCGCCGAACGTCTACCCAGAAATTTTGCCCAGTCATGTTGTTGTGAGGTCTTGCAGTCTGGCCCACGATGTTGACGATAGACTACGTTCTTCAAGTCGGGAAATCGCGTACCAAGCTCTCGAAGTAGATACCTAGTTTGAAAGTAGGTCTCATCTTCTGCAACGCCCAGGTCCACACCGTATAGTCTGATGTGATGCAATTTCCGGACCCCACGAAACTGATGGAGCCTTTTAAAGAAGAATTCGTTTTCGTCCGTCATACCGTTCACGGCCCATAAACGTACAGATATGAATGTCAAAGCCACATTTCTGATGAGCTCCAACCAGCCGCAAGTCACGTCGTCGCCGGGCATAAGGTCTTCCGAGAACCAAACAACATCGACGTCCCAGTTGATATTGATGTCGTACGCATTTCGATGCCACATCATCTTCTGAGGAGGTGACATCATAGTCGTGGACGACGCCGAGGGTAGCATGGTCCATGGTGGGATCCAGAAGTTTGGGCGTAGTGCGCGTGTAACGGACCGTGACATGCGATCGATTGTCGAATCGATGGCTTTGTAGTATCGATGCATCGATATATCCACGCAGTAGCCCAACTTTGGGTACTTCCATCGATGTGTATGATCGACGGCCAGATATGCATGTGTATCTAGGTGAAACAGCTTCCACATCCTATGTATGCTATATACCTGATCATCCTTGATATAGTGACATCTCAGGTGGCGTCAAGCCGTGAATAATCTTGGTTCCAGATAGGACTCCGTCCAAATCATGAGTCGGATCTCGACGGGGAGAAGTCTGAAGTTGTAGAATGTGGCTTCCATTGGTGAGCTGGCTGTATCCATATTCGTAGCAAGAGCGACCGTAAGTGCCTGAGGAGGAGACGTTTCGTGCAAGGCTATGCTTCAACGACTAATTCGTCAGAATATGTTTTGGTGACAGCAAGAACGCGAACCAAGATGTGTACTGAAAGAAGGTATTTCAAGCTACGTAAGTAGATTTTCTTCTTTGTAGCGGGACCATACTGGTCCTTGTTTATCAGTCATAATAAGTTCCGTGCCGCAGTTCAGGCCTCCTCATCCAGGTTCACACGAAATTTACCTGAAGCCCACAACATTTACCGAGCCCCGTACCTCAATATATGACTTCTGGAGATGGGCCTGGAGTGTCAACATAGCATCGTCTCCTGCCCTAGTGTTCAGCTTGCATGGCAAACAAGCGCATTGATTTGCCGTCTAACCCAGACCGAGAGTCCCAAGAGTTCCTAGAAAGTACGCTTCTCGAGACCTTGCCACTGCAACCTGCCGATAACGTCCTTGATGTACCAGCCCATAGACTGTAAGTAAGATTCCAGGCGTTGAACCAGTGGGTTTCGTTTGACGCCTACCGACGTTTCTGTCTGATGTCCCAAGAATGGAGGCTGTGCTTTTGCAGCGCCCGTAACATATTGCCCCCTCCACTCTTTGAGCTGTTGCTTTGCCAGAAGTCATTGTCCCCAATACTATGTCCAAACATCACGATGAGGCTTTTGCACCCATATCGTAGCTCGAGATATTGTTTCATGGTTTCTGTTGAGAGATGTTGACGCAAACTACAGCCTCGTTCTAATCTAAGGCCATGTTCCAAGCGAAGTTGAGGTCTGGCTCTGAAATTCTCGTCGAAGGTTGCAAGGGCGGTTTCTGCCTTCTTCCGGTGCCGCGTCTGGCTCACGCAAGCGTTGAAATCTTGATAAGCAACACGATAGATATTGTCATCGAGGGATTGGGCCGCAGACGTAGAGATCTGCTTCTTGGCAAGTACGGCTGGTGGGTCTTGGCAAGAGCTTTTATGAGGTGCCTTCGCAGTTGAAATGCTGGGGTGCAAACCTTCAATCAGTTACCCATTCTGAGGTTTAATAATGAAATAGTTCGAATTTTTTGCAGGGTACAAGCTTACTGGCGAGACTGATTCATCACGGCGTTGCCACGAACGAAAGGCCCCAGCCTTCCATTGTCTGTCTCAACGCCGCCTTGCTTTGAAAGTCCCGACAAATGCTACAGCCTATATACATGATAGGCAGCGTATCGGGTATTAGCTATTGAACTGAGCGTTGAAGTTTGCTAATGTTGCTGCTGCTTGAGCTTTGTTCCGCCTCTGGCTGACTTGAATGTCGGTGCTTTGGTAGGATACGCGGCGAATACTAGCCTCCGAAGAGATAGCCTGGTCTTTGTACATGGATTGTCGCTGCTGTGCTATTGATTTTGCTGATATTGCCGACGAATATTTGTGGGAGGGCTTCGGGGGAGTCTCCCTGGAAGCATTGGTGGTCAGCTCTGAAAGTCCTGCTGTGACTGATCAGATCACGGGGAGTAATGGAAGGATACCCGTTGTACACTGAGTTCCAAGAGTCCATGGGGCGGTCGAATAAACTCAATTTTTCAATTGATTACTTGGAGTGTCTAATTGGTGGAGAAGTCTACGCTAACAAGATATTGTGCCTTGTGCAGCAAACATGAAGGTTTGGAAAGGGGCATTCGTTGTTGTTCGTTGCGAGCGCGAAGCGGACAGCCACAGGTACTATCTAGATTCCTTCTTTTTCGACGGTTTTATAGCGGTTCAAGCTCGGCTGAACACATCGAAATGCCCCAGTTGAGAACTGACAAACACCGCATCGATCCAAGCCCCGACTGGGGTGGCAGATGGAGTAGAATTCGTCGAGGCCACCAAATGAGACAAATGCATTTCGCACCAGCTGAACATCGCCCGTGCCGATTTCAGGGGTTCCAATGTGCAAGTTCCTATAGGCACAGAAGGCTAGCGTTCGGCTATCAGCGTTGCAAATAAACCTCCTCCCAAGGGACACATTGTAGGTACATTCGATTTCGATCGGTCGCAGGGCGAGGCGAGGTCGGCGACATCTGCGGGGTTTGGTCCGGGCCTCTTGGCATGTAATGGTAGTGTCTATGAACGTCAGCTTGGGGTTACACAAAGCCTAGTGGGCAAGTGGATAGATGCCGTGCCTGAAGCAAGCGTCCCAGCCCTGCGGCGGAGCAGGAGTTGCCATCCTGTTGGACGGCGTGATGTTGTGATCTCCTAGTTGGTAATGGTTGACATGATTCCACTTCACTCATGATCGAGGGTAAGCAACAGCAGCAGGAACAGGATGAGAGGAGAATGCCTCTGCGGGAAGATTGAAACGATAAAATCTCCTTTCGCATGCGCGGAGACCACGCAAAGGCGGTAGGTCTTCGTTGGTATCGGACATCAGGGCACTTGGCAATAGCTCTGATGGCCGATGAAGCCACTCGGCGGAAGATACTTGTGTTGACAGAATGGGGGTGAGACGCATTCCCAGAGCACTGACTCTGTGATTCCCGTCATGGTGCGTCAGGCTATTGCCAGGCAGTCTCTGCTCCACAACAGAATATTGTAGGCAAGCTCGGAAACTGTGACTTCGCAGATCGTAGACTGATGGCCTGGGCACTGGCAAAATGCTTCCGGATTCCGCCTTGGCAGGCGCCTTTCCTAGCAAAAAAATGTGAGTTACGGGGGCTTGGGTATCCCGAGTCGGCTTTTGGATGATGAAGAGCCTGACCAGCTTAGCCGGGCGTCAAAAGGATGAGACAGGCGGCTTGCCAGGCATCAGTGTCCAGCGTCTCTGTGTCCCGCAAGTGGAAAAAGGAGATTGCCAGGTTGCAATGCATATGTATCCCGGGTTCAGGTCGGCCGACATGAACATTTCCGGTGAAAGATACGGCCGTTCTGGCAGTAAACGTGATCCAACCGATGAGGCTCGATGATGACGAGCGGACGCCGTCTGCATGTTCCCCAACGTCGCCTGGTTGCCTTGTTTTGTCGCGTAGGCGGTTCGCAAAATGAGGTGGTTGTCCACATCCCGTGCTTTGTCAGGTGACGATGACCCGTTTGAATGCAACAGGCGACAGATGGAAGCTAGATGACAGCCTGGTACATGTAAGCAGCTGCGACGTTTCGAACACGGGGAGGGCTCAAAGATGATGAAGGTTCCGGTATTTTCCCAAGGCCAAAGAGCACGGTGAGATGAAATACGCATAAGAATAGAACTTGAATGACGCCGTTCCCCTCCGTGTTGATGGTTGAGGAAATAAGAGAGGACTTACTCGCCAAGACAGAGTGCATAGGAGTCGCGAGGTGGATACTAGGTGGAAACAGGGACTCCTAGGAGAAGGAGCTGAACCAGACTGCACACCATGCCATGCATACAAGAACGGCAAAATGAAGAATAAGGAGCATTGAAAGCTCCTGTGAAAGCTTCGAAGACGAGTGCTTTTAATATCTCGTCTCAGCAATGGCGATTTACACGCAATGTCTGCCAGCCTTAAGCATCCTGCACGACGGTCCGCAATGTCGCACAAATCCAAGGTTAGCCAATAACCTGAGTCCCTTGGAGCCCACTCACCTGCGAAGTCCTTTTGTTCTACGCCAATCACAAGGCAAATAGCGATTTGACACTGAGATGGAAATGCCAGTCTCTGATTCAAGCAGATGTGGACTGTGGTCTTGCGATCTGGAAACAACTACGCCTTGGAATCGCATTGCACGGAATGGGGAGATTTCAATTGCAGACACCCGAAGGACAGTTTCGCTGTTTCGTGCTTCTCAGTGGCAAGGGAGGGCATCCTCTTCAAGTCAGTTCACTGGTACGGGGGCGAGACTCAATGGCCACTAAATAATAGTGCCGCTCCTGAGATATTCAGTGACTGGGCAGTATTATTTTGTAGTCTGTTGGAACATTTGTAGACTCTCTTGCAGCTTTCTCACAGGTATCACTGCTCATCTGGGTCTCATGCTGGAAAGGGAGTTGCGCGCCGAGAGCCGGAACGGTCACTGATCTGGGCCCACTTCTCCAACCCTCCAACTCCGCTGTCCAGCCCCGGACGGAGATTAGCTCGGTGGATATGGAGCTCCACTACCCGGAGCTCCCCGCAAAGTTTCCAGACTGACACCGATTGGATATCCTGCACTTGGGACATTAAGAGAGCTGTAACTTGCGAAACCGCTAGAGAGCCGCAACTGGGTCAGTTCACTGCCAGAATTTGTATGTCGCTCTCGTGAAGTAAATAACATGGGATCGAGCAGCGACTCAAATTGAAGCACCAATAGCCTCACGCTAGTGCGCATGCCCCCAAATCGCAACAGGAACACTGCACAAGTCATCGATGCCATTTCGAAAGTCAAAGCAGGTTTGAGGGCGATGATATTCAACGCCCCTGTCCCCAATAAATTGCGCTAGACATCTCTTCCTGAACGCCCCTCGCTAACGACCAATTCCAATTGCGTTACCATATCGTCGTTACCAAGACATGCCACCGGATGGCGAGAAATAGTATCTATCTCTAAATCCCGAGTCCTGACATTCGATATCCAGTTCTGCAGAACCGCATCATGATACACGTGTCTCATTATCACCTTATGTACCTCGAGCCTTCCAGGTTCTTCGCTGTCGTCCTTGAGAGGACTCGAAATCCGATCTAGGAATGGCTGTTGAACTGCCGTTCGAAGTCGTTGATCTTGTTTTTCGCTGCAGTCTTATGCTTGCTTTTGCTGGATTGGGCGCTATAGCTCGGGTCGGAAACGTGGTGCACAGATCCGTCAGGGGCACTTTCGAACTTGGCTTGTCGTCGTTTTGTTTGGGTCGTCGCAGAATCGGCTGAGAAGTACTTGTGAGAAGGCTTTTCGGGAGCATCTCTATGCCAGTATCAGTATGCAGGAGGGCGCTGTCTTGGTGTGATGTGGCCGTACCCGGAATAGTTCGACTTCTGCGACCTGTCGCTCATGATAGTGCTGGCGAAATATCGAGTCTTCGGTGCGGCGCCTTGTGTGTTCAGGCGTGCACGGCTTTTCACGCAGCAAGATTTGAGAAAGAGATAGTGAATTATCGTGGAAATTTTGTATTCGTCACTAATGTGAGTGCTTTGTCAATGAAACAGCTGCCAGGTATGGCTGTATCGCGGAGACATTTATAGGCTCGCGGCATGTCAAAGATGGGCGCGCCCCAGATGGGGGAAGATAAGCGTTTTCCAATCTGCCTCGCTGGCCCACAAAGCTTCAGAACCCGCTAGCAAAGCTCATCATCCCTTCCAACTCCGATTGCAATGATACCCACGGTCAGCTGATATGGAATGAAAGAGGCAGGCGTCAGTCAATTCCCTGTATAGCACGCTCAGGCAATACTCCCTTCTTGGGCAATTCCAACGGGCGGGGAGGTAACCCAGTGAGGTTTCCACCTTACCTGGCGGAAGCAATATGAGGGAGGGGGAGTGTTGTTGTGAAAGCAGATAAGTTGCAGACGTGAAGGAGATAGGCACGATAAGTGGTCAGCTTCAATCGACTGTGGGCCAGCTTCAAGTATTGCTGAGTAGCAGAAGAGACTCTGGTGTTAGTGTTGGTTGTGATCATGTGGAGGCATAGCACGTGGCCGATCCGAAGACCGGTAGTCCGAAAGCCGGTAGTCCGGCTGTCATCGGAAGTAGCGCCGAGTCGAAATCGGTGTCGTTTTGAGATACCTCCGCTCCGAGCTTAAAACACGCCGAAAGTCCCGTTGTCCATGCCCTGGCCAGATATGTAGAAGCACCGTCGAAGATCTTTAAAGAGGCTGTCTCGGCCAAAAGGTCTTGCTAATCACGCTTCAGTATTTCCACGAATCCAAACTAGCGGGATGAGAAATTTGAGCATGTCCGTATTCTGTACCCGGGTATAGAGAAAAACGCTGAAGTGTCTCTTCTTTCCCTCTCTTCTAACAGCAATGTTTCGGCAACCTAAGTCGGTCTCAGTATCGGTACATTTCAGTCGCGGGGGCGGCGTGCGAGTTTCTACGGATACCCACCATCACACCATGCGCCCCACCCCACCATGAGCAAGTCGGCGACGGGGCTCCTGACACATTGCTCGGCTCACACTAGAAGCAACTTCAGCGGATGATCCTTTGCGAAGCCCAACACAGCCTCAAAACTGGCTCATGCTTACGATTCGGCAAGCATCCGACATGACCATACTTTCCTGCGATTTGCGGAAGCGTGCACGGTCTGGCTTGCGACGAATCATTATGCCGAAAGGTGGTCGCATCGGACATACCAGGCACCCTTCAGGGAGTTGAACCTAGCCGTAGGTATGTACAACGTTTGCCTGCCACATTGCGACGTTGGAGCGACGTAAAGTCATGGACAGTAACATGGTTCCACCGAGAATTAACTCATTATTCATCCGTTTATAAGGCCAGCACCAGCATAAGATCAGGGGACCAGGCAATTTAAATTAACTTTGTTCAATTAACAAACTGTATGTAACATCAAAAGTATGAGGCCATGCCATATATCCACCGCCTCCATAAGGAAATAGTCTTAAAATGGGGAGTATCTCGCAAGTCTATGATCTATAAAGAATGAAGGAATCATGAAGTTCGTAAAAGAAAAAGGAAAGAAAAAAGAAAGAGCTCATAACCATCATCGAACAACTCAGGCCTGGGGCGCAGCAGTGCGCTTGGGCATCGGCATGTTGGCGTTGCGGAAGCGAAGACCGCGCTTGTTCTTGCTCGTAGTGGTGGTGGTCTTCTTGCCGCTGTCCTTGGTACTATCCTTGCCACTGTCCTTCGTGCTGTCCTTTCCACCCTTGTCATCATCCGCCTTGCTTGTGGTCGTGGCCTTGGCAGTGATGGTGGAGGTAGGAGAGGAAGAGACGGGAGTGGTTGTGACCGCAGCGGGCGCGGAGCTGGCAGCCGCGATGGTGGAGGTGGACAGGGTTTTGGTGGCCCAGTAGGCATCGAGGCGGCTCTCGACCTCGTCGACGTTGTTGTAGGGCTGGTAGTTGGCCATGAACTGCATGCGGGACTTGATAGAGTCGTAGTTGTAGGCGTTGGAGGTCTCCGGCTTGGCGCGCCACTCCTTCTCCATGGGGTCCACGAAGTATTCCTCGGTGTACCCAAGATCCTCGAGGACAGTGACGTTGAAGGCAGCCATCATTTCGTGGTCCTCGTGGATCAGGTTGTGGCAGTGGAACATGTACACACCGGGCCAGGGGGCGTAGTGGGCTTCAACGGTAACAGTCTCACCGGGCCCGAGCCAGACGACATCCTTCAGGCCCTGGAACTCATATGGCATCACAGCGCCGCGGCCGTTGACACGCTTGATAACACGGAAGTCGACAAGATGGATGTGAATGGGGTGAGACCAACCGCCAGAGCTGTTCTCAAGCTCCCAGACCTCGATAGTGCCACGCTTGGGGCGGGCGAGAACGCGGTTGTTGACATCGGCAAAGGTGACACCGTTGATGCGCCAGTCGCTGCCGGTACGCTCGAAGCGGAAGTGCTGGTCAACTCCGGTCTTGTCCTTGGGGAAGGGGACGTTGCGGAGGGAAGAGGGAACATCGGACTTGTCATCGACAGACTGGTCGCTGACCACGAAACGCATGACCTTATCGGTGTGGAGGAAATCCTGATCGGCAGCAAAACCGCGAGTGTTGCGAAGAGTGACGTTCTCGCCCTTGAACTTGGAGAAGTCGACGACGATCTCGTAGCGCTCAGCCATGGCGATATACAGCTCCTGGACCTTTTGAGGACCGGTGAGAAGACCAGCGTCGGACGCGATCACCTGGAAATCGGCGCGCTCTCCCTTGCTGTTCTCGAGGTAAAGCAGGAAGGTGCGGGAAATGGCAGCATCGAGAAGGCGGAAGCGATACTTGCGAGGCTCAACCTTCAGGTAGGGCCAAGGCTGTCCGTTGACGTGGATGACATCACCGTAAAGACTGGTGGTCTCGCTAGCGGGAGAGAACAGGGAGCCGTCAGGGTTGTATTGCTTGGCAGACAGGATCAAAGGGATATCGTAGATGCCGTAACCGCTGGGAAGAGCAAGACCATCCTCAGCAGGATCGTGCAGAATGTAAGCGCCGGCTTGACCATAGTAGGCATTCTCTGCAGTGTGGTCGATGGCATGGTCGTGGTACCAGAGGGTTCGTGCAGCCTGGTTGTTGGGGTAGTAGTAATCCTTGTACTCCCCAGGCTTGGTGACATCCTCAGCCCATCCATCCCAAGGGGTGCGCGAGTATGAACCGTGAAGATGGACAGAGTTAGCCATGCTCGGGTGATGATTGGTGAAGCGGACCACTGCCTCCTCGCCACGTTCCATCATGAAGGTTGGACCGGGAGAGACACCATCGTATCCAAAGAGAGTGGCATTGCCCAAGTTGGGGTACACCTTCTGGCTAAGCTGCTTGATCTCGATCTCGTAGTATCTCATCTTCTTGCCCGTAACGGGGTTGATGACCGGCTTGTCGGAGCTGCTTGGTGTTAGAAACGATCCTGAAGATCAAATTGAGATATTGGTAGACTTACAACTTCTCCTGCTTTTGGGGAGGGATAGGAAGAGGGAACTCATAGAGCCAGGTGTACTCAGGGCTGAGCCAGTCCTTGGCAAGAGTGTCGGAGGCAAGGGTGAGAAGGATTGCCAGAGACTGGCGAACCGAAAGGGAAACCATGATGAATAGAATATGAAAGGGCAAAAGCCAAGAGCTGCTATGTTAGTGACAAGTGCTGGCCAAGACGGGTGGCGACGCCTTGAATGTGTCAAGAGAGGAGTGGATGATTGTCGATGAGAGTGATGAGGAAAGTGTCCGGATGAGGCGGGAAATGACCAGGGTATTTAATTGCTTTCTCGATTAGTATCGACGCTCGAGAAGAATCATACCCGGCCCGCTCGTGCTTGGCAACGGGATGTTTCGATCGAGTCGTCGTCGACAAGGGCACGCCGCGCGGCGGAAGGAAAGCCATCATGGCGGCCATTCGTGATAGAGAAGCATCGACCCATCTCGAGCAATCGATATTCGCACGGAAGTCCCGGGCTAGCCCCTTGGAGGAAGACGGGTGTTAGTCTGGGCCGCCCTCGCCAGCTCCAGCAGCGTATGGCGGGATGAGGAGGCTTGCGGCGCGCCGGGCTGGCGCCTAGTCCTCCAACCTGAAATGCGACGCTGAATGGCGGTGGAGTCGACGTTGGATCGTTGTGAAAGAACAAGAGTCCAACGGTCATCGTTGAAACAATCAAAGACAACCTGGAAAACGCGACGGTTGCAAGTCCTCAGCTGGAGGCGCGATTGTGGGGCATGGGCTTCGACCACCCGGGACTCTGGTTCAGTAGCCTCATGCCGACCCAACGGGATGGATGGTCGGGTAACTCGCCTCCACTTGCAGGCGAGCAGCTGTTGGAAGAGGTCCAGCCACTTCTCATGGACGAGTCTCTTGCGAATAGAGGCCCAGCCCACGGTTGCACATGCCCATTGAAGGCAAGGCACCTGCTGTACGTTAATGCAAGTTCGGTTGTAGAAGCAATGGGAGCGCGGTACGGAAGCGCACTACTGGCAGATAGTGCAGAATCCAGAGTATCAACCTGACAGACGAGGTTTGCCTGCCGAGCAAGTGGTCCTTCGCCGATGTTGGAGTTAACATACGAGCCGACCGAGACTCGGGCGCTAAGCAACAACGGGTATAAGACCGACGTAGCGTGGCATTTCTTTGAGGATGCTGATTATCCTTGTTGTCCAGGCCGTTGTGGCGATCTCGGCCTCCAACTCTGGACAATGCCAGTCCCCAATAGCGCGAGCCTAAATTGTTGAAACAGGCCGCTAAGAAAAGCGCAAGTGAAGACCTCCATAAGGTTATTCTGGGATATCACAGGGTAGGTCGGTAGGCTTGAGCGTCAACACCGGTAGCCGCAGATTGCATGGGTGTCGGTGCACATGGAATAATCAATAGAAGGCAGAGCTGATCTGCAAGAGCTCCATGGTACTGGAACGGCAGATGCGAGGAGCGTTGCCTCGGTGAGCGGGGGCGAATGACAGGCTCCGATTCAACAGTCGCACAACCAGGGGTCCTGAGCCCCGAACCAATGGTCTCGATCTCGACAAGAGCTGCATCGTATCTTCTGCATAAGGCCTCGACAAGGCGGGGTTAGCATCGCACAGCGGACATCCCGGTCGATCTGGTGCCTGGTCCAGGTGACTTGGGAAGTGATGCCCAAGATTAGGTCTTGACGAGACTCGGCCGGTTTCCAACGAACCCGAGTGGTGGTCCTCCGCGTCGGCTGGTGCAGCCACAACGCAGTTCGGGCCATCCTCATGTCAATGATGACAGGCTGACTCTGGCCTGGACGTCTCCCACGCTGACAATCCTGGCAGCTGGGCGCGAAGGTTCGGTGAGAGCTGGACGACAGGCCAGCACGACGCGGGTGGCAGTCAGCTAGCTTGTCCCCTCGAGTCGGATGCCAAGCTGACGAGACTATCGTGCGCCTCTTCGATGTAGCTGCATCTTGCTGCATATCGTGTTCCCGTCCATGATGCGGTGATTCGACGATATCTCGTACTAGAGGAGGCTCTGCGGGCTGCAGCAGAACGATGGGTTTCGGATGAAAAAGGACAATGGAAGTTCGGACAATGCATCTCGTCTGAAATTTCCAGTCGAGCAGTCTGATCTCAGGGGTAAAATCGAAGCCGTGGAGGCAGTGTTGAAGAAGTCGCCGGAATTGGAAAAGGGAGATGAAGAGAGGACCATGCGATGACGCCGGAATTGGAATGGGAGGAAGAGAGGAATGCGTGAGGTGGAGGGGGAAGGACGGGACGAGGAAGGAGGGGGGGCAAGTCGTGACGAGCTGCCTGCCTAGGGGCTGCCTGAGGTGCGAGGTGCCTGGCTCTAGGGACTGGAAGGTGCCTGGGCTGGCTGGCTCCTTCCCCAAGTTTGTTCGTCCCTGCCGCGCCCCGGGATGCTGACGCCAAGCCGCTAGTTCCCGCTAACGCCTCAGCTCAGACAGCGGGCCTCGCTTATGAAGCTTAAAATGTAGTTCGGATGATTGGCTCTTTTCCCCTCTTAGCTAAGCCCCCAGGTTCAGGGTCCACCACACCCTCCCTTTTTGGTCTGGGAGAGGGCCGCTAACCACCACAATCCTCCGACGACTTCAACCAACTTCGACCGCGCCAGACCGTGTCCCTCGGCGCTTTGTGTCTGCAAACCCCAGTCCAGAGCCTGGCTTATCAACCTTGGACTGTTTAACCTTGAATCCTCGTCAACTCATCCCGGCCTTTGTCGTGCCCACTTCTCCGCGTCCCGGCCTGTCGGATCTGAACAATGCGGCCACGCGATCTCTTCCTTGGCCTGAGTGGCCGTCCCACAAACCGATGTGTCTCTAAGCCCCCAACGCTCCTCGTTTCACCCCAAACGTTATGGATACGGGAACCGTTCATTTGGATTGTCTTCAAGAGAGATTGAAGCGTTGACACTCTTTGTCTCGCCTGCCACGAGGTGTCTCGCTCTCCAACGGTACGCAGCAGACGTTCCGCCAAAACACGAGGATATTCAGGGGTATCTTTGACAGAGAAAGAGCCTCTGTTTGCCACAAACAAATGCGATCTTCATGTGGCGATGATCAGTTTACTCGAGGCGCAACGCTTTCGACGAGATGGGTCAGCTCTAGCGAACCCTCATCTCCCCAGCCCGTGATCGATACCTTACCAGCTCTTCAGCTGTCCAGCCCTCCTTCTATGCGAGGCAAGTGGTCCAGATCCTTCATCTCCGCACATGATGGTGTGGCTATTGTGGAGATCTGCATAGGACTACTAACCTGAACTTGTGTTTCTAGTGGTTCGCGCATTGAATGTGAATAGTCTGGCCGTCGTCAGTCCCGCGCGCGGCATCACCGCCTGCTGAGAATCCCGGGCTGCAGTGCAGACTGCATATCAGCTCATGCAAACACACAAACACGCCCGTATGCAAATGTGCATAAGCACAGTCACTAGACTCGGCATCCGATATCGTGGTCCTCTTCTCGGTTCTGGACCAACCAGCAGAAGCTTAGTGGCCGATGATCCCCACTTGCCGCCTTCTGGGGTATGAAGGTTCTCGTCAAAGGAGTCATGACTTGGGCCCAATTCTTTCTTCATGGCAGCCACATTCTTGACCCTTTGTGCGTTTAGGTTCGCCCAGCGGCAGGGTCTAGACTGTTGGGCTCTCGAGCATTGTGCCATTGTGCGAACGAGAGCCACGCGTGGCAATCACACGCTCTGGCAGTCATCTCGAGGCAATTCATAAGACTCGAGTTTGATCGCGAAATTAAACACGAAATTTCTTATCCACCCAACTCATCCACTACACCATCTTCTCTACACAACCACTTGACTTCACTCTTGGATCTTCGGCTTCATCATGTTTTCAAAGTCTCTATTCTACACTGCGCTTGGCGCGACCTTGTCCTTCACAGGGGCTCAGGCACAGCTAGGCACTACGGCAGATGTCCCCCTTGACATCGACGGAGCCTTCGAGGGGTGAGTGCATCCCCAACTGCCTGAAATATCGACAGGATTTCCAATGCTAACCAACATCATTCAGCGCATCTGTCACTGGCACATCTTTCAACTCTGGTGGCTCCATCACATGCAATGGCCAAACAGTGACCGTCCCCAAGAACCTTCAGGTCACATTCCCAGCTGCATTCATCCCTTTCTCCAAGTTTGTGGCAAATGCAGGCAGCTATAAGGGATACGAGTGCTCCATCGTCGGCAACATCGTCGGTGGCAAGAACGCAGTAGCTGCACAAGTAGAAATTTCCCCCTTTGCCACGACCACATCCAGTGGCTACATCACTGAGACGAAGTTCAACGGCGACGTCACCGTGAATGTCGGAGGCACTTCAGTCACCATCCGCATCAATGACCCCAATGCCGTCTACTCGGCCGGAAACGCCGGCCTGGGCATCGATCCCTTCTTCACCGCGGATGACGTGAACCCCAGCGTCAGCTCCTTCTCTGGCTTCCCCATGTGCGTTCCGCGCAGCGCAAGCGACCCCCTGTGTCCCATGAGCAACCGTCCCGGGCTCAAGCAAGGATCCATGTGAGCTTTGTCATCCTCTCTTCGCCCTGTTGTCGCTTGCTAACGCCATCAATAGCCCAGCAGCGGACGCCAACGTCATGGCTCCCCTGATTGCCGGCGACTTCATCACCTTCTCTGGCTACCAGACTGGTGGCAAGATTGTGGTGTTCGAGTTGGTAGCCTTCAACATCCAAATCACCACGACTGGCATCCCAACATATGTTCGCATGGAAGATGCAAACATTGGCGTCTGGACTGCTGATACTGTCAACCAAGAGATCGCCCAGACAAAGGTCAGCAACTTCAATGCCCCTCTTAATCAAAGGCTTAACTAACCCATCTCCCAGTTCGTTGGATACACCTCTGACTCTGCAACAACCGTCAACCCCATCAAGATCCAAGCCATCGACTACGATCGCTGCACCGGCCAGCCAGTCTACCGCGACATCGCCACCGTCAATGTGCCCAACACCGAGCCCCGCAACAAGTTCGAGTACCGTACCACAGCTGGCCAGAAGGTCCTCTACGCCCGCGAGTACTACATCACCGCCAACAACTTCAACAACCAACCCACCGCAAACGGCATTCCTGCGGGCTCCTACGTCACTCCCGTCACTGAGTGGATCCAGCCCGAGGACTCTACCCCCGGCAGGACCCCGACCGGCCACGACTTCAGCAGCTACGGCTGGATGATCAACGGCCTCGGCCGCGACGCCGACGGAAACCTCTGGGGTCCCCTCGACCCCTTTCCTCAGTCTGGCGTCACCGTCTTCGACAACTCCCAGTGTCCTCCTGCCCCTGCTGCTCCCGCCACCCCTGCCACAACTCCTGCTGCCACACCCAGCTCCACGAGCTCTGCCGCAGCCGCTGCGACCAGCAAGCCCCCCGTCGACACTGTCACCATCGCGACCTCTTCCAACTGGGCCTCCTCCGGAGGTGGCACCCTCACTGTCCAGTGCATCTCCAGCAACACCAACGACAGTCTCGTCAATATGAAGATGTCCTACGTCAACAAGGACGGCACTACCATCCTGTCCATGACCGCCGCCAACACCGGCAAGGGTGTCTGGAACTTCAGCGGCAACAAGATCAAGCAGCCGACTAGAGTTACCTGCACCAGCAGCTTGGGCGGATCTGCCTCGAGGACGAACTGGTAAAGCTGTTTGCTTGGGTTTGGAAGTTAGAGCTGGTTTTCCTTTCTTTTGCATTTCTTTTCTTCTTTCCTTATGTTTCAACTATTGTATACCTATAGACCATAGAACCTTGATGAATGATGACTACTATGACATACTTTCTCTGCCCAGACCCATTGAACAGACTAATGTGTTGAAAGGAAACCTGCATCCACCTTAATCTTCAGGTATTCATTCAGGTTGAGAAAATCATCACTTGGGACTGCCAGCAGGCTTTGTTCCGCCATCTATTCACCATACTTTCTTAGCTCCCGACATATCATTTCCCCCTCGCCGCACCCAGAGTTGAGCTGAAGATTGATGCCACACTTGCTCAAGGTCAGTCATGACATCGGCTTTGTCAGTCATATGTCATGCCCATCCTTGAAATGACTCTCATCGTGCTAAGAAACGCCACCACCAACACCACACTAGCAACTACTAAAGCGGCCTCAAAGCCCGAGCCACACTCTCCGTCGCGTCAAAACTTCACATTTCCATTTTGACGCGACAACGTGGCTGACCATAGCGTCGGAGCGCGCCGAAATTGCGCGGAGTTAACATGCAGAACCGAACTCGTCAGGCCGCCGTCGCCGCACCCCAGGGGCAGTGTTCTCTCATGGATGTCTTTCCAGAAAGGGGTACCACCATTAGTCTATGGAGTGGTATATGAATAGACTCCTGACTCGGAAGGAACTAAGTCATTCGGAGAAAAGGGCATGCGAAGAAACAATGTTTTAAGCATACTTGGCGCACGTGTGATCTGTCAGCATGGCGTTGATGTGGAGATGAGAGATGGAATGTGTCACCGATTAAGCATAACAAGAATAGAGTGATTTAGTCACGGTTATGGCTATCTCTCATGAGATTAGAAGCGGAGTTGGCTTCAAATAATGTGAATTCGATTCGCTTTCCAAACACAAGACCCAAAGACATGAAATGACGCGTAACCTTCTTCCCTTCTAAGAGTGACAAAATCGCAAGTAAACAAGTAAACCCCCTCTCTACCATCTCTCGCCTCTAGCTGCGGGTATCATCCAACCCATGAACCAGAAAGTCTCAACATTGTAGTCACACTAACCCATCCTCCCCCCTATTCAAGGACCACCAGCACGACCGTTGAAGTCCCAGTAAGCAGAGCCCAAGCTGCGGCAGAACTGGGCCCCGACAACGCAGTAGTAGCCCCCGCCGGCGTTGTTCGTGTTGGGCGAGCGGAGGACCATGGGGTCGCTCAGCGACCGGATGAAGCTGCACGTGTTGGTCGTGCCGGCGCGGACGGTGTAGGCGGTGTGCGCGGTCCGGTACCACTGGCAGACGGTGTTGCCGGGCTCGGTCTCGCAGCCCTGGGACACCGCGGCGGACCACGAGACGGACACGGAGAAGCCGCCGGTGATCCACTCGCTGATGCTGCCGCCCGTCTCGACGCTCCAGCCGACGGAGACGGACTTGGAGGTCTCGGTGCCGGTGGAGCAGGTTGCTAGGCCGCACTCGTTGTTTTCCTGTGTCTTGTTAGTATGTGCTCCTGAGTTTGAGATAGTGCGGAGGGAGCATACGGTGATTTGGGAGTGGTAGTAGTTCTGGTGCGGGTTGCCGTCCCCAACCAGCTCAGTCCACTTCTGAGGGTAGCACCCCTGCCTCTTTCCGATCTCACGCTTCTCGGAGTTGGTGTCGGTCTCACTCGAGGTGAGGAACGGAATCGGCGCAAGATACCGCGCCTGCAACTCCTGCTCCGGGTTCCGAATACGCAACGCCCTCGCCATCGTAGTCTCACCATCGGGGATACACTCATGCCGCCTGCTCAAGCTCTGGAACCCCATGCCAGCCTGCACCTCAATATCGCACGAGACCACGGACTCGCCACCATCGAACAGCCGCCCGCACACGATACCCCCCGAAACCTCCTTCTTCTCGTGGATCTTGTACGTCGTGGATCCCACCGTGACGGTGCCGGCGCCGGTGCGGTCGACGGCGAACGTGATCGGGAGCGCGGCGAAGGAGCCCGTGTCGAGGGTGTTGGAGCACGCCTCCGCGACGACGGTGCCGCTGGAGAAGACCTCGACGGAGGTTGCTGTGTCGCATTCTTGGTAGACGACTTGTACTTGCTGTAGCTGCGGTTCGTCGCGGCGGCTGAGGGCGGGGGCGGCGAGGGCGGAGGAGAGGAGGGACGCGGTGGTCATGATTGCGGAGAGGTACTTCATCTTGATGATCTTGATGGAGTGATTGCTTGTGAGATCAGAAGTGAGGGTAAGATCGAGCAGTTGGTGTGAAGACAGTTGTGTGTGATCGAGTTTGAATAGAAGTGATGATGCTTGTTGTGATGAGTAGAGGTGGTGACGTTTGATGTGATGAGTTTGTGAGTGATGATGAGGTTGATGTAATGGCAGATAATGTGTATTTATGTCTTTTAGTCTCGAGATGTCTGAACCGAGATCAGAAGCATCAATGCAGTTATTCGCAAGAATTCTGGGCAACTCGCCCAGCTACTGAGGCCGTGTAACTACGCCTCCTTCCACCCCGAACATTTCGGGCACAGTTTCGACGAGAAGCCCACAAGACGAAACATCTCACGATGCATGGTTTGATCAAGATTGAGTCTAATTCTAGGTGTATCTCATCCGACATGTCCACCTGATTGAGGCTAAAGCTGAGTTCGTTCTTGTTGGATCCCCTAAGCTTGTGGACAATGACGCGAGGTGCCGCATGAGCCCCGGCACGCAGGATCAAATTCTGGAGTCAGCATTTAGGAGCTACGGCTTGGCAGTTCGTGATGTTCCAGGGTTTGATCAATAATTCTTCAAGTTCTGATGCTCCGATACTGCTTGTTAGCAGTTGGTGCCGCGATGAGAAGCCTCAACTCTGCCTTCCCACGATAGCCGAGGCCGATTCCGCCCTCCATTAGCCCCCAAGCTGCTAGAATGCGGCGGGAGCTACTATTTTCAGGTCTTCTTCAATGGGACCTGGTGGAACCATGTCTTTTGCATTTGAGGCTTAGATATGGCTCTGGTAGCCCCAGATTTCTGCAGCAGTGGCGCCAGCTGCTGGCTTCAGTCTTCCCCAGACAAGCTCTAACCCCTGTCTCCAACTTCCAACAATCAACGCGTTGGTTTGCAAAACCCCTGTCTTTACGCCTGGGGTCAAGTCTTGGCTCTTGTTGGAACTCGAATTTTACAGCTGAAGCGTTGGTTCACAACTTCCAACAACACCTATGTGGCTGGGCATAACCCCTGTATCTCGTTGGCCCCCAGGTCTTTTGCAGGCGCAGTCACCAATAGATTTCGGAAAAGACTACACCGAAGACAATTCCAACGCGAATTTCAGCCAATGAGACGATGCCAAGGCTTTGGAAATTTTACCGTGCCAATCAATTAGCTTAGTACGCGCCTTTCACGATGCAAATTAATGGGGTCAGGATGTTGTTGTTCTGGGGGTCTGGGGGCGGTGACAAACAACAGCTCACATTGCCAGATTAAGAGAGCTGTGAAATAACCATTGTCCATGGGTGCACATATAAAAGAAATTCGATTGCCTTCCCAAACTGCGGAAGATTCGCACCCTTTTCTCAAGCTCAATTTAATTCTCAAATTCATTTCTCTTCCCGCCCCCGCGTCGTCGACTGTTCAACTCCGCTCTACCTTCACCGCCTGCGAATACGCCCACCATGTACGTGACTGCAGTTCCCGAAACCTGCCCCACGAACGAAATACCCGATGCCTTGCCAATTCCGAAAGATATGACATATGTAGTCATTCCTGGACAGAATGTCTCGGACCCGTGGATGGTCAACTGCTGCCATCCCAATCCGGTGAACCTCGTGAACAAGTGCTGGGAGTGGTGCCAGGTTCCCGACGCTATCAAACAGGACAGGTCCGAGTCGGAAATTTTGTCGGTCTTCAGCAGTTGTCTGCGCGCCGAGGGAAAGAACGCGAGCCTGTCCAACGGAGTCCAAGTCCGCTCTGCATCCTCGCCGCCGAACCGTCCCATCCCCTTTGCAGGACTGTTTTTGGCGACACTCGCGGCATGCACATTGGGCTTGGTGGTTTGAGCTCTGCTCATGTGAGTGTTCACCGTCAGAGGAAGGGATTGGGCGCGGCGTCCCCAGGGGAGGGGGGGAAAGGGTCGCTCGACGGAGATGGGGTTACGACAAGCGAGGGCTCTCTTTACATCCATTCAACACGATTCTCCAGGGACCACAAACGTTAGTTACTCAGTGGGAAAGGCGCACCGTTGATTTCCGATGCACTAACACTCAATGCGTCTACAGCCGTAATCAAGGTACCGTCACGCCAGTCTTGGAACATGCAATGCAGACGTACATCAGGTGCCGACAACCTGTCACCTGTGGCAGTTCATACTAAGGACATTGGTGCAAATTTACTATGCATTTGTTTCCCGAAGACGTCACCAGTCTCGTCATGACCCATTATGAGAACTTTCCAGACAATACCCGACGGACGGATGAAAAGCTTTATTTCGGTTGTTTCATACTTTTGTTATCAGCAAGTTTACTCCTTGTGCGCTCAAGGCACATAATCACGTTTAAATATTTATGAACATGCTGCCAAAGATGCCCGCGCTTCGGTTGACTACGTTGCATTAACAGTAATGAGACATGGGTTTGACCGTAGGCTGATGGTGTCACTACTCCTGGAGACAACATGCTCGCGCCATCTCTTGTCATTAGAGTCGGGTTCAAAGGTATTGATTTCGGGTGATTGGCTGCCTGCTTTCAATATTAACCCTTCACTGGGCCAAAAAACAAATTGTGATACCCCCGATTTTGCTCAATCTAACTCTGCTCAATCTCCCTCACTCTGAGATCCTTTATTTTGGCCTCCTCAATGATTTTATCTAGGCGTTTCATCACTTTTTGTGATCTATGCGAGGTTTGCATTCGAACGTACTGCCTAGCAGGATGACGATTCGTCCAATACCTCAAATATCAGCCCGCATTCTCGCTAATTCAATCAAAACTGAGAGCATATCGGTGAGAGCGACTGCATGTGGGTGTAGGAACTTGGAAGATGAATGCAGGAGTTTTATTTGGTGGTCTTTTAGTTCACCATAGGTTACTTGAACACTCGGCAACCTTTGGTGATTCTCGTGTCTGTTAGTTAACTCACTGCACTAGGTTCAACTAACAACTCACGTATTCGAGGCTATGAAAATTGGAATGTCAGCTGTCGGATTATGGTTGGTCGAATGAAGACTATGTCCAAGATGTATCTCTAGCCCGCACTATGGCATCGTAGGATTTATGAGACCTATCCATTGACCCAGCGTGGACGAAGCCAAACTGAGGCGGCATTCTATTTCATCATGGCAGGCCAAACCAGACATTCTTGAGACAGAATTTCATTCTAATTAACATCTATGCACCATAAAACGCTTTTGATATAGTCACAGGTTCGTTTCTGGTTTGGCAGTTTAACGCTCGATATTAGTCAAACAGGGACAGAAAGTTTCTGGAAGTCAATATCGAAGCACTGAATTTATCACTTCAAGTCAACCGTCATGTGCCATTTATCTTGGGGTATCTTGTAATCACCAATCGATACACCACATGTCTGGGGTCTGCAGAGATAAATCAATGATCTCGTAGCTCCAGTCGGGCACCCCGAAATTCTGTTTGGATAACAGCCACAGCAAATGCGACATTAGTGTTTTGGCAAGCGCCCGCTGGAACCCATTCAGGTTTGCTACAAGCAAGACGTACGATTCAACGGATCAGCAAAGGATCTCTTCCCTACGCGGATGCTTTTCGTATCCTCCATTAAAGGATCAAGATGCCTGCCGGTCATAGACTCGGAGCTGAGCTGGTACTATTGAGCCGACAAGGATCCAGCATGTTGTAGTTTTCACATGAACCACAAAAAAAAACGTCTCCAACGCTCCCCTGACAAGAGGACATTTGTGGGGTCTGGAACCGCTCGATGCGGTTATACCGATCCGAAACAGTTCATCGTGCCATGACAGAAATTCTGCCAACGAAGATCGAGGAACGCCTCTTGAAGCAGGCACCCCCCAGCTCACCGGCCTCCCGCGCTTCACACGATTCAAGAACCGTTCATTGAGCAGGAAATGTACATCGTGCCTGCCGACAAAAATCACGTCGCAAGTAGAAGCTGCCGGCAAGGTTGCATTGCTCATATGAATTATATTATTGTCGTTATCTAGATCCTCGAGGCGCCCGTCGCTATCATAACGCTAACATTCTCTCTCAACATCCCGCTTTCTCACAACATCGCCTGCACTTTAGTTGCCGGGGTACCACCTGCTGAGGATGGAGGTCACGTTTGAAGGGCGAGAGAGGTGAGCGCAGTGGCCGCTGGGCTCAGACTCGGTCTTGGAGCCGGCAGGGAGGACGGCAGACATGCCCTGCTGGTAGCTGAGGGGCAGGGCGTTGTCGAGGGTGGCGTACAGGTACGCGCAGTCGATGCCGTTACTCCAGGGCTCGTAGGAGGAGGCGTTAGTGAAGGCTCCCAGGGCAGTCCAGGTCATCTGGGAAGCCCACTTCTCCTGCTCAGAGGCGGGGAGATCGTTGAAGCCAACCTCGGGCAGCATGGTGGCGTTGCCAACGACGCGGTCACCCTGTTTTGCAGTTAGTTTCATGGTCACTTTTCGGCCCAAGGTTCTGGAGATACATACCTCAACAACCATCCAAGGAAGGGGGGTGCCGCCGAGGAGGTCGAGCAAGCTGGAGCCCTTGGGAAGCATGAAGGCGCTGGCGTAAACGATGCTCACGACACCGCCAGTGCTGCCTGCGGCAGTGCGGGTGGCGACGTCGTAGCCCTCGACGGCGTTGCTGGCAACAACACCGCCGTAGGAGTGGGAGTAGATGACAACCTCCTTGCCATCGCTAACAAGCTTATCGAGCTCAGTGCGCACGGCCGCAACATCGTCGGAGAGAGAGGCGAGCGGGGTGGTGGAGCCGCCGACGGTGGGGAGGGCAACGATGGAGGTGTTGAAGTCGGCGCTGGCCAGCTCCGTGGCGAAGGGCTGGAAGGCAGAGGGGAGCTGCCAAGCACCAGGGACGATGAGAACTGAGGGCTTCATTTTTTCAGATGAAACTGGGGATAAGGGCCACGGAGGGGTTGGATCTTGTTTCTGCTGCAGGTAGATTGACCAAGAGGAGCGTGCAGAGTGGGAGCAAGGAAGCGACTGAGACTTGAGAATGAGCGGACGGCCTGCCTGAGAAAAAGAAACAAGCAGATGATCAACGCGGCAGAGGCTTTCTAAAATACAAAGTTGTAAAGCTACGATGCATGAATGTCGGTCCTCAGCAAGCAATATCCCCGAAATGACAGCGGCGATGAACGACGCTTGACAGCGGGATCGTCTCCAGTCCAACGGCCGGACATTGCGCAGTGTCCATGTCCCTTGTGGTTTTTGACGTCTCCGCAATGTTAGCGATGTTGGTGCGCAGCAGCTGCAGCACACGAGTGTACGCGGTCTTTCGATATATCCACAAACGGGCCAACGTTGGCGGTGGGTTTATTGCTCCATTTGTGTATGAAAAAGGGGCCACATCGAAACGGCGCAGGTACCCGAATCGGACACACCTGATTGGCGGATCCCAAGTCCGTGGGGGCTGTCAAGAAGACTGACAGTTTATGCAGGTTTGTGGCGTATGCAACGCAACCCTCCAACTCATAACTCAAGCCTTCTCGCTAAGTAGCTTCGAAGAATTCCCCGAAGAGTCTCTTGCATCTCTGCAACCTCGGCAGTCAGAAAGGAATTGTTCGACCATTTCTTCTTTATGTGATCAAAAATCCTTCCGAGGAGAACGAGGTCTTCGTATGTTTATCCCCCGGGAATATGACGATAATGACGCACAGTCAGAAATCTGAGATCCACCACCAACGCGCCGCAGCACATCGCAGGGTTGATGACTCGGACATGGACCCCAGCCGCGATTTCAAAGACCACCGGCTTCTCTTCCGGCAACTCGCGGGCAACGCAGAGGCCAATTGCCGCTGATGATCTGTCGACATCGGTGGCCCCATTCGTTCCATCAATGGGATGGCAGGCGGGGCTCTTGGGTTCCTTTAGCGGCGGGTCTTGATGGGGCCTCTAGACTAACGCTTTGCTCCGGTTACCCAGATCCAACGGCCTTCCCCTAGACGAAACGAGCCTCAAGGAGAGCCGTGCGCCGGGACGTTCGATCCATTTCGAGAGTCAATCAGATGGTGTTGACGGAGAAGACGGCTCTTTCAGTGCTGCCGACCTCCTGTGGATATATCGCGGGAGAAGCTAAGTCTAATATCTCTTCTTACGACATTCCCCTTGGCGAAGAATCCACAACAGTGGTGAACCCTTGTGGATGCCGTTCCTCAAAACTGATCAAATGTGACAAAGCAGGCAACTGTTCGGGGTTTGACCGGGACTCTTGCCCCCTTTTCCGTTTCCTGTTCCAGTGCAACGGTCCACATGTTCCTTTCTTTTTATCCCACCAGCCGAGGTCGTATCTGGATGGAGTTGATGGGGTGTCACTTGCAGTTGTCAAACATGACAGGCCGAAAGAGAAAAGATTGACAGTTTAGGAATGCTACCATGGTTCGGTCGAGAAACAGGTCGTCGGCGGAACCGCGGCATCCACCAGCACGTGTTTTGCAGTGTCTTGGTGCTGAAGCGAGACCATGAGTGAGATAGACGTAGGGCACAGGAAAGGAATTCCCCCCAAGACTTGTCGTGGAAAGGTTTGTTAAAATGATTCTCCATCCCCACGTGGTTCGTATCATAGAGGGCCCCCCGTGAACCGTCTGCTCGGTGATGAACCCCTCTCTTTCGACGAACTGACAGTCCCGGAGAACATCATTGTTCGAACGAGAGCCTGTGTGGCCACCAAGCCACCAGCAGCCACAGCCAAGCATGGCGGCCTTCTACCCGTACAATGACACCAGTCTCGACCAAGGCGAGAGGGACTACCTGAAGAAGCTGGCCGACTTCGCCGAGGATCAGAACCTGGACGACGACTTGAGAGGATATGTTCGGGGCATCACGGTCGCCTTTACGGCATTCGCCGCCTTCATCGTGGGCTTGAGGTTCCTGGCGCGTCACCTTCAGGCCGCGAGATATCTGATCGACGATTACTTGATGCTGTTCGCTTTGGTCTTGCTGATTGGGAATATGGCCATGAACCTGCTTCGTAAGTCGGAGATTCGCAACCTAAATATCAATGACAGATTACTAACACAAAGGCTGCTGCAGTTGTTGATCGTGGAATCGGATTGCATTCCGGCCGGCTTACATTACAGGAGATTCAGTTTCTCGATCGCGTACGTACTCCCAAACCCCACGAAACCGAGCGCGGGACTGACTTGGTGCTCAGACAATGATCGGCGCTGAGATCCTGTACGTCAACGGCGTCAACATGTACAAGATTGCTCTTCTGTTCTTGTACCTGCGCATCTTCCCCATGCCCGAGGTCCGCAAAGGCGCATGGATATGTGGCAGCTTGACCTCCCTTTGGACCTTTGCCTGCGTTATCGCGGCATCGATCCAATGCCTTCCTCTGAACACGCTGTGGGAACCTTGGAAGCCGGGAACGTGTATCAACCTGTTCCTGACGCAGTTGTGCATCGCCGTCCCGAGTATTATCGTCGACATTGCGATTCTTTACCTGCCAATTCCTCACGTCCTCAAGCTGCAGATGAACCGGGCTCAGCGCATTCTGGTGTTGTTCACCTTCCTCCTGGGTAGCTACGTTGTTTTCACTAGCATCTACCGGTTCCGAATCTTCTTGTTGTACACCAAGGATGATGTGCCATGTAAGTATTCTCGTCCATGTAATCTGGCGTCGACATACTAATATTACGAAGATTCTCTTGCTCAGGGTCTGGCATGGAACATCATCGAGATCAGCAGTGGCATTGTTTCGGCCTGCTTGCCAACTTTGGTAAGTCATCGAAAGAGGTACTATCAAGACCGTACTAACAACGTCTCAGGGTCCAATTATCCGGGTACTATGGAAGGGTCTTCTCGAATCTGCTCATCGCAGCGGCCTTGACAAGTACGGTCGATCATCAGCAGCCAAAAAGTCAACAGGAAGGTCAGCGGGCATGACCATTGGTGGCGGACGATCTGGAACGGCCTCACACGCCAGGGCTGCGTCTAAGGACTGGTCAAAGATGCACGAATCGCAAGGAGACAAGCCCGGTCTAAGAGAGGAAGCCAAGTACGGCATCGGTCTCAAGACCATGGGCGGCGACGATGCCAGCAGCTCACATAGCTCACGCGGGTCAAACGAGATTGAACTCATGCCTCAGAGTACTGTCAGCGTTACAGTGAAGAGCCCGGGAAGGTCAACGTTCCCTCAGAACGAACAGCCGCTCACGGCAAGAGAGCATTATCACGGAACAAAGCTGTCAAAGCGCAAGGAGGCGGGCTATCCTCATCACGACAACCGAATCTGGCAACATCGTGAAGTCGAGGTTACGACGGAGCCTGTTGAGCCGGAGTCGGTGTTGTCTGAGTCCAACAGGAAGAGCTTCCGGAAGTCGACCGGATTATGAGATGGGACACCCTCTTCAGCTGGTTGAGGACCCAATGAAATACCCTTTGTACAACTTTGTAATAGTAGTCATCAGTAATTACGCACAATTATTCAGATATTTGAAGCTTCAAAGCTGCCGAAGATGACTCTCAGCCATAGTGAAAGCGACGCAGCTGATTCTGCTGGTGATGATTGGGTAAGGTAGGCAGAGTCGGTCCCCTCGGCCCCCGCCCTTTGGAGGACCGTTCCCATCAGTCGGGATCCTGAGGTGGCCCGCGAAACTGGATTGATATGATCCCTGCTGCCATTCCCGCCCCTCCAGCACCGAACGATTGCGGCCGCCCCTTACCCACGTGCCCAAGACCGGCCCATGCAGGGGAAATCTTTTGACGAGAACAGAGCAAGGGCTGCCCGGCCAGGACTTCCCCAGTCAGTTCTGTCTGGGAATTTTCACTGTGTTTGTCAGACATTTCACAGCAAACCCATGATTCCTTGGCATGTGACCCAGCGTTACAATTGCAACCTCTGCGATCGATCCTTCACGGCTGGAACCAATGTCGATCACCAACAGGCGTTTCTGCGGAAATTGAAATGGGACTCGCAGATAACTGCAACTGTTTTGAGACTTATAACAAGGTATCTGCCGCTATGGGAGCTTCATACGCAACGGGCGCTGTACAGATCCTCGACTGTCCCTGACTCGCATTTCTCGTGTGTACTCATCTCGATGACTACTGCGTCTCCTCCCGTGCATCTAAGTTGGCATTTCGCACAGATGCCGTTGGGCGAATCGACAGGCTCAGTACAGTTGCAGTCCGTGCAGCAGCAGACGAACCTGTGAGCCAAAGATGTTTCGCCGTGAATGAGGGTCATTGTGTGTAATCCTACGCTGTGTTGGTTGCGGTGCGGAATGAAGTCGTTGTGATAAAATTTCTTCTTAATTAAGCTTCATTTTGCCTGACTGAGAATCGACCTTGGCTGAATTTATACCATGGTAGTTGATGGCAGTCGTCAGCGAATCACGCTACAACGTTGTTGTAGTGAATTACAGCACGAAGCTATTCACAGTTTAAGCCAATGGATATTGACGTGACTCAGGCTACTCGTCAACGAATCAGATTGAACTCAACACGGTCTATTTTTCGTACTGATGCGCTGTTTACACACATGCACCCCTGCATTGCAGAGCCTTACCGGCTGGCCTCCGCTTGCCCAGACTCTTCTCTTGCCTTCTTCAAATTCTCATAGTTAGGAAGGTGCAGGACGGCATAGATGTATGGGAAGGTAATCAGAATTAACAAAACCCAGATCGCATGTCCCCACAGCCACTGAGTGCGTGCGCCCAGTGCGTACAAACTAGCAAAAAGAGCCGGAGAGAAGGCGCGGATGATGCTGAGCCCGGTCAATGACAGAGCGTTGAGGGTTCCCAGAACCTGAGGGCTGGGAGAAACATCGTTCAAGGCCAGCTGGACGCCGGTGAAACTCATAGCAACTCCACTACCGATGGCCAGAAGTATCGGGGCAAAGACCCAAAACAAGGTTATCGCAGTCGTGTTGTGGGCGCCGGCTTTGAGGGCGAGATTTCCGAGTGGCAACATGAAGAAGAACCACGGGTAGGCGTAAGCACAGACGCGGAGTAAGCCGTTGGTTCCCCAGCGGTGCTGGAGTGGGGGGAAGATGACCAGGAGCCAGAATGCTTGAGCGATGCCGTTCACGGCCATCATCAGGGAGATTTGCACAGAGGTGAAGCCGAGCCCACCGAGGTCGACGCGCGTGTACCAAAACACCGGGACGATGGCGGTGTACGCGAAGCCAAGAAGCATGACATGGCCGTATGTGTAGAGCACGATGCCGACGCCGGGAGACTTCACGATCTTCAAGATCGAACGATTATCCTTCTTTGGTCCTCCAGGGCCATCACCACCCGCATGATGCTCTTTCTTCAGAGTCTCCTCAAGGAAAAGGAAGCTTGTCAGAGCCGCCGTCAGGCCGATGAAACCAACAACGAAACTGGAAAGCGCATATGGGTAATCGAGGAAGAACTGGACGCCGCCGAAGACACCGGGGTACTGTTGCGCCGGGTTGGCTAAAGCACCACCCAAAAGCGGACCGCAGACAATGCCGCCCAGGTTGCCGCTGAAGGCAAACCAGCTGAAGGCCCTCGCCTGCGTCTTCGGGGTGCTGTGTTCTGCGATCATGGTCCTGATGGTCACAACTGTTCCGGCAAAGACACCCGCCAGGCATCGGAACAGGATCATTTGCCAAATGGTCTTGGCCATGCCAAAGGTGGAGGTCGCAAAGGCAACGCCGACAAGTGAGAAAACGAGCACCGGCTTGCGGCCGACTCGATCCGAGAGTTTGCCCCAGAAGATCATGACAACAGCCTGTGTCAGGGAGAACAGCGACTCGATGAGGCCGGAGTAGAACCCCGCGTCCGTGTCGGCGAGGTTGCCGTTCTCCTGGACCATCTGGTTGATGTACGGAAAGATGGCGAAGAAGGCCATGGGCTCGACCATTCGGGCGTAGCAGAGCCAGATGATCTGCCACACCGGCAGCGGCTTGTCGTCCTCGGCGGCCCCATCCTGGTTCGGCTCCGGCTCATGGAGGGTGGTAGCTTGTGAGATGTCGGGGTCGGCGGTCGGAGCGACATCCTTGGTCGCCAGAAGCGGTGTCACCTCGGTCGCGTCGACGGCCCCGTTCGACGCGTTGCCGCCGTTTTGGTTTCTTTGGTCCGGCGCCATTGTGCCGAATTGATGCCCGACACCTGAGTATGATGGACCTGAGGGGGTTTGTCGTCGATGCTGACGGTCGGTGTCACCTCCGGAGGTGTTTTTGAGACAATACGAGCCCGACGACAAAGGTGAGACGAATTTCACAAAGGGCGCGTCTTCGGCGTTAAGTGTGACCGTCAGACAAAAAGTCTACGAATCCAGCTTCCCGTTCAGGCTAGGCGCGCTCGCTGTTCTGGGCCCTTATTCCCCCAATTAATCTCCGCCGACGGATCCGAACTCGGGGGTGTTGCTTGGAGCCCTGGGTACAGTAGGTAGGTGGCAGCTTTGGAGTGAGAATGCAGAGATGCGACGCGATTGTGAGCCATTTGGAATTGAGTTTTTTCAAGGTAGCAGTTCGTTTTCTCAACAGTGGAGACTGTAAAGATTGATAAATGATAAGATGCTTTCTAGGACATTGAGGTGATTCTCATTGGCCCCTGTCTAGCCTGCGGGCTTGTCATCTGCAGGGGTCGAACTCTACAAACAGCGACAGCAGCAGTTGCAAGCCGTTGCTCAAGGTGTCTCAATTGGCGCCGCTGCCGCTGCATCCCTATGGTTTATCTGGCATGATTAAGGCGACGTCAAAACCCTCTTGTCAACGGATAGTATGGGGTTCGTCCGTGAGGCACGGTTCAAGAAGGTGTCGGATCAGGAACGGGAGTTCTGGTTAGCTCGTCTCGGCTTGGCGAACTCAGCCCGGCCCGAAACGCTATTTGTCAAAGTCCGTACCTGCGTCTCTTTGTTCTCATGTCGTGGCTTTCCTGCTAAAAGACTGACATGTTTCGATTCTTTCCACCGGGTTACGCTCTTTCGAGTTTGGACGCATGACGTATGACAGATCTAGCGGGAGTTCGGGCGGAGGCTCGAGCATACCGCGGCTCCGCTGGCTCAGGTCTAGTACTTAACCGCCAGGGCGGTACGTCTCCCCGTTTTTGGCAATGTCTGTTCTCTCCCCCGGCGAAGTTCCTACAATGTCTTCTTTGAAGGTCGGTGTGATTGGCGCAACGGGGATGACGGGGTCTCATGCGACCGTGGAGTTGATCAACAGAGGGCACCACGTTATTGGGGTATCGAGAGACCCTTCAAGGCTGGGAAAGCACGAGCGTTATGAGCCCAGAAGCATCGACCTCGGCAGCTCGGACGTCTTGGATATATCCAAACAACTTTACGGATTGGATGTAGTTGTGAACGCCTACGGGCCCCACAGCCAGCTTGGATCATCTTTTGCCTACAGTAAGACTTTCCTGTGAAGTCTCCGAACAGTTAACTAATACGTTCTGACAGGGTCGTTTGTTGAAATGACGCGCAAAATATTGCTTGCTTCAAGAGAGGCTCACGTACCATACTTCGTCATGGTTGGGGGAGCTGGTAGTCTGGAGATACCGGATAAGCCATACATGACGGCCGCCGACGATGCGAGGTTCTTCACAGCGTACGGCAGAGCAATGCTAGCCAGCGAGGCCTATATAATGCACTGTCAAGACTGGGCAGGAGACTTTGCGACAAGGTTACGGACAGCTCGTGATGCGTGGCTTGCAGAACGGGATGGGAAGGGAACCGATGCGACGAAGAAAGTGCTAGAAGACATGGAGAAGACCATGGCAGATATGAACAGCCAAGGGGTGGACTTTATCACAGGGGCGCGGGCCACGTATATGTTCTTCGATGGCAACACGTCTTTTAAGTGGACGTACATAGCTCCTCCACCGCTATATCGGCCTGGGACAAGGACCGGACTGTACACGGTTGAGCTCGACAGGATGCCCCTTCAGCTTCAGAAAGGCGCGGAAAGCGGTGATAGCTTTTCGATATTCGATGGGCGTCTGCAGAGCATCTCGGTTCCAGATATGGCAGTTGCTATTGCAGACGAGGTTGAGCAACAGACGAAGGTTTGGAAGCATTGGTGTCCGTATACAGATGGTCTTGATGACAGGCCTGGTCCAACCTACGTCACTCTTACATAGTACTACCAAGTCGACTTGATCAAGAGTGAGATTTCGCTTTGTCACAATAAGTCTCTTCTTGGCTTCAAATCATGTATAATAGCTTATGAGTTCAACGTGATCAATAGACTACCAATCATGTACTGAAATCTAGAGGTCAGACTTGTGGCATCTGCAGCCCACAGGAGCGTGTTCTCCTTGCCACGTTGTTAGAACGCGGCTCTTACTGCTTCTGCACTGAAATTGGCTGGTTCGCTACCACCTCCGACCCTTTCGTGTCATACACAGGCGCTGTCTCTGCTTCAGGACGATCAGAGTCTGATGTCACACCTGCCGCATCCTGGCTAGCCTCCTCATTTGCCAGCCTCATCTCAAGATCAGGATGTTTCAGCTTCCACCTCTTAATATACCACGTGCCAAACATCAGGAAGGCCCACATTGCCACCTCGAATACTGTCGCTGCAGGGTAGCCGTGCGGATATCGAGGCGCCTCGACGGTAGGAAAGGTGAAGAGGGGAATCCAGATTTGGTTGCAAAAGCCCAGGGTCATCATGGATGAGATGATCAAACCACGCTCGCCGTAGTTCTCTTTCAGGGTGAAGTTAAGCCATGAGTACTGAGAAAGTGTTTGTTAGTCGCAGCCTTCGTGTTTAGAATCTCGCCTGAGTGACCTACCAGGATCGGAGAGGCCATGCCTGAAAAGCCGCCAAAGTAGAATGCGCAGAACTTCAAAATGTCTGGGACGTTCCAGACTGATAGCACTATGCATGAAAACAGCACGAAGCTCTGGGAATGAAAGTCAGTGAATGCCTTCATAACTGGGCTATGTCGGTGAGCAACTTACTGCTTGGAAAGTCCAAAGCCCTCTGAGGCTCAAGCAACCTGCCAATGTAGTACCCAGCCAAGACGACAAAGCGCGGAGTAGGTCAATGAAAGTTGGCAGGATGTTGACCAACTCAATGGAGTACTTCGCATCTCGAAGCCACAGGGCCATGTAGCCAGTCCAGTAGTGTGCTTGGCATAGGAAACTGCGGGATGTTAGTGATGTCATCTTTCATGTGAAAAGGTAACGAAGACTGACATGTAGCAAGGTACGCAGATCCACCACATTGGTCGCGAGAGCGTGTACTTGAAGGTCTTCCAGGTGATACCCTCCGTCTCCACAGTTGGCATCCTCTTGATTGCAAGGGCGTACTCTTCATCGGTGAAGAACCATCGCTTAGGGGAGATTGGTAAACCAGGCCAGAAGGCGAAGCCTAGGAACGAGATGGGAAGAGTGATGATGCCTTGAACGATGAACAACCATCGCCAGCCAGCTCTTCCGTAGACTCCATTCAGGTTTCGGTAGGCTGCTGCCTGGAGGTAACCAGAGAACATGGAACCCAGTGAGTTACCCATGAACCACACACCCGCTCTCTTGAAAAGTTCTTCATTCTTGAACCAGCTACCCACTTAAAGAGGTTAGGAGATTTGCTCGCTCGGTTGCGCATGAGTACTTACGGATAAGGTGAGTGCCTCCAAACGAAGATGCCTCCAGGAAGCCTGTAACGGCGCGCAGGATGTACAAGTGCCAGCTGTGCTTGATTTCGGACTGACAGAATGCGATAACGGCCCAAATGATCTGCAGAGAAGGCAGCAAGAATGGAGCACTGAATACAGTCAGCTTTTACGTGTTTTGGGTCTTGTGTCTTGAGAGGCTCGCACATCTTCGCTTTGGTTTGAAGGGTCATCAGCGGAATTTGTCCAATGACATAAGCCGTGTTGTCTTATCCAATATCAGCATGATCAAGTAGGTAGGCGAAGGGTGTGAAACTCACATGCCACGACATAGTAATTCAGCTCATTGCCCCACGCATTGAGGTCTTCTCGCATGCCCGAGACATAAGCATTCGTAACATTTTGCTGTCCAAGAAACTGTCACAATGTCAGTTAGAATCATTCACTGTACCAGTCATTGATTGTTAATCACTTACTCTACAGAAAAAACTTAAGCTTCCGAAGACGAGAATAGCCAAGTCCAACTTTCTCAGCAGCTTCCGCTCCGCGGCAGGGTAGTGAGACGCTGGAAATTTTGTCAGGGTAACTTCGACAAGCAATCGGCACGAACGACTTACGGTACCAGTCAAACACTGACAATACCACAGCTCCCACCTTGTTCTTCTTTACCGCCCGAAGAATAGCCCCCATGTTGGTCGATGTGTGCCGGAATGGTCTGCTAGAGAGCCCGAGAGGCACAGCACCTTCGGCTTTACAGCTTGCCCGACGTTTTATACGTACACCCAACTCTTCTAGGTAGGTTCCTACCCAATTTTCGTTATGTGAGCATCTTTATAAAGCTCATTGCCACTTCAATACCCTTGCAAACGCCCAGAATCAGCGGCCTGCAGTCCGCGATAAGCTTGCAGAGCTGCAGCTTCGTAAACCTCTCCTCCGGACTTCATCCGCCGAGACCCGACCAGTTGCAGCAAGCACGCCTCTTCGCCCACTATTCGCCATTATGCCAGGAATGACGATTATGCTTCGACAACTCGGGGTGTCCAATGCTTCTGGGGAACGACGCGGGTTTGCGGAGACTGCACCATGCAAATAATCTCCGAAACGGTATGGGAGGCCAGCGTCCATCGAATCGTGAGCCGGACAAAGCATCGTCCCGCCGAACTCGGTGTCCTTTTACCGGCGGGGGCACATCATACGGAGCTTGCTTACCGTGGACGCGGGGGTTTTGGGGGGTTGCTGCGGTTATTTTCCGGCGCATCTACCGGCGAGGGAGACGACGTTGGCGGACCGGGGTTGGTTGTGGTGGGGATTGCGCCATCCGTTATCAAATGATGACATGCGACGATCTCGCATCTCCAACGGCCTCGGCCATATAACTTGGCCAACTTGCTTAGTGATGCCGCGGGGTAGACTGCAAGTGTGTGACCATGAACACAATTGAGTCAAATCAACGTCGCGTTATTGGACGTGGAGGTCGTGTTGTGCGGAGTAAAGGCCGATGGAGGTTTCAGGGGGGCCGGGCTGGACTTCCGGCGAGATGCCGTCCGGAGTCGCAACCAAGGTTAATAGTTAAAATGGCGAGCTCAGAACCCTTGGAGTCTGAAAAGTCTGAGCTTGCATCAGAGATCAGCCCGCCTTCCCAAGAAAAGACACCCCGCCTCACCGCCCGCCCAACATGCCTTCTGCTGTGTCTGAGTTGTACCAGTACTCCCACGTCCCCGAGACGGAGGAGAACCTCGATTGGGCTGACCGTAAGCCTTCATGATGAGCTCCTGCAGGACTATGTCGCTGACTTTCTGACGCAACCCAGTTCCCACCATTGACCTTGCCAAGTACGGAACACCAGAGGGCAACAAGGAGCTTGCCCAGACTTTGATCGAAGCTATACGCACCAAGGGTTTCTTTTATGTCATCAACTACGGCATATCACAACAAGAAGTCGACAAGCAGTTCGCTCTAGGCCAGAAGTTTTACGAGCTCCCTCTTGATGAGAAGCTCAAGTATGAGCCCAACCTTGATTCCGGTGACTACAATGGATACCGTCCTGCAGGCAGGCGGTTCCTGAGCGGTGGCATTAAGGACAAGACCGAAGTTTGGAACATGGCGACCAAGGATGGTCACATTACCCAGCCCCTGCCCAAGCTTTTGGAGGAGCGCAAAGAGGAGATTGAGGGCTTCGCCAAGGTTAGATGGACGTCTGCCCATGCTCTGGCCGTATGCTAATTCTTGTTGAAAGGACTTGCATGACAAGGTCCTGGACCCCTTGAACCACCTCATCGCTCTGGCATTGGAGCTTCCGGAAGACTTCTTTACTCGTGTTCACAAGTGGGATGTCCATGACGAGTCTCATCTGCGATACATGAAGTACTCCAAATTCACACCAGAGGAGATTGAGAAGCTCGATGACGGTCTTTGGTCTCGTGGTCACACCGATCTCGGCACCATCACCCTTCTTTTCCGCCAGCCAGTGGCTGCGCTGCAGATCAGGGATCACGAGACCGGCAACTGGAAGTGGGCCAAGCCTCTCGACGGCAGTCTGACTGTTAACACATGCGACGCCTTGAGCTTCCTGACTGGCGGTTACGTCAAGTCTACCGTTCACAGAGTAAGCCATCCACGATCAATTTGCACAATTGTCGTACTGACTCTTTGCGAAGGTATCTGTTCCTCCCAAGGACCAGCGCCACGTCGACCGCCTAGGTCTTCTGTACTTCGCCCGTCCCCAGAATGATCTCACGTTGAAGACTATTGACTCTCCGGTCTTGAAGCGCGAAGGATTCACACAAAACGAGTTCGAGGCTGGTGGCCACAGAGTTCCGACCATGGGCGAGTTCACAACTCTGAAGCAAACATGGCAGCAGAGAAAGGGCGTCAGCTACCAGTCATCCGAAGGCCAAGAGATTTTGCCTGGTTTCAAGGGCCAGTACTTCCAATAGTCAGATGAACAGTGTTGTAAATGTAAAAAAACACTTCATTGGCCACTGATAGGCAGGAGAGCCGTATAACAACAAAAGCTCTCCAGTGCCTCGTATCTACAAGCGCTATGTCGTCCATATTGCGTCCAAAGTAAGGAGAGAGAGGAAAACATCGATATCAAGATAGTTCTCCAAGTATATCAAATCTGACTGTCACCATTTCCCTGTTTCTGTACATTCTTTCGACATGGTGCTTGTCTTCGTGCCTTAGCAAGACGCAACGATAGTCGCCGTGCCCGTCACTCCATCTAAGGGTCCGTTGGTAATCGCAAGCTCGCATGATTTGCTGATGGTGTATTGGACGTACGGTCCTCCGCTCGGCAGCCTGACGCCCGCACTCGCACTTCCCTGCGAGCAAGAACCAGCAGTGCCTCCATTGATCGAGTCTTCGAACTGGACGAGACAGCTAGCATTGGCCGTGCCATTGGCCGGAGCGGCATAGGCCAGAGCAGCGAAAAGAGCGGCGAAAATAAGGACGAATCGAGTCATTGCTCGAGATTCCTTGTAAGTATGAGATTGAAATTGAAACTTGGAGGCGATGTGCAAAACTATACATACTGGATGTTGTGAACGAGCTGAGGCCAAGAGGATAGTAAACCACAGTAATGCTTTAATGCGTCAACGAGTGAATGTTTGGTGTTAGAAAGTTTAATCGGGATGACCTTGGGATGAACCGTTTCTTGTTGTAGAGTTCGAAGTCTTAAATATTCTCCAATGGCCAAGAGCTAAGCTCAGTCAGTCGATTCATCGCCAGGGGGCCAGCCAGCCTCTAACGGTGATCAGCAGGCGCATTTCTTTTTTAAGTTGAGAGTGCAATACTCCTGTTTGAATCGAGTTGATTGTAAACCCCGGTCGTAATCCACTATGAACACTAATATTAGGTTCAGTAGGCGATCATCTGGTGTAAAGTCCAATGGTATGACTCGTCATGACATTTAGGGGCATCGATAGCATGACAACATATAGCTTGGCTCCCGCGTTTGCAATTCCTATTTCGCTGCGATGGGAAACTTCCTTGTTGGGCATTCCAATGTCTGCGCTTCCCACAGCGAGCCACAGAAATGATTGCAGGACACGAACACACCGGTTATGGCACCAGACTGCATGCGACGTAACAAAGCATGATGCATCATACACCGAGAAGCTCTACATGAATAAACTGTACAAAAACAGAACATCGGGCAAATCACATTAGATACAATCTAACAACATATCTAGCCTCCGATAACCAATACGATTAAACCTCAGCGGCCTGACCAGAGCCCTGATCCTTAGGACTGCGCCAAAACGGCCGCCTAGATCGCCAAGAACCACGACTACGCGATTCTACTTCAGTCTTAGAAGTATCAGATCCTTGCTCTCGTAGCCCTTCCTGCTCAGTGGACAGTGCGGAATTATGCACATTCTGTAGACTCCTCCTGCCTTGAGGCTTGTTTCCATTAGTGTCAGTGTTTCTCTGGTCGGTCTTCTGGTCTTGGTTCCTGTCCAGACGCTTTTTTCTTGAGTCTTTCACCTTGCCCTTGATCCTGTTGACTTCTTTCTCTAAGTTCTTGAGAAGATCGTCACTTTTCATAAACTTCTTATACTTGTCCCAAACCATAAGCCAGACATAGTAGGCTCCAGTATATACCAGGACCCAGGTCTCGAGCATCTTGTAAGCTGACCAGAAGACAGTTCGCGGGAAGGTCCAAAAGGCGAAAATGATCGACACAGAAATTACAGCAGCCGAGATCGGGACTTCATGGATCAGCACTTATTTTGAGCCGGGGAGGAATCAGGAATTTATACGTACACATGAAGTTCGCCTGATCGCCAAAGGTCATCTTGTCTGATCCGATGGTCGAGTTATTCATGCCGAAAACACTGGACATGAAAGATAACGGAAGCTTGGGGCAGTCAGTAGAGAACTTGAACATAGACATGATGAACGACGTACGAAAATGATTGTCACAATGGTGAAAATCATGATGGACCTGCCCTGCCGAACAGTCTCATCCGCTTGTTTAACCGACTGCCAAGCTTGCAAAATGCTAGCTTGCTGTTGCTTGAGGTCGAGCAGGTCTTTGATCTGTGGGTCTTTCATCAACATCTTCTTGCAACTACTTCGATGTACCCTTTTGGGTTGGCTTACCCCTTGAGCTGTACTTTCAGCGCTCTTTCTAAGTCCTTCAAGCTCCAGGACTCTGTCGCCAACATCTGAGATCAAGTCATATGCTTGTTTTCGAAACCAGATGAATTCTTGTCGTTCTCTTTCTCTGATTCGCTTAGCCTCCTTGACCTCCTTAGCCTCCTTTTCGTTACTTTCGTCCAGTTTCCTCTCAAGTGAGGATGCCCGAGACGACGCAGTCTTACGATAATCCCGATCATCATCAGGGCTCCGTGAGTTATCTCTCCATTCTCCACTTGAGTCGTAGATGTTCTCAACATGTTTCGTGAATCGTTTGATGACTTCCTTCTGTTTGTTATTGATATTAATCATGATGTCGAGTTCGTCGATGATGTCTTTGATCTCTCGTTGAAGCTTCCCTTCAGGATTGATGTTGAGAAGTGGCGGATGCAAGTGCGACGCGTCCTCGTATTTGAACTTGGAGACATACAACTGGGAGGCTCTCTTGGTCCAGTGCCATAGATGGTGAAAGGACACTGTCTGCAAATTGGTCTGTTGTTCTCTTAGTTTCTCACGCCTACTAAGTGTCAAAACGCTGGCACTCACCAAGTTTCCAATAGCGTCCCCAAATATATCCATGACCTGAGGGTGCCGATCCTGTGACCGAGTCAGATATCAATAGTCGAGAGTGGTAGGAATGGCTTACCGGGGTCTTGGTGCGATCAAAGAAGGTATTAGAACACTCGTCCAGGATGATCAGCGCCACGTCAAAGACCGAACGGATCTGGTTCTTCCGAGCATTCTTGATTCGTGTCCGGATTGATTTGTGCACACCTGAGGGATCCTGCTTGTTCGCTCCGTACCGCTTAGGGAAGCTGGTAATGATCGTCTTTTTGTCGAGTATCCACATCCAAAGCTGATCAACCATGACAACTCGAGAAACCTTGCGGATCTCACCACGGCAATGATCGCAACCGTTGGTGTCTGTTCCTATCCAGTGATCGTCCCATCTGAACGTGTCCGAAGTGTTGTCAGGGTCGCGATTGCGCTCGCAAAGATCATCCGTTTTATGATGCAGCAGTCTCTCCAGGGCCAAGTGTTTGCGAATCCATCCCTCTTCTCCAGCACAGTCTTTCTTGCCTAGCTCGCGGAAACGATGCATGTTTCTGTCGTCCATTGTGGTACCTCGATAGACGACTTGGTCTCGGTCGCGAGCCTTTGTTGTCTTCAAAGTCCAATAGTAGGATTGATCGAGTGTTCGCCGAGGATGCAGCGGGGGATCATGGTGAAGATACTTCTTCAGAAGCTGTTCATCCCTGTATATAGCAATGGCCTCGTAAAGCCTAGCAGCATCAAGGAGAAGCTGACCAAGTTTGCTTCTGGCCTTGATTTTTCCATGGCTGTCGGTTTTCAGCTTGGCCACGTACCATAGCCGTTGCTGCCCGTCTTCGTGCTTTTCATCCTTTGCTGGTCCGGTCCTATCAGCGAAACCTTTTGCAACCTCGGTAACAGTGCGATGGATCCCGGGAAGTGAAGCCGTAGATGCTCTCTTCTTCAATTCCTCCTGGATCCTACTCAAGTAGTTTGGATCTTCCGGGGGATGAGTGGGAGCCGTTCTAGTCGTTGTGAGAGGTTTTCCGGCAAAGGTTCGGAAGTCGACCCTATTTTTCTTCGCTTCTTTGGCCTCGTCATCCCGCTTCTTGCGATGCTTTGCGGTCTCTTCGTCGATTATTTTGGCGATCTTGTCACGCTTCCTGTCTTCTTCCCAGTGAAGATATGGCATCTAGGGCCATGTTAGGGTGTTTCGCGGGTCTTGAATGGTTCAAACGTTTCTTGACTCACGAAAAGCACGACGTTTCCTGGATTGTCTTCCGAATCCCAAATCTCTGTGCAATGGTTAGTAAATGATGTCGTTTGCGAGGGTCCAGCGGCCCAGCGGTGCTCACCAGATGACACCCGTTCACAAATCGCTCTCATGTGCCGCGCGTGGACCATACTCCGTCTCCCTCCGTGTTGTTGACCTCTCCAATACTCAGGTCGAAGGATCATATGACTTCTGGTCTTGACCGGGGGGGCTCGGTAAATGCGACCATGATCCGGCTTGCGATCACCGAAGTAGCGTGCTATGGCTTGCTTGATAAACGTCAGCATATGACACATCTTAATGGAGCTAAAAGAGTCCTACTTCGATCCACTGGTAGAAACGGTCAGCATCTGTTTCGAACATATGGACGGAATGATAGAGATATACTTACTGCCATGTTGTTATGAGGGATGTGGATGTATCGCACCCGATCTGGATGGCCGTTCTTGTTGAGAACAATACTCTCATCCCCAGACTCTTCGCCTTCGTCTGCTTCTTCGGGGCCGTTCGACTCTGGTTTTCCGAAGTTTTTGCCAAGGAGGAATCTTAGAGACAGTCTCTGATCAGGGAATTTACCTTTGAATCGGTAGTCATCCTTCCTGTCGGTTGGCTTGAGGTATCTCTCATCCGCAGAAAGCGATTTGTAGAAGGACTTGGAAGCATGGGACATGTACGAGTCCTTCGGAACTCCTAGACTTGGTCGTCGGAACTCCTCTCTCTGATCAAACTCCCGTTGTGGCTGAATATCTTCCGTCAGCTGCTCCGTGGTGGTTCTCGAGATTGCTGGCGTTGACTGCCTTCTCAATCCAGGACTGGGTCGGTTGAAGCTGGCCGATGCGGAAAGCTGGCCAGGGTCATTGCCTTCCGTTCCTTTCCGCTCAGGGTTGCAAATGTCCCATTCCATGATGTATCCATTGATGTCCCGCTCCAAATCGTATTTCTTTGCCTCGTCATCAGAACTTTCACCCGTGTTCTCATTGCTTCCTATGAGGTCCAGAACCTCACACCGGCCTAGATCTACTGTTCTTGGGTCCGGAGTAAAGGTGTCGGTAGGTCTGTTATTCGTCCTCTTCCATTCGCGTATATCCCGGATTCCTTTCTTGGTCGTTTTGTCACCCCTCCACTTGTCAAAACTTGCCGCCAGACACTTCACAAGATTGCAGTCCTCAGAATGGCCTCCGTCCCTCTCGTGAGGACATTTGACACCCTCAAGAGCTCTGCGCAAAGTGTCTGTTCGTTTATACTGTGCCTCAATGGAAATGGCATGACTGCGGATCTTCTTCTTGACATTCTCCTCGGCGCGGTCTCTGAAGTCCTGCTTCGTTTCATCGTTTCCATCTTGCTGGTTCAACTTCTGTATCTCAAGTTGGACTTCTTTGTCCCAGTAGGACTTGTTCCCACTACGAGACAGGAAGTTGGGACGTTCATGTATCTCAATGCAGCCAAAGTAATGTGCCAAAATGTCCCGGATGACTTCGGGCCCGTGGGGTTCCGCGGAGAGACAGGTCGGCGTTGTATCGTGATCTCCCATGGTCTTCTATACGAAGGTGATGTATTGGCAACAGAATGTGAAGATGAAGTCGTGCCTTGAAGGCCTCAGCTGCCCAGAATGTAAATCACGTATCTTGGCTGGTCGCGATTGATCTCAGTGGTCAAGTTGCGCATACGTGAAGCCAATTGCATGGGAACAGGGCCATTAAGAGACCGAACCTCGTTGGGGGCCAAAACGAGGCTCGGAGCCAAATCGCGGTTTTGCTGCTCATCCTTCACTCATCCTTGACTATATTGGTCAATGGGTGGTCAGATTTAAGACACAGTGGTTGGCTCTTGTGTATCACAACCCAATCACAGCCTGCTTGTGGCTCTTCAGCTCCGGCAGGCTGCAGCAATATACCTCGATCCCACCGTGATGGGCGGGGAAAGCTGTAAGCCGGGGTTCGATATCATAGGTGAGAGAAATTTTTGGGAGCAATGTGGCAGATAAAAGGCGCTCAAAATGTCCGTCATATTTAGCAATACGACAAGTAGCTAAGATTCCGTGTGGTCGCACAGAGACCAGGATACTGTACCCGACAACTCAGCCTCAGCTAACTAAGCTCAACTCGAACTTGATGGGCGATTATCCAGTACATACTTCCTTACTATTTCGCGTAATTGACGCCCGGGAGCCATTCTTGGCAACATCAGGCTGTGAAGCTTCATGGAGTCTGCTGCAAGGGAGATGGAGTATTGGCAAAGGTGGGCCCATGGCTCTGCAGCCACCCCGGTCTGTGATCGCTTAACGAGGACATCTTTGCGAGAGGATCACCCATTAACGGCATCAAGTCCGCTCAGCGGTCGCATCAGCTCGGAAGACCATGAACATGGCTGGCTTACCCCTCCCACCTCGTAGTTCTTCATTTCTGCGGGGCGACAGCCTGATTCAATGCTTGTTTCAACATCTTGGGATGGGGACAGGTTTAGGCAGAAGGATTAGCCTGCAGAGATACCGAGAGCGCCACAGGAGGACAATAAGACGAATGAATTCCAGGGATTAGGGCTTGCTGTTGAAGAGAAAGACGCTGATTCTTGCGCAGCATGTGCGGTGAATTGAATTTGGATTCATGTGGCAGCGGGGTGAAGAAACCTGAGATGAAGCTCAATGCGTATACGGCGAGGGTACTCAAGCTCAGAATTGGGAAGATAAATCAACATCCAGATATGGATTCAACCTGGCCGGTTGGCCCAATGGCAAGGCGTCTGACTACGATTCAATCGTGCAATCAGGAGATTCTGGGTTCGACCCCCAGGCTGGTCAATTCTTTTGCATTTTGGAGTGATTTGCAATTTTGGTGCGGTGCGATTTTTTTTTCGTTGCGGGTCCGGCCTAAAATCGGGCCTGCCGGGGCCAGGGCTTTTTTTTTTTTTTAGAGTTCCGGCCCGGGATTGGCTGCTGATCGCCGTAGCGCCGAAAACTGAAATGCGGGATGCCGGGTCATCAAGTGCCGATTTCTGCTACCGAATGACAGAAAGTTGCATAACTTACGGATGGCCGAACTCAATAAACCTAAGAGAACGATGGCGCAATGATAGCATCTGATGGTCTTCATTCCATTGTCAGCTGCCCCAGATTTGGTTACGTTAGTGTATGAGTAAATTACCTGGAGTCGGCGATTATGGAAAGTCGGGGGCGGGTGCCCGAAGTCCGGATGTATTGATGGCCCGGCCGGATAAGACTTACTAATACTCATGCCCTGGTCTTTAGTGACATTCCCATTAACTTTTTGTCTTCATTGTCGTTATTCTCATCATTGCCCATGGTCAGTCAATATGCTCAAAGAGACGAACAAACACATGCCCGGGCGACAATGCCGCCTCTGACTACGACGGCCCTGAGAGCATTGAACTGACGTCAAATGCTCCTCCGAAGCTCCCGTCCACCAAGCACGTAATCAAGGACCGAGCTCCCACCTTCCGGGAGCTCTGGGAGCTAGAGCTCGAAGCTTATTTCGACGATAACGGCCCCGCGATTCTCGGCCGCCGCGAGCTATTCGGCTTCGGATCCAATCTGCCCCCTGGCGATGCGACCATCAAAATTACCCCTCCAGAAACTCTAGCAGATATCTAGCTATCTAATCGCCGCAGCTTGGATTGAAACGACCGCATAACCAGCGCACGTCTAGTATGGAGAGCCCGTTTTATAAGGGTGGTTTTCAGATGACGAGTCATGAAACAGAACATTCGGAAGTTTGTTGCCTTGTCTCAGGAGCTACGTCCGAAGTCGATGCCCCGCGATACGAAGTTTGAGGGGGGTATAAAGTAGCTCTCGTACCTCCGAGCCCTCACGAACACCTCCCTTGAGGATCAGAGACATCCATATCACGAAAGGGGTTTATCACATCTCGAGAACCGACATCCAAAATGCCACACCGCGTTCTCCTCACCGGCGCAAACGGCTTCATTGCCCAGCACATACTCGCCCAGTTCCTCGAGGCAGGTCACTCCGTCCGCGCCGTCGTCCGCTCCCAGTCCTCCGCCGACCAGCTCAAAGCCACCTTCGCCGCTTATCCCTCCCCGCAGCTCGACTTCGCCCTCGTCCCCGACATCGCTGCCCCGGGCGCCTTCGACATCGCCCTCGTCTCCGACCCGCCGTTCGACCTCGTCCTGCACACTGCGTCCCCCTTCAACTTCCGCGCCGGCAAGTCCAACAAAGACTTCATCGACCCGGCCGTCAAGGGCACCACCGAGATCCTGCACGGCGTCCTCCGCAAGGGGAAGTCCGTCAAGCGCGTCGTCATCACGAGCTCCATGGCCGCCGTCATCGATGGCGCCGCCCCGCCCGTGACGTCCCCGCCCAAGATCTACTCCGAGAAGGACTGGTTCAAGATCTCGCGCCACGAGGCCGAGACGACAGACAACCCCGTCATCCCCTACGTCTCCAGCAAGATGTTCGCGGAGAAGGCGGCGTGGGAGTTCCTCGTCGAGAAGCAGCCCCCCTTCGACATCGCGACCATCAACCCGCCCATGGTTTACGGACCCATGCACGATGCGTCGTACCTGAAAGCCCCCGCGGAGCTGAACCAGAGCAACTTCAACCTGTACAGCTTCTTCCTCGGCCCCGGACTGACGGAGACGAGTGCTGTGCCGCCGGAGCAGCTGCACCTGTACGTCGACGTGCGGGACGTTGCGCGCGCGCATCTGTTGGCGGCGACGAAGCCGGCTGCTGGCGGAAACAGGTTTGTGGTGAGCCCCGGCGGGATCTCGCACCAGCAGGTCGCGAACTACTTCAGGGAGGCATTGCCGGAGCTGGCGGGGAGGATACCAAAGGGCGACCCGGCCAAGACGGCCCTGCCGGAGGGCATTTTTGGGGTGGATTCGTCGTCGGCGAAGAGGCTTCTGGGGCTGGAGTATACGGATCAGGAGAAGACGTTCACGGATGTTGCGAAGGAGTTTTATGAGATTGAGAAGCGGGCGACGGCGGCTTGAGAAGTGTTTCTAGGTTGTAACTTGCATGAGAACAAATGAACAGCGTGATGACCCTTTTTCAGAGAGACTGCATACTTTTCTACCTAGTAGTGTTAGAGCGACTACATTTCCTGTCTTATTACAGCCGTCGTCATCTAGACGCCTCTATCGTCTTATAGTTTGCTGCTCCCGGCTTTTGAAAACTGCAAGCTCTTGGTGTAGCTGTAGGAAAGCAACCCCTGCTTGCCCATCTCTCCGCCGATGCCGCTCTCCTTCTGCCCCGCGAAGAAGCCGCCCGGGTGCGGCTGCTCGGGCATGTTGATCCACACGGTGCCGGCCTCGAGGGACCTCGCGATGTGTTCGGCGCGGCTGACGTCTCTGCAGTAGACCGAGGCGCCCAGGCCTGCGTTGCTGAGATTCGCTCGTTGGACGACGTCGTCTTCGGTGGACCAGGAGAGGACGGGGATGATGGGCCCTTGACGAGATGTTAGCAGTATATTAGGGTACGGGGATTTTGAACTCCATCGACTTACCAAACTGCTCCTCTCTTACGAGCATCGAGTCTTCCGGGGGCTTGACTACAATCGTCGGCGGCACCCAGAGCCCCTTCCCGTCCAGGGGATTCCCCGCCGCGACGACGTTATACCCATTCTTCTCACAGTCCCTCACAATTTCCTGCACAACCTCATACTGCGCCTTATTCGACACCGGCCCAAACAAACTCGGCGCCGCCGCGTCCCCATTCACCGCAAACGCTTTCTGTACCTCCGCCGTGAACGCCTTCAAGAAGGGCTCATACACGCTCTCGTGTACATATACCCGCTTCGTCGCCACACACATCTGCCCCGCGTTAAAAAAGCACCCCGCAGCCACCTTCCCCGCGGTCTCCGCCACGTCCACGTCCTCGGTAACCACGCACGCATCGTTCCCCGCAAGCTCAAGCGTCAGCCTCTTCAGCGTCCTCGCGCAGCTCTCCATCACGCGCTTCCCCGTCGCCACCGTGCCCGTGAAGCTGATCTTGGCGATGCCTGGGTGTGTCGTCATCGCGGCGCCGAGGTCCGCGCCGCCGTTGAGGACCTGCACGACGCCGGGGGGCAGGACGGGGATGAGCAACTCTACGGACTTGAGGACGGAGTAGGGCGTGAAGGGGGAGGGCTTGACGATGACGCAGTTGCCGGTGATGAGGGAGGAGACGATTTTGATGTTGGAGAGGATGATCGGGAAGTTCCAGGGGCAGATTGCGCCGACGATGCCGAGCGGGGTGTGTGTCGCGACGATTTTGAGGGAGTCGTCTTCAAAGGTGACTTCGTCTTCGAGATGGACTTTGGCTTGCAGGTTGTGAGGATCTGGGAGGTGTGAGAGGTTTGGAGGGGACGTACTGTAGTAGAGAGTCTGTTGGCAGGTGTTTCCGATTTCGATCTCGGCCATGAGAGTCTGGATGATTGTTAGGTAGGTCGCCGGTATGCTCATGTTGAGTTATCTCACTGATTTTCCAGTCTCCTTCATGACGATCTCCATGAGCTCCTGCTTATTCGCCGTAAAGACCTCGACGATCTTGCGCAGGTATTCCGAGCGCTCCTCGACCGAGGTCTTGGACCATGTCTTCAGCGCCTTCTGAGCTGCCTCAACAGCCTCATCGAGGTCCTTCGTCGTAGCCAGAGGAGCGTCCCATAGCGGCTCTTCGGTGCGGGGATCGATGCACTGGTGGTTGTTGTCGCTACTTCGGCGCTGGCCGTCGATAACGTTGAAGAACTTCATCATGAGATATTCGCACCGAGTCTAAATTCACATATGCTGAGTCCATCGTAATTGAATCCCATGATGGCACCGGGGCTGGATATATCTACAGCATTCACGGGTTATTCCACACCCTCCGTTGCCGGAAACGTGCTTAGTACTCGCTGACCATTGCCACAGAATCCCACAATGCTACCGCGCTCCTGCGGAGAATGAGGGGTTCTGCCCAGTCGGCGACGCCATCGAGCGCGTGGGATTCCGGAACTGGCACCAGGGCGGCGTGGAATGCTGCTTAAGGTTTGGCGGCAGTTGAGATGGGGCTAGGAGAGGCGCGCGCCGGTCTGCATCTGGCAAACTCTGTCTTTGTTTGCGGGCGGGAATTGGGATGAAAGGGGAAGAGGAGCTGTCAAAATTAGCGACGTCACCTTTATAATAAGTAATCTGGACGAGGGGGTTTGCCAACCGTGATGCCTGGGTATTCCTGGGCCCGTGGTGCATATCTAATTGCTTGTTGGATATGCAGCCCTATCGCTCTGTCAATGCGCCAAAGATTGTTCAACGTCATTAATCAAATTTCAGAGATGTCGGTGTGTGTAGCAAGCAACATGACATCAGAGTAATTGTAACTCGTTCCGCTTCTTTGAGGATATCCACGGGTATGTTGGCGTCGCACAGATCATACAGGAACCTGATCCGCTCTAAAGCCAAGGAATACTCGTCTAAACTATGGCGTGATTACGAAGGTTTCAAGCAGTTCGTAAAGTCTGGACGATCCGAAGAGTCGCGCATTTGATTTTGTCCATTCGTCTGTTCGAACGTCAGCCTACCTTGACTGTCATCTGTTTCTGCTGCTTCCAAATGCCGACCGACAGGATTCCTAAGTTGATTTTGAAATGATTTGATAGCTCTAGAGTCGAGCATGCCGCTCAAACACTTCATGCCGAACTGAAGCAAATGAAAAGCGAGACCGATACCGAAGTAGCAGAAGTCAGTCAATGTTGAATTGAGTTTGTGATACTGGACGCAGGACAGTCTGGGAGAACCACGCAGTATATCGGATGTAGACCCTACAAACATCAATATATACAGCTTGGTCTGTTCTTTTCAGATGCCACCTTTGATCAAGCAACAAAACATCACCAAAAATAACCTCCACTAAGAGCTCATCAGCATCTGTTCATCGCAATGTCTATGCCAGCACCTTCCAAACCTCTTGGGGCCCTCGACTTTAGCCAGGTCACATACGGGAACAAGGCTCAGAGATTCACAGCGCAGGCCAATCTTGCCCGGCTCATCTTAGCCGAAAAGCTCCAGGTAACGGAGTTCTGCACCCGAATTCACTTGCCTGGATTGGTGATTGATACTAAGCCGTCAACTCTGGTAGGCTTTCCAAGAGATAAATGCATTGGCAAAGATCACCTTCGCTGAAGGGAAGTCCACGGATCCTGATCCGGTGTGGATCGACGCCCGATCCACCCCAGTCAAGCTCCTTGACTCGGCCCCTACAGAGGTTGGCGCACCCGCTTTCGAACTCACATGGACCCCGGAACGATTCGAAAACCTCGCCGAAGGTCGTGATGACCCCCAGACGGCGGTTTTCATGTCGGCGGTGCCCATGATGGGAGACTACCCCTTGGCTATCCGATTCGCGGACCTCATGACCCCGAACCCGACCGCCCCGCCCAAGACCGCAAAGGAGCTTCCTCTGGAAGAGCTACCCAAGCCGACGGAAGACATCGAGCAAGTCAAGCGCGACCTTAGGAGATGGGGTTACGGGCTACTGAAGAACGCTCTCACCCCAGAGCAAGTCGCCATCCTTAAGAAAGCATCTCAGGAGCAGGCTGCTGGGGAACGCAATGCCGGTGTAGCTACATTTGACGGCGGACCCAAAAAGCCAAACCAGCGAATCTGGAACATCTTGAACAAAGGTGAAGAGTTCCTTGACTTGCTCAACCACCCATTGATAGATGAAGTCGTCCCGTGGTACCTTGGATGCAGCAACCCTCTTTTGTGGTCGTATAACGTAGGTTTTGCCTCCCTGGCTTATGCAGGAAGATCTGGTGTACACAGGTAAGCTTACCGCCGCGTTAGATCAACATTGCCCGCCCTGGAGGCACGCCCCAGGTTCTTCACTGGGACCAGGGAATCATGGGCCACGGCCGCACGAAGGCTGTTGCTCTCAATATTTCATGGCTGCTGTGCGACTTCACCGAAACGAACGGCGGAACACGCATATTCCCAGGCTCGCACAACCAAAACGTGCGCCCCCGCAACGTTTTCAGCAGCGAGGGCTCCATCGCCTGCGAAGCGCCCGCTGGTACCGCCATGATCTTTGAGGGCCGCATCTGGCACGGTACCGGCCAGAACACCGAGACCTCGGGCGAGCGGCCCTGTATCCTCAGCCTCTTCACCCATCCCGCCGTGAGGCCCAAGGAAAATGCTTTGCTAGCGCTGAGCTGGGAGGCCGAAGACGAGGTGCTCTCCGAGCGCCACAAGTCGCTTGCGGCGTTACGGACCGGCCAGGCTGGTTTTGGTGGCGCACTGGGCGAGGCTCGAGAGGGAATAATTGTGAAGCGCCCGAGATCTGATTTCACGACTGTAGGCAAGCTTCGCGCGCCGCACGATGATGCCGAGGTTGCAAAGATGTTGGCGACTGGAACACATGCTAACAATGCGCAATCTGCTGTACGTGAGGCTGGAGGCTTGGACAAATAGAAGATCACCATTATCGAAGGCTTCCATGTAACTCTCCAAGTAATCAATCTTATGTTCAAGTGCCGGCAAAACTGGCCATGGCATGAAGTTCGGGTTGCGAGTGTGAATGGTGGAAGCGTCCGACGAGACGGAAGCGGAGCCGGCCGACAGAGGGGCCGCTGCGAACCGGCGCAGGGCGCTGCAGGGGGATGCACAGGGCGCAGGATGAGCCCGGCCGCCCAACCACCAGCGGCGGCTCTCCACGAAATCCGACGGCGGCCAGCCCAGACGCTGGAGGAAGGAGGGGCGATGGAGGGGGAGGGGCCGACGATAACGCTACGCGACCCGCTAAAAATCGCAGTGACAGTGGCATCGCCCCGCCGATAAGCTCAAACAGCCCTGATGTGATTCGCGGGGCCTTCAGCCATTACAGGCACAAATGCATCTCGTTGTCGTACCAAGCCTGCGGAATGCGTGCGTTGCGAGGAAACAGATCTCAAAATGACATGATGGGCGAATAGGAATTTCTGGAACGCAACAGAGCTGTCAAAACGACGCCAAACGGTCCACCTGATAACAACCGCACAGCGACACACAGACAGGACCGGGGTCAGAGCTACCCCTACCTGGCCTCACTGTAAACTCCAGCGGTGCCACGCCCGTTACTAGTCTCGTCTCGTCTCGTCTTCGCCGCTTGCCGTCGCTTTAAAACTGCGGGGTTGGCTCGACCGCGATCCCCAACGCACGCCTTCACTTCTTTCACTTTTCTCCTTTTTCTGGAATTTGCAGTGAGCAGAGTTCTGTGGCCGGTGACTTGTGTGTGACAGTCCCAGCACCAACCAGGACACAAGGCCAAACACCATGGCACCCATCGCCATCTCCCCCGAGCGAGATGCCGGGCCTCTAAACACGCTGACCACCGACTTCGACGACACCATCCGCTTCTACCTCAACGGCACGCGCGTCGTCCTCGACGAAATCGACCCCGAAGTCACTCTGCTAGAGTACCTGCGAGGCATTGGTCTGACCGGAACCAAGCTGTATGTCCGCTCGAAAGTACCCAAGGAGTCTATCACATGCTGACAGCGTACAGGGGATGCGGCGAAGGCGGCTGCGGTGCCTGCACCGTCGTCATCTCCCAGTTCAACCCGACAACGAAGCAAATCTACCACGCGAGCGTCAACGCCTGTCTGGCTCCCCTGGCCAGCGTCGACGGCAAGCATGTCATCACCATCGAGGGCATCGGAAACACAAAGGCGCCACACCCCGCCCAAGAGCGAGTGGCAAAGACAAACGGCAGTCAGTGCGGCTTCTGCACACCCGGGATCGTCATGAGCTTGTATGCGCTGCTACGAAACAACCAGGCCCCGTCAGAAGAAGACATCGAGGAGGCGTTTGACGGGAACCTGTGCAGGTGTACGGGATACAAGCCCATCCTCGAGGCCGCGCAAACGTTCAGTGTTGAGAGGGGATGCGGGAAGGCGAGGACAAACGGCGGCTCTGGCTGTTGCGTGGAAAATGGCAACGGCGAGAAGAAGGCGGGCGGGTGTTGCATGGACAAGAAGGCGGCCGACGACCAGCCCATCAAGAGGTTCACGCCACCCGGGTTCATCGAGTACAGGCCTGACACGGAGCTCATCTTTCCCCCGATGCTGAAGAAGCACGAAATGAGGCCACTAGCGTTTGGAAACAAGAGAAAGAGGTGGTTCAGGCCCGTTACGCTCTCCCAGCTCCTTGACATCAAGAGCGTCTACCCCTCGGCCAAGGTCATCGGCGGCAGCACCGAGACCCAGATTGAGATCAAGTTCAAGGCGCAGCAGTACCCTGTTTCTGTCTTCGTGGGCGATATTGCTGAGCTGAGGCAGTACGAATTCAAGGACGATCACTTGGAGATAGGCGGAAACGTCATCTTGACCGATCTCGAGCACATCAGCCAGGAGGCCACGAAGCACTACGGTGAAACCCGAGGCCAGGTGTTTGAAGCCATCTACAAGCAACTGAAATACTTTGCTGGACGGCAGATTCGGAATGTAGGTACGCCCGCTGGCAATCTGGCGACGGCGTCGCCAATTTCAGATCTCAACCCTGTTCTGTGGGCTGCCAATGCTGTATTGGTGGCCAAGTCCCAAAGCGAGGAGACGGAGATACCCATGTCACAGTTCTTTACCGGCTACCGCAAAACAGCACTTGCGCAAGACGCCATCATTGCTTCCATAAGGATACCGGTCACGGCGTCCAAGGGCGAATTCTTTAGAGCGTACAAGCAGGCCAAGAGGAAAGACGACGACATCGCCATCGTGACTGGTGCTCTGAGGATCAAGGTGGACGATGACGGTGTCGTCACTGAGAGCAATCTGATCTACGGCGGTATGGCTGCTATGACTGTGGCAGCAAAGAAGACCATGGAGTACCTCATTGGCAAGCGCATCGCCGAGTTGGAAACACTGGAGGGCGCGATGGACGCGCTTGGCGAAGATTTCAACCTTCAATTCAGCGTGCCCGGAGGCATGGCGTCGTACCGCAAGGCCCTGGCGCTGAGCTTCTTCTACCGCTTCTACCACGACGTTCTCGCAGCCATGGATGCCCAGAGCCAACACGTCGACAAGGAGGCGATTGAAGAAATTGAGCGAGGTATTTCTGGTGGACATGAAGACCACGACGCGGCTGTCGCGTACGAGCAGGAGACTGTCGGCAGGTCCAAGAGCCATGTTGCGGCGCTGAAGCAGGTAACTGGCGAGGCACAGTACATCGACGATATACCTTCCCTCAAGAACGAACTGCATGGGTGCTTTGTCTTGTCAAGCAAGGCACACGCCAAGATCAAGTCCGTCGACTATTCTGCGGCCCTTGATATGCCGGGCGTGGTGGACTACGTCGACATTAACGACGTTGAAACACCGGAACAGAACCGTTGGGGCGCACCGCATTTCGACGAGGCTTTCTTCGCCGAGGGGGAGGTTTTCACCGCCGGACAACCTATCGCTATGATGCTTGCTACCTCAGCAAACAGAGCTGCGGAGGCTGCTCGCGCTGTCAAGGTCGATTACGAGGAGCTGCCGACAATCCTGTCAATCGAAGAGGCCATCGAGCAGGATAGCTTCCACAACTACTACCGCGAGATCAAGAATGGAGACACCGAGGAGGCTTTCAAGAATTGCGACCATATTTTCACCGGCACGGCAAGAATGGGTGGTCAGGAGCATTTCTACCTGGAGACACAGGCTTCGCTGGTTGTTCCCAAGCCTGAAGATGGAGAGATGGAGGTGTTTTCTGGTACGCAGAACGCCAACGAAACGTAGGTCAACCATCTATCAGGGGATTGTGTTCCTTAAGCTAACCGCTAGCAGGCAAGTATTTGTTGCTCGTATGACTGGAGTGGCGGCCAACAAGATTGTCGTTCGTGTTAAGCGTCTGGGAGGTGGTTTCGGTGGCAAGGAAACGAGATCGGTCCAGGTCACTGCACCATTAGCGCTCGCAGCAAAGAAGACCAAGCGACCCTGCCGATACATGTTAACCCGAGAGGAGGACATGGTCACCTCCGGCCAGCGCCACCCGTTCCTGGGCAGATGGAAGGTTGGTGTCAACAAGGACGGCAAGATCCAAGCCTTGGATCTGGACGTTTTCAACAACGCCGGCTGGAGTTTTGACCTGAGTGCGGCTGTGTGTGAGCGTGCCATGTCACATAGTGATGGCTGCTACAGGATCCCGAACGTCTTCATCCGCGGACGCCTGTGCAAGACAAACACGATGTCGAACACGGCGTTCCGAGGGTTCGGAGGACCGCAGGGCATGTTCATCGCGGAGACGTACATGGAAGAGGTAGCGGATCGCATGGGCATTCCGGTCGAGAAGTTCCGCGAGATCAACTTTTACAAGCCGCTGGAGCCTACGCATTTCAACCAGCCCCTCACGGACTGGCATGTGCCGTTGATGTATGAGCAGGTGCAGGAAGAATCCAAGTACGAGCAGCGGAGGGAGATGATTACGAAGTTCAACGACGACAACAAGTGGCGCAAGCGTGGGCTGGCACTTATCCCGACAAAGTTTGGTATTTCGTTCACCGCTCTCTTCCTCAACCAGGCCGGCGCTCTCGTTCACATTTATCACGATGGATCAGTTCTCGTGGCTCACGGTGGCACCGAGATGGGTCAGGGGTTGCACACCAAGATGACGCAGATCGCAGCGCAAGCACTCGAAGTGCCGCTGGACAATGTCTTCATCTCAGAGACTGCAACCAACACGGTTGCGAACGCCTCAGCGACAGCAGCGTCTGCCTCGTCGGATCTGAACGGATACGCCATCTACAACGCCTGCGCGCAGCTGAATGAACGACTGGCGCCGTACCGCGAGAAGCTCGGACCGAAGGCGACCATGAAGGACCTGGCGCACGCGGCCTACTTTGACAGAGTGAACCTCTCGGCACAGGGATTCTACAAGACCCCGGAAATCGGTTACACCTGGGGCGAGAACCGCGGCAAGATGTTCTTCTACTTCACGCAGGGCGTCACGGCGGCCGAGGTCGAGATCGACACGCTCACCGGCACGTGGACCTGCATCCGGGCCGACATCAAGATGGACGTCGGGCAGTCGATCAACCCCGCGATCGACTACGGGCAGATCCAGGGCGCGTTCGTGCAGGGCCTCGGGCTCTTCACGATGGAGGAGTCGCTCTGGCTGCGCAACGGGCCCATGGCGGGCAATCTCTTCACGCGCGGGCCGGGGGCGTACAAGATCCCCGGGTTCCGCGACATCCCGCAGGAGTTCAATGTGTCGCTGCTCAAGGACGTGGAGTGGAAGGACCTGCGGACGATCCAGCGGTCCCGCGGGGTGGGCGAGCCGCCGCTGTTCATGGGCAGCGCGGTGTTCTTCGCCATCCGCGACGCGCTCAAGGCGGCAAGGCGGCAGTACGGGGTGCAGGCGACGGTCGGGGAAGACCGGGTGGGTGATGGCTTACTCAGGCTGGAGAGCCCGGCGACACCCGAGAGGATTCGGCTAAGCTGCGAGGACCCCATCATGAGGAGGGCGAGGGTGCTGCCGAAGGAGGGGGAGAAGAGCTTTTTTGTAGCCATTTAGAGGCGGCGCCAAGTATGCATGGGTGTTTCTGGAATGAGGGGATAGAAATAATGGGAGTTCTTTAAGGTACATTTTTTCTTTTGTCTCCGACATGATGAGAAAAGAGGGAGCCATGTTTTTCTGTATGGGTTATGGTAGAAAGAACATGGACATTTAATAGGCGCAATTGAATTCGCATAGGCAATGCAGCACATGATCAGTCAGCAAGCAGCGGGTGTCCATAGTACACCCCCTTCTCCAAGCTACACTTGAAACGGAAAAGCAACACACGATGGGCCGGCAGGGCTGGGTTGTGCTCCTCTTCTGAGGTTGCCCCAAATCGCCAAGTCCAGGCTGTGGCCCGTGAAGGCACGAGGTTAAAAGATGGGATGATGAGGGGTTGTTTGTTTTGGTCGGAGGGAGGGAAGCAGCAGTTGAGCTTTGCAATGTTTACCGAGGGACTTGTCCGTCACCGAGGAGAAGTCGCAGAAGGTGAAAGAAAGGCTCTGGACCGAATGGCGGGCTGCGGTTTCATGCTGACATTACATTGCATGCTGCGAGGGGAATATTGACGATCGCCAGCTGCGGCTACCTTACTCTCAACAAGCGACCCTCCCCAGCGCTGCTGCAAGTTGTTGCATTTGGCTACTGGAGACAGAAGTTGGAAAAATGTGCTGGAGTTTGGGACGGAGTGGTGCTGTCAGTGGGAAGTGGGCAGAAGCCAAGACTTTTGACCCCGTACACTGTGCCATCCAGCGGTTCCTTGTCTCTGTCGCTGTCGGTGCGCACAGCGATTGATGTCTGCATTGCGACGGTAGTGTGCCCAAGTTTAGTAGCTGGAGACACAGGTCTGACGGATCGCTGGGTTCTTAGCCAGGTAGCTGCTGTAGGGCAGAGCAGGGCAGGGCCCGAGGCTAGCGAAGCTGCATTTGATGTCTGTGCTGGTGTTTTTGGAGGTGGTGATGATATCATTTCTGGTGGTTAGGAGTGCTACCCTCAACCTACAGTTACCTGAGCTGTTGGGCAAGTGTCGCCGGCGAATGCTACCAATGGCAGGTAAGGCAGGTCGCTTTCAATCATGTACAAATGACATGAAAATTAGTGGTCAAATTCACCCTCGCCCAGCTTCAATGCGAATGGGAAGTGCTGAGCCACTTGCCGGCACCAACAGGACGAAGCAATCCAATTCATCAACCGCTGCTGCTCCTCGTCCGCAGTCACAGTGGGTCACGCCCAGGGAGGAAGGTTTTCCAGCGGGCAGGTTCCGTGAGGTACCTCTTCGGACTCGCTGTGAGATGCCCTCTCGCTGGACGTTACGGTTTGCCTGCCCCATGACGGTGACGCGACCCCCTTCATGGCGTGCCGTCGAGCCTTGGACACAGCTGGCCAGGTACGAATACCTGGAGGGACCTCCCTCACTGCAATGGAACCCTTGTCGTTGCCGACCTGGGGCCTCCACTGAGTCCTGACCCTGCTGGACTACCTAAGCAGCACAACGTAGCAATGGGGGTTGCGCCCAGCGCTGACCGGCTCTGACCTTGGACTCGGGTGGCCGATCTGCCTGATCTCTCGTTTTTTTCCAACGGAATAGCCGTGGTTGTCGTTGCGGTTCTCGTACCTTAGCCAGCCCACTTTCCTTTGCAAGTCGCCATTCCGGCTTTTTAAATTTCCTTTTTCTTTTCTTTCTACTCTCAGTCAGTCTCTCGTTGCGGAGCCTTTTCTTTTTGGTCTTTGCTCCAGCTTCATCCAACTTGCCGGGACCGATCAGCGTCATCGACACCCAAACGCAAATTCCTGCGTGCTGCTGCAACAACAGACACACACACACCCCTCCCCCCGGGAGGAACGCCACACCCTCGGCTGTCGAACCCGGTCACGATCTCGCGAAATTCTTCCACCGAGCGATTTGAACCCGCCCCGAACGGTCCCCCGTCCTCACCGAACCTGTCTCTACCCGGCGCCCACAGTCCGCCACCGCTGCAACCTGCGACCAGATCACGAGAATCCCTAATTTTCAAAGCATCTGCTCCACAGAGCAAGGCTACCCGAGCCACGAGCAAGCCTCCATCCGGCTGCCCGCACACGCATACCTACGCGCGCCGCGAGAGCCACGAGCAAACGCCTCCCTCCCCCCTCGCCCACTCGATTTCCTGCCGCCCTTTGGAACCTGCAAACAACCGTCTTCCTCCCCGGCAGAGTCGCAAACCGCAGCAACACGCGCAGGACCACCCCTCGTCAAATGATCTGCGAACCCTCGGTCTCTGCGTAACCTCAAAGGTCCAATGGGAGCGGGAGCCCCATTGAGCTGATTCCGAACCTCGACCCGCCATGGATAAGAACGGCGCCAAGGACGTCAAGTCCGAGTCGCAAGACGAACACAAGGAGAAGCGCGACAAGCCTGAGAACGGCAACCATGTTCAGCCTTCCAAGAGCCCCAAGAAGCGCCGCAAGGTCAATCATGGTACGTCTGCTGGTCTACACACTTTCTGCGATCGCCTGGCAGTTTGCTGCTCTCCGTCGTGTCCCCTCTGCCGGCTCCCCCGCTCGCGTGACTACACTAGCTAACCTCTGCTCCCCCTCCCAGCTTGCGTATATTGCCGGCGATCTGTAAGTCCGACTGCCCTTCACCCGACGGACACAATTGGCATTGGCTTCCCTGGCCTTTGCGCATGGCGCTGAGACTATTGTCCGCCTGCGATGCTGCTGTGCGATGCTCCGCCAGCCGGCCAACCCTTGCCATGCATACATCTGCGCCGTGCCCCTGCGCGAGCACCAGCAACATAACAATGCGAAAAGAGAAAAGATGGCTGACGGATAGTGTCTTGCCTGCTACATAGCATATGACCTGCGATCTCGTATGTAAGATCTCTTTCATTCTGCCTTGCGCCCAAAAGCCCACTCCCCCCATGCTTTCTCCCTCCCTCCTGCCCGACCAATCTCTCTACTCGACCGCCTGCTGATCATGTCGTGCTCCAGGAACGACCGTGTACGAGATGCATAAAGCGCAATATTGGCCACCTCTGCCATGACGAGCCCCGCGATCCCGACTCCAAGAAGGCAAAGAGCTCCCACGCCGCATCCGCCGTTGACGACTCCGAGTCGACGCAGACCGAGCTCGCCGCCCGAGGCTCCATCGACCAATCCGCGGCCGGGTCCATGGGCCCGCCGCCTCCTTTCGACAGGAAGCCGTCCGCTGCCTTTGGCGCTGCTGTCTTGGGCCAGGGCAACCCGCTGCACCTTGTGTCACCGAGCTCGGTGTCTGGCATGCCGGGCAACGGCAGCAATATGAACCAATGTAGGCTGCTGTTCTGCTACTGAGCTTACCCCTCCCTCTCCTTCGTATAGATGCGCGCGCTTGGCGGCGCCTGTCTCTGAAATGACGAAAACAACAAAAAGCCGCGATGGCAAGTCGGAGAAGAAAGCTGACCCCTGAAAATAGTCGCCGGATTCTCCGACGCGTGGTTGACGGCGCAGAACCACTACCACGACATGCAAAGCTACCACCCCAACAACTACATGATCGCCCCCGAGGTCACGCACGAGTTCAACCTGCTCAACGACTTCCTGCAGACGAGCCTGCTCGATGACGGCGGCATCCTCTCCGACGAGTCCCAGAACAGCCCCGCCTTCAGCAGGTCAGCCGGCGCAAACGACATGTTGCCCACCTTCGGCAACAACAGCAACAACAACGGCGCCGCCAACAACAGCAGGGCCACGGCCGCCAACGCGCTGTCGCAGATGCTGCCGCCGCCGAACCTCGAGCAGGGCAAGTCGATATCGCGCCCCGGCAGCGTGGTCCAGGGCGACAACAAGGACAAGGCGCGCGAGTACTACCTGCAGGCGGCGGACCCGTCGGGCAACGACACGCCCGAGGAGCGCATGGACCGCGTGCTCAAGGCCAAGTACGAGGCGGGCCTGCTGAAGCCGTTCAACTACGTCAAGGGCTACGCCCGGCTGGGCACCTACCTCGACAGCCACATCGCGCCGTCGTCGAAGCAGAAGATCCTGCGCACGATCGACCGCTTCCGGCCCAAGTTCCGCGAGAAGGCGCAGGCGCTGACGGACATGGAGCTGCTGTACGTCGAGATGTGGTTCGAGAAGCAGCTGATGGAGTACGACCGCGTGTTTGCGAGCATGGCCGTGCCGGCGTGCTGTTGGAGGCGGACGGGAGAGATTTTCAGGGGGAATAATGAGATGGCGGAGCTGCTGCATGTGCCGGTTGAGAACTTGAGAGACGTATGTTGCCTGGTTCTGCGCACTTGATGGTTTCGTGTTTGACTGACTTTTGGTGTAGGGCAAGATCTCTCTGCATGAGATTCTCACGGAAGAGTCTCTGGTGCGATACTGGGAGGAGTTTGGGACGATAGCGTTCGATCCCGCTCACGATACGTTACTCACGGCCTGCACGCTGAAAAGCCCGGACGACAAGTCGACGGACCCGGTTATTAACTGCTGCTTTTCATTCATGATTCAACGAGATAATCATAAGATGTAAGTCTGTCCGCTCCTCCTGCGTGGGCCGTTCACTGATTGCTCTGAATAGCCCTACGCTCATCATCGGCAACTTCCTGCCCAATGATCTTCCAGCCCGTCCGTAATTCATTGCATTGATCGAGGGGAAGGGGGCGCGGAGGCCTTGGGATTGGAGAAACCAAAAATGGGTCGGCGTCAGGATACCAGGGCATTATCTTTTATTTTGGATGCATTCTACGTTTCTGGATGGTGGAACTTGTTCGTTGGGCTTTGAAGTTTCGACGGAAAGGCCAGTATATATACATATTGCCGTTCATCGGGGAAGCACCGGACGGGTGGGGTCTTGCCGGGTTGGTGAGCCGATCTGTGGAGACCCACTCTACCGGCTCGGTGCTTCGAGGCAAGGAAGGTGCATCGTTCATCGTGCCTTCCCGGGGACGGTAGGCAACTGCCAGTTCAAAATTCGACTTCTCTCTTTCTGCCAATTTGCTGTCCGACGTCGTGACATACTCAACCTGAGATTCGAAGCATCGCCCAGATACAAACGGGTCAATACTACAGCAGAGTGCTCCCGATTGTCATTCAAGCTTCTTACTCGATTTTGCATCGCAACACGGCCGATTTTCAACATCACCCCCGAGGAGCCTGGCGAAGTATCCAATATGCCTCCCAGAGACCTGCCGAGGCCGTGGGACTCTCCCAGACCGACGTCGAGAAACATCCCCAGACCAGAAAGCGCCGGGAAGACGACCCAGCTCATAGGTTCGTGATATCATTCTGGTGTCCTGCCATCCGTGTGCTGATCCACGCAGCCTTCGCCGACAACCTCCTCAAACGTCTCCCCGAAGCCCGAGACCCCCCAGCAATCGACAAACTCCACGAGGAGCTCATGAAGAAGCTCAACAACACCCACGGCTTCCCCAATCTGCCACGAGGAAAGTCTAGGAGCCAGAGAAACGAGCTGGATCGGAAGGGGACCGAGTTATGGAACCTTTGCATGAGACTCCGCCGCGACGAGATGCCCGGGGAGCCGCCGACGCGGAAGAGGCTCTTGCTTCGGGGCCGGGTGTTTGCGTTCTTAATGATTGATATTGCGAGGTTCTGGAAGGTGGCTGAGGATGCGCGGCCGGAGGACTGGATGCCGCTGGCGGATGTGGTGCATCTGATGAGGTTGGCGCTGAAGGCTGGCAACATGTGCCTTGGTGAGTTTTGGGATGGGCGCTAGACGGGATGAGGTTTCTGACAAGGGCACAGATGATTGCGGTGCGAAGTTTGCCAACATGGTGTTTCTGAAAGCTTCGAATTACAGCGACCTCCTGGGAAGACTGGCGCAGACGATGCTGGAGCCTGACGATCTGGCGGAGTGCAAGAGGTTGGAGTCGGAATACTACATACTACGCACCGCAATGGTGAGCATCTTGATGATGAAGATGTGTACGCTCGCTGACACCTGGGGGGTATAACAGTGCTGGAAGGAGGGAAACCTCAATGTCGCCGACTTCATGTACGACAAGGGCCAGCCGACGATCCAGACGCTTGACCCCAGCCCCGCCGAACTGCTGACGGAGGTTCTGTTCGAAATTGGCAAGGACTTCTCCAAGAAGGGCGACTTCAAAATGGCTGTCAAGTGGCTCGAGCGCGCGTACGATATCATCAACAGCCAGGAGCTCGACCGTTTGCCAAGGGATGCGCTCGAGCTGCGCCTTTCCGTGTGCCAGGCACATATCCACGCCCTGTTGGGGATGAACACGCCCGAGGCCTCGCAGAAGGCGCATGATTTGGTCAGCTACGTGGAGCAAGAAGTTGGAGAGCAGCCGGTCGTGCTGCTGCTTCGTCTTGAGTTGCTGCAGAAAGCGCCGGCGGAGGTTTTCGACGTCGAGGCGTATGCCGATATCCTGAAGCACATGGTGCAGCGGTTCAACTTCTCGGAGGCGCATTTCAAGTTACTCATTCACCATGCGCGCAAGCTTCATGACAAAAGCCCGTCAATGGCCCTGCGTATGGTGAATGGGATGCTGAAGAGCAATATTGTTTCTTCGGGACGAGACGAGTGGGTGGAGAGGCTCGTGCTGTTGAGACTATGGATGGAGGAGAGCCAGAGGGACAGCGAGCTTGCTATCGATGAGCTGATGAATGTGTTGCGAGGTGTAGAGGAAAACTTGACGCAGCCTTTTGGCGCGTCTGCCGCCGTTGCAGCTCGGACTGTGAGTACTTCACTGCAACTCCCCTTCAGTGGCTGACATTGTATAGATTATGTGGAAGAAGATCGAGGTCAACTACAACCAAGGTCACTTTCAACTTGCCGAGGGTTGGTGCCGGATCGCGCTGCAATCCATGTTTGAGAATGGAGGACCTGCTAACAGGTCGAGACTCTGCAGGTATGCATGGCCAAAGGCTGCCAACTGATTTTGCTGACAGCCGCAGGAAGCTCATTCTCTGCGCCCTGAATCGCAACAATACCGAGGGAGCCCGACAGATATTCCATGAGATGCCAGGATCGGCACGGAACGAGACCATGACGCGGTACCTCATGTATAAGGTTGCACTCCAATCTGGGGATCATGACTTGGCGGCGGATTGTCTGGAGCGAATAGGAGCGGGAGCAGCTCAAGACCCCAACTTTCTCTATGCCTGTGTTCTGGACGCGCAAAGGGCTAGAGACAAAATCTGCGCCGGGCAGGCCATGAAACAGCTTCTCGAAAGACATGAGTTCAACGAAGACTCCCCGATACATCTACCGGCACTGCTTCGCAGCAATATTCGAATAGCCGTGGCGGCTGTGGAGGGAGAGAAGGGCTCAGCTCGGAACGCTTGTATTGAAGACGTGGCTGGTTTGTTCGAACAAGGTATGCATTTTTCAGCATTGGAGTTGGCGCGACTGACGTTGTGAAGCTGCCAAAGCAGTCCAAAGAGACCCCAAGGACAAGGAAGGAAATCGTTTGTTTACAGTCAAGGAGCTGGACTGGTTTTGCCAGAACGCTTACAACCTTGGCCTGAAGAACTCGTCAAACTGGGACCTTTATCCTGTCTTGCGACTATTTGCCTCTTGCCTTGAAATCATCAACCATTATCCGTCAGATCTACCCACGGACTCAACGGTTGACCTCCGCTTCCGTACCATGTTTAGTCACTTTGTCATGGCAGCCGGCAAGATCTCAATAGCTCGAACAGAAGATAATACGGCGAAGCAACTGCAGTGTTACCTGGATGCAAGGAAGCACGTCAAGGCGTACGACTGTCTCTTCCAGGTGCAAGCCACAGTAGCAGACGCTCTTACGAAGAAGGATTTGAACATTAAACTTGCGGCGCTACTGGTTTTTGATTTCGAGGCAGCGCTGGCTCTAAAGGATTACGACGGCCTGGGAGAAATCCTTCAGCTCGCAAGGTCGTGCAAGGATGTCAGGTCGTGGAAGGCAATTGGCGATCTTGCGCTGGGGGGCAAACTACCTGGCGACAGTAAGCGGCCTACCAGACTCCTAAAAACATTGGCTAACAATCTTGCAGAATTATATTCAACGCTGGGAATTGTCGTCAATGAGATTTGGGAGCTTGAGAGCATGAAGTGCGACAAATTAGCCAAGTATACGCGATGCATGTTTCAAGCGGTACGGTTGTTAGACGCGGAATCGGGCCAGAAGGTCATCTTACAGGCCATCGGAGTGGCCAAGAGTGCCAAAGAGGTGAGCGTTTGGGAGGCTATGCGAAAGACGTTACTGACTTTGGACCTCCAGACCCCGAACCCTTATCCCACGGAAGAGCTAGAGTGGCTTGCGACGACGGCCTTCAACCAAGCCGTGGACTGTTACAACGAGAGGAGATATGAAGAATGTCACACGTGGGCAGACCTCGCGACCAACCTAGCGCACTATGCCAGCGATGGAGGAGCACTGGAGAGGCAGTGTCACGAGAAAAGGGCGAAGCTTGACTTTGACATGAAATGATGGGACAGGTAATCCATTTCTGCAAAAGGGGTACATTGCAATAGAGAGGAAACTAGATCAACTGTATCTATAACTAATCCGCCTAATACAATAAGTGAACAACCTTCGCTTACATTCCCGTCATATCTCATCAAATCATGTCACATATCTACGCGGTAGCACCAGCGGGCTCACCTTCAGTAGTCAACGCAGAAGCCTCCTCATCATCGGCCGGCTTGACGAGCTTGATGGCCACCTCCGGGTCCTCAGCATAGACGCGAAGACCAAGAACGCATACGGCGTTCCAAGGGGGGTTCACAGGCTCTTCGCCGTCGTCGACGACAGACTCGGTCTCGGAGTCGGAATCGGATTCTTCCTCCTCCTCGACAGCCTCAACGGGGGCATCCTCTGTCTGCACCTCGGCATCTTCAGTCTTCTCCTCGGTCTCACTTGGCTTGGCCTCCTCAGAAGCCTCCTCCTTCTTCTCCTCCTTCTTTTCTTCCTCCTGCTTGTCCTCATCTTTCTTTGGCTCGGGGGCAGGCGCATCGCCGGGTTTAGCGCCAGCAGTCGATGGCGACGTCGCGGGCTTGTCCTCCGGCGGCGGCGACTTGAGCCCCGTGCTGCCGGTGGATTCCTTGTCAGAGTCCTTGACCTCGGTCCAGTCTCCGTCCTTCTCCTTCTCCTTGCCCTCCTCCTTCTTGGCCGTCGCGGCCGTCTCCTTCTTCTTGTCGTCCTTCTTGTCGCCGCCCTCGGCAAGCTCCGAGACGACCTTGGCGCTCTCCTCGAGGGCCTTGGCCGCGACCACCAACGCCTTCTTCTGCTTCCTCTTCCGCTTGGCCTTCTTGTCCTCCTTCTTCTTCTTGGCCTCGGCCTTCTTCTTCTCGAGGATCTCGTCCTCGTCGACGACGCCGCCCTTGGCGTGCGCGATGTCGTACTGTAGCCCCACCTGCCGCAGCTTCTGCGGGTTGCTCTCCGCGTAGTCCTTGACGATGTCCTCCACCGTGCGCGCCGCGTTGTGCCGCGTCGCGGTCACTTTGGGGAGGACCTCGTAGGTGCCCGGGTCGAGGGTGACTTCGCAGCTGACGGAGCGGTTCTCCCACTTGTGCACGGGGCGCACGCGGCAGATCTGCTCGGGCTCTGAAGAGGTGTTGCTGCCGTCCGTCTTTTGCAGGACGAAGTGCAGCTCGAAGTAGTACTGCCCCTCGAAGCCCTTGAAGTAGCGGTCGTCGAGCTGCGTGAGCACGATGACGGCGGTGCCGGCCTTCTTCACCTCGACGACGAACTTTGTCTGCAGGAAGCCCGTGACCCACGACACGTTGGCGGATGTCCACTGCTGCACGACGGTCCACTTCTCGTCGAAGAGCCGCGTGCGGTGGATGTACATGAAGGTGGAGAGCATGTCCTCGTACGCCATCCAGAAGAGCCCGTCGTCGCCGAACTTGTGGTCCATCTTCTTGAGCCAGTACGGCGTCCACTCCTTGCTGCCGTCGGACCAGGGGCCGTTCCACTCGCCGAGCCCGGACTCGGAGCGCTCGCCCCACGGGTTGCGGATCTGCACGAGGCGCACCCGCTTCCCGTCCTCGTCGACCTCCTCGCGCGATTGGAGGATGGAGTAGGCGTGGCCGAGCGCGAGGCCAGACTTCTGCCAGTCCCAGCCGGTGCCCATGGCCGCGAGGGCGAAGACGAACTCGCCGTCGGCATTGACGAGCTCGCGCCACAGCTTGTCCTTGCGCAGGACGCGGTTCGTCGCGATGGTGGAGGTGACGCCGCCCGTCATGTCCTCGACGGCCTCGCCGGGCCAGCCGCCCGAGATGGCCTCGTAGTCGCCGTGGACCTTGGCGTACGCCTTCTCGAGCAGCGGCAGCCAGGTCTCGTTCTGGTCCTCGCAACGCGCGAAGTACAGCGCGTCGCTGCCGGTCTGGTTGCGCTTGCGGTGGAGGCGGGCCTTCTTGCCCGAGGCGTCGTAGACGTCCGAATAGTAGTCGAAGTCGTTGTCCTTGAGGTAGAGGTTGTCGTCGACGACAGCGGAGACCCACTCGCCGTCGCGCTGGAAGACGAAGCCGTAGACGCCGCACTCCTCGTCGCGGGCGACGCAGACGCGCGTCATGAGGTCGCGGCGGTGCGCGATGGTCGCGACGGCCGCGAGCCACCAGCAGTCGCCGTTGGCGCCCTGCTTGATGTCCGAGGAGGAGTAGCCGTTGACGGTGAACTGCGGCGACTCGAAGATCCAGTCGACGCGGTGGATGGAGCCTGGGTTGTACCACTCCGAGCCCTTGACGCCGCGCGAGCTGCTGATGCCGCGGGTGCGAGGGTTCTGGGCAGATTGTTTGGCGGCGCCGGAGTTGGGGTTGGAGGTGGAGATGTTGCCGAACGGGCTCCACATGTCGCCGGCGCCGCCCAGGAAGCGGGACACGGCGGCGGGGTCGATGGGGATGGTGGAGTTCGGGCCGAGGACCTGCGCGGCGGTCAGGGTGTCGAGGGAGTTCTTAACGTCCCAGGCGCTGACGCCGACGGCACCGGAGGCATCGCCGATGCCGCCGTCGCCGTCGCGGACGAGGCCGTTGAGGCAGTTGGACTCCGGGTCGTGCTCGATGTCGAAGTCTGGGTCGGTGAACTTCTCGTTTGTGCGCTCGCACTCACGGACGATGCGCTTGACTTTGGCGCGGCAGTCGGCGGCGGCGGCCTCGTAGGAGCGGGCGGCGTTGAGGGAGGAGGAGGCGCCGTCGCGCGGGGACGGGTCGGTGGGCAGGAGGGAGGCGTAGAGGACGCGGGGGAAGATGGAGGTCACCTTGCCCTGGTGTTTTGAGTGGAAGGAGGCCCAGAAGTCGGAGAGCACGGCCTGGGGCGCTTTCTTGCGGGATTTGGAGGCGGATGTGGAGGGGAGAGGGGGTGGTGGGGGGTCGCCGTAGGTTGCCATTTTGGAAGGGCTGTGATGGGTCTCGTGGTGGTTTGGTTGTTTGAGAGTTAGGAAATGAATGACTGGAGAAGGAGGACTTGTCTTCAGCATCATCGACAGAGGCCTCGCTGGGTTTAAATGGCTTGCTTTGCTTCACGGAACAGCTCAGCCGTACAGCTGGACAGCTTGCCAGCCCTCCATCACCATCAGCTTAGAGCTGCAAGTCCCCCCTCCCCGGCATGATGTGCTAGCTAGGGCTGACGCGCTTGCGATAGCTCCCGCTGTACCACCGCGCGACTTGCCGCTTTCCTGGCTGTCAACGTGCCGAGAGTTTGATATTGGATATCACCCTCGCAAGGCGACGAATGAAGGTGATGGGGTCGTCTGCATGTCGGAGCGGCCGCGCGGCTCGTTCAAGTGGTGAGAGTCGTAGTTCGATGCAGCTCGCGCTTGGTTTGGGTCTTTGGTGAGTAGACAGGCTCTCGTCGGAGGTTGGGGGTTGAAGTGAGGCTGCAGGGTTTCGGGGTTCAGGGTCGTCCATCCATCGGGTCGGTTGGCGTTGCTCTTAGCGCTGTGGGTGTTGGCATGAAATGCAGCTTGCCTTGCCGGCCGGTTTCCCTCAGGTTTTCCCCCCTCTGGCCAACCAGCGAGGACGAAAAAGTACGAACGGCTCATTTCGGGTTTGTGTCTCCTTGTTTTGGGGGGCTGAACGAGCGGGAAGGAAGGTGTTGTTGGATATGTTGTGTGGAAAGGCGAGATCTCACGTAATATCTTAAGATGGCGGGTTGGCGATATGCAGGTCATACAGGTGGATGAAGCAGGCGTTTACGACGGTCCGTTTTCGGGGTCAGTTGCGGGGATGAGTTGGAGAGAGAACATGGATGCCTGGATGTGCATGTTCGTCATATGATTCCCCTGTGTGCCGTCAGCCGCTGGTTTGGTAGTTGGTGAGGAGGTTTGAGACAGCCTTGCGGTTCATTGTAGGCTTTTTGCATCTTACACGCTTAAGGGCGGGTAAGATCTGCCTTCTGCCAGTGGTCGCGCATGAACAGTGCCGTACCTCGGTCGAGAATGAGAGAGCATCAGACAGGAGAGCCTCCTAGGAATGAATGAATTGGTCGTGCATTTGACATGCTGTATTGCTCAATGTGTCCAATATTCAGAGCAAAGCGGGCTGGTCGATGAAGCTCGATGATTGTGACGGCATCGCTCCACCAAATGCCCACGATGGTGAGGTTCGGTTTTGAGATCGACGGAATCCAGAAGCATCCTTTTTTTCTTATTCCGCTGCTCCGGCAGAGACACTGGAATAAGGGTCGACAGAACTGGTCAATAGGCTGCCTGCAGAAATGCAAGGGCGGTCTTGGCTCCGTATTCCGCCCGTGTAACGTGGCTCGATGCTGTCATTCGCCATCGTCCAAGACAAAGTGCATCCCATCTTGCCCATATTGAGGGCTGCTGGAGACAACGTTATGTCATGCTCGCCATGGGAATGTTTGTTTCTCTGGTGTTCCCGGCAGAAAAAGGCATCAAGCTGGTCAATGCCGGGGCCCAGAAGATGCGGGGACGGTGCCCCTTCCTCCCATGGGTGCTGACTAACACTGTGTTTTAGCGGCCGTTTCCTCCAATGCCCTGCGCCTGACCCTGACCGGGACTGCCCTCAGGACCTGGACCCGTGCTGGACTGGACTGGTTGACTGGGCGGACTGGCACTCCGTGGTTGCGAGGGTGAGTAGCGTTATCGGCTGAAGTGCTTATCGGACCCTCGGCCCAAATGACTGATGGAAGCCCTCCACTGGGCTGGACGTCACCTCACTCGTTGCCGATTCCCTCCCATCCACTCCGTATTGGGCCTCAACTGTAAACCTCCACAACTCTGCCTTTCCTCCGCGCCACCAGCGGTCCCACGAAAACACCCACTTCCGATTCGGACACGCTCACCGCAACTGCGATAAATTTCCATCGCCAGAGTTTCAATCATGATCTCCCCTGCCACTTCGAAACCCCCCTTCTGATCCAAAGTCGACGACAACAACCACCGTCAGCACCATGTCGCAACAACCAACACAGCCGCCGTTCGCCGCCCCCGAGGACGATGCCGCCATCACCCATCTCGTCCACAATCTCGTCGAGGAGGCTGTCCGATCTGTCGAGGACGTTCCAATGCCGTTTACGCGTAAGTTGAGACTCGCAGACAAAGAGACGATGGTCCGGACAAGACACGCTGACTAGCCACAACAAGCGCGAGCCCCCACTCAATGGCCTGTCGAGGAATTGGCCGTGCGAGAAGCCATACGGCACTCCCTCAGTCCCGACAACGTCAAGGAGCTTGTCGATTTCTCCGCCTTGATGTACGTCGAAGAGCCCGATGATAACCTCGTCTGTCCCATCTGCAAACTCCCCGTCATCACCCCGGTCATCACGCCCTGCGACCACACCTTCTGCCTCGAATGCCTGAAGCGCCACTTCTTCTCCGCCGACACCTGCCCCATCGACCGGACCAGGTTCCGAGCCAAGGACTGCAAGACGTCGAGGCTCCTCACAAATATGCTCGACAGCCTCGTCGTCAACTGCCCCAATGCCGAGCGAGGATGCGACGAGACGATGAAACGCGAGGAGGTGGTCAGGCACGCGATGGGCTGTCGCTACACGTTGCAAGACTGTCCGGAAAAGACGTGCGATAGGAGGGTGGAGCAGTGGATGGCGGCCTCCGGGAAATGCTGGCACTTTGAGCAGGCGTGCGAGTACTGCGAGGAGAAGATGGAGGCGGCGTCCATGGCGGACCACATTGCCAGAGATTGCCCGAAGAATACCACGACCTGCGCCGACTGCGGGGAGAAGATCAGGGTGTCGGATCTGAAGCAACACCTCGCAAATCGATGCCCCGAGGCGACTGCTGCGTGCAAATACGGCGACTACGGTTGCAACCACGAGGCAATTCGCAAAATGCTTGCTGCTCACGAGGATGAATGCGTCTACAAGGTTGTCGCCGTCGTCGGAGAAAAGGTCAAGAATCAAGAGAAGCAGATCGAGAAGCTCCAGAAAGTAAAGGAGGAACAAGAACGACAGATTCTGGAACTCAAGGATGAGAGGCGGGACTGCATGTCGTGGGACGACGTGTTCAACCTGAACAACGTCCAGGGCGGGCCCAAGTTAAAACCGACGGAAGCAGTCATGAGCATCTACGAAGACATGGAGCGTCGGATGGAAGAACTTAGAAAGGACTTCACCGACCTCGAGGGTCGACAGACGGTCATGGTACTGAACCACGTCATACCTATCAAAGAAAATATGTCGGAACTCAGAAGCACCTTGGGGATACTCAAGATGCACATGGCTTGGCTAATGAACAAGAGCCGGGAGGAGGTTGAGCGCAGTCGGCTGGCAAACCGGACTGCCAGCGGGACGAGTCGCACGAGAGGCAGTTCGGACAGCGACGGAGAGGCGTCGTCGTCGTCGAGGAGGTTGAGTGACGGGTCGAACGGTATACCCCGCCTGTAGGCCACCGCATCACACCTTCGAGCCACGGCAAACTGTTACGAATTAGCTTGGATTTGACGGCCAATATTTTGCACCTCACGCGAGCTCGTGTACGAGTATATTTGTTTGGACGTTGAGGCGTTTTTGGAGGGACCCACGGTATCAACGACACGGATTGGGCACGGAAATACCCTTGGGGCAGGCACTCTACGCAGCGGGCCGCCCTTTGAAACAAAATTGGTTCTCACGTACAAAGGTTGCTATATCCCAAAAAGCTACAGCAGGTCTTGGGTGCCTCGAAGCACATAGTAATTGAATCGATATCGTGATTTTTGGATGCGGATGAGTGAGCCAGGTGGGCCATATTTGGAACATGTTTCTAGACGCCGTTGATGTTTTATCAGAAACCTTCATGCAGGCCGTATCCAATGGGCTTGTTTTCGGCGCAGGTTCATCTGAAGCAGTTGCAGACGTCTACGAGCATCATCTGTTAAGGGTCTAAGGGTCTCAAAGCCGCTTGAAACAGGAAACAAGAAGTCCTGATGTATAATTACATAAGCCCTTCGAAGACGCCTTTCAAAGACCTCATTGATCTTCACCGCGTGTTTGTGCCTCAAATGTAGTACCTTACGTAGCTGACTTCTGTTTGTGTAGAAACTCTTAGAAAGCCAGCAGTGGCAAGCATCTCAAAGGCAGCTGCGACCAGATTATTAATGAAGGTTCAGGGTGCACCTTCCCTCACTCAACCCGGTGCCTTACCTCATCAGCGGACTTTGGTGGTGGACTTTGCATTTCCCAGTGGACAACCCGCTAAAAATCGGAGAAAGCTGGGTGCCTGGCCGCCCTTGTCGGATTTAACTGGTTCACACCCCACATTTCACCGCTTGGTGTGCACCTCCATGCCGACACCGCACTACCTCCCCACCACTGCGAGGCCCTGCTGGACGTCAACACTTCTGAACGCAGCCCACCTTGAGCTACCTCACCGGCCTCACCTTCCACACTGCATCCGATCGAGCTTCGTTCAGCCTTGTGCAAGGCGTTGGAAATCTCACAACCTTCTCTTGCGCACCCAAGAATCACCTGGGATCGGCACACCTGCCTCGTACACTGCTCGTAGTCCTACTGTCTCCAGACGACTGACGACGACAAGATGGATCCCAATGAGAACCAGGCACCAGATGCGCCTGACACGGCGAAAATGAACGAGGTAAGCTTCTTTATGGACTTGATTTGGTCCGCGCAGCTCCTTGAGAGCTTTTCTGCTGGTCCCCTCCAAGCGGCCTTGACCGATTCGACGTTTCGACCTCGGAACCCGATTCCACGATGCCGGCGACCCTGCTGCCCTTTACCCAACATCGCCAACCAGCTCGATTGAGTCCGGCCGCTTAGATTGCATCGAACTCGCCGATAACCTGTTCATCAACCCTTCCAATCAATTCCCACCGCCTGATGCGCTGTTCTTTCCAGCAATCACGAAGTTACAGCTACACATCGAGACACCAGGATGGCACAAGCCCGGAGGACGAAGACGCAATCGCG